CTAGGAACCTCAGGATGTTTTGGGGACCTCAAGAAGAGAGGAATTCACCTAAATCTATAGAAATTATAGGCAAAGTCTGATGGCAAGTATTTGGTTTGGCTTCTTAGCCTCCAGAGGTCTTTTTTTTTTTTTTAAAAGATTTTATTTTTTCCTTTTTCTCTCCAAAGCCCCCTGGTACATAGTTGTGTATTCTTAGTTGTGGGTCCTTCTAGTTGTGGCATGTGGGACACCGCCTCAGCATGGCTGGATGCCCAGGATCGCGCCCAGGATTCAAACCAATGAAACACTGGGCTGCCTGCAGCAGAGCGGGCAAACTTAACCACTAGGCCATGGGGCCGGCCCCTCCAGAGGTCTTTAAAAGTTCAATCTGAGATTCCTTATGAAAAGTTTCAGCAAAGCAGACTTAAAAGAGCCCATTCTTGCTGTACTTTTATGAATAACCAGGCCAAGTTTAATGAGACTAGACTTATTTTACAAATTAGTCTTATTTTGATTTTCCCTGATAGAAATGGGAGTGATTGTAGAGAGAAAAAAATTATATTTCAGTAACACACCCTTGTGCATTCAAATTCTAGTGCTGTTAATTGCTCTTGAGGTTTTGTTTTCTATGTGTAAACTGGACTAGATACTGAATTTGTCTCATTTCCTCTGATATCTGGCTACAACTCTTCAAGCTAACCTTTTGAATTTTTCTCCCACCTTCATGACTTGGAATCATTGAGAACTAAAACTGCCATTTCCCCAAAGCCGTGCAAGCTAAAGTGGAACAACTTGATACGAACTTCAGAGAAATTACAACAGCTCATGAAAGGACAATCTTTGTGCTTGTTGCTGTGTGGGCCACTCAGAAAGATCATCAGAGACATTCAAACTACAAACCAGGAAAATCTATCAGATTGCCCCTGTCTGCGCTCACCCCATCTGAAGATGCTTTGAGCCTGAAATCTAGAAATTCTGAATGACTGCCTTCAAAATTCAGAAACTGGAATTATAGTCTGCTCCAATTACTAACCATTGTTTTTCTTTTATTTCCATAGAAATTCCTCTTATTATGTACTTGATGCAAGTACTTGCACCATATAGGCCTAACTTGGGGAGCCCACCTACATCACCAGCTCCTGAAATGGAACACGACCATTTAACTGAACTGACCTGTTATCGGGACTAAGAGACTAATTCAATGAGATATAAAGAAATCTACCAACCCAGGACAGGTTCAAACCTGCTTATGCTAGATGGCCCAAGATGTTGAAATATTTTGCAGTATCACCCAAATCTTTGAAGAGATTTCTAGGGCCTTGAGATCACTGACTTAGTTTCATTACAGGACCCTTTCAAGTTTGGCTTATGGACTGTATTTCAGGATACAGTATTGCTTGTGTTGATGCAAATAATCCGTAATCAATCTATAAATCAAAGTTGGGGTGAGTTTATTATGAGCCAGATGTGAGGACCATATAGCCCGGGAGAGTCCTTTCACAAAGGAACAGAGCACTCCAAAGCAGTGCGGGTGTACAGAGTGGTTATATACCATCAGAGAGCATGCATCACATATGACTGAAATGTCCCTTTTACAATAGTTACGAAATTGCCCTGTCAGCACAGCAATTGATGGACACAGCAGGTAGTAGGTCTGCTGTCTTGGTGGACACAGAAGGTAGCAGGTCTGGTGTCTTGAGCTGAGTGGTCACAGGTGAGTGCAGCAATCAATTCCTAGTCTAGGGAGAGATGCTTACCCTTAAGGAAATGCTAATGTGGGGAAAGTTGCACCTTTATCTTAAGGTCATTTGTTCTTGTCTTTGGGACACAGCAAATGCTTAAAGTGGATATACAGTGCATGTTCAATGGCCACTGTCAGGAAAAATAAGGTCAAGCCGAATTAGTTTTACACCAAATGGCTTCCTCATATGCTCCAATATGTCCTGTTGCTTACCATTTGTTTATCATTTGTATAATTATTATAGGATTTGCTACTATAACCCTTTTCAGATATGTACTTTCTGGGTTACCATGTGACCTACCCCTGACTTTTAGTGTATCAGCTACTCAGGCAGCTAATGTCCTCACTATTGACTCTGATGCCTCAGCCTCACTGGGTGGATCGTAAGGTGAGCTCTGACAGGTTTTTTTTTTTTTTATTTTTTGTAATGCAAGTGCCTGACTTAAGTTTTGATTGTCAAGGCATCTACTTCAAAGAGGGCTACCTCAAATCAACGCATTGCCAGTCACACAACTAGGTAAAAAACAGGCCGTCTTCCTCCACTGAGGCTCTTTTGTTTTAGAGATCTTGGTTGATTTCAGTAACTGACAATTTGGGATACGTTTTTTGTCTTCCTGCTCTTCAAATCCCCACTCTTGTGTTATAAATTCACCAATAAAGAGTAAGCCTGTGAAACTCTAGGTCCCCACCCTCTACCCCAATGAAAGCAGAACTCCAAGCGCATGCACATGCTCTCTCTCTCTGTCCCTCTACATGGCCTCACTGTGTGGCCCCAGGTGTGCCATGTTATTTCCAGGTCTTGTAAACTTTTATTTTTTCAGTTTCCTTATGGTTATTGCCAAATGGCGTCTTGCAATCATAACAAGAACCACAAGGGCCAGTCCAATCACAACATTGGTTGTTGATGGGCTGAGATCAGCACAAAACACCTTCGCACTCGAGATGGCTGATTTGACTATTAATTCTGGCTTAGATGTTCTGTGGTGAGGTAATTGGAGTTTTTCCAAACAGGTCAAACCTATACGGTTAACTACTAGGACTAACTTTTTTGTCATGAAGAATGTATGGCTCCAAATTGTTAACCATAATTATTCTTGAGATTTAGGAGTGTGAGGTAGATGTTAAAAGAGAGTCTTTATTCTTTTACTTTACACACTTTTGTAATGTTTGAATTTTAAGATGTATATTCTTTTTGTAATTTCAGAACAAAGCAAAAGAATTTGGTTAGATGTAAATTGGAAATACTGGAGGGAGAATCAAAGAAATCAGTCTGAATTATCTGATTTTAAGTGAATTTGAAAAAGACTATCTGACATCATCTAATTACTGTGAGCCAACTTGTCACGTTGTAGCTTCCTAGCGGTAGGTTATAAATAATCTGCCTGCAAAAGCCTTCCCTGTGGCAGCGGCATTGGAAGTGGCCTTGCAGGTTGAGCAGGATTTCCTCACAGCACAAGGAGAATCTCAGTGTCCTTCTCACTTTCCCAGAAACAAATACAGTTCCTCTATTCTGTTGTGTTTTTAACATTTTTTATTTTGAAAAAATTATGCAAGTTATACATCCTCATTGTAAAAAAAAATTCAGACAATATAGAAATGTATAAACCTTATGCTGTTTGGAGTGTGGTTGTGTGTCCTTTCAGATTTCTTACATACACACACACACACATAATTTCAACTTTTTTTTTTTTAAAGATTTTATTTTTTCCTTTTTCTCCCCAAAGCCCCCCAGTACATAGTTGTATATTCTTCGTTGTGGGTCCTTCTAGTTGTAGCATGTGGGACGCTGCCTCAGCGTGGTTTGATGAGCAGTCCCATGTCCGCGCCCAGGATTCGAACCAACAAAACACTGGGCCGCCTGCAGCGGAGCGCACAGACTTAACCACTCAGCCACGGGGCCAGCCCCACATAATTTCAACTTTTATTTTTCATTTTTTATTTTTTGAGATATAACTCACATACTATAAAACTCATCAGTGGTTTTTTAGTATATTCACAAAGTTGTGCAGCCATCACCACTATCTAGTTCCAGAACATTTCATCACCCCCAAAAGAAACCCTATACCCATTAGCAGTCACTCCCTATTCCCCACTCCCACCATCCTGGTAACCACCATATCTACTTTCTATTTCTATAGATTTGCCTCTTCTGGACATTTCACTTAAATGAAATCATACAGTATGTGATCTTTTATGCCTGGCTTCTTTCACTCAGCATAATGTTTTCAAGCTTAATCCACTGTAGCATGTAACAGTACTACATTCCTTTTCATGGCTGAATAACATTCCATTGTATGGATATACCACATTTTCTTTATTCATTCATCAGCTGATGGACATTTTCATTGTTTCCAGTTTGGGGCTAATATGAATAATGCTGCTATGAACATTTGTGTGTAAGTTTTTGTGTGAACATATGTTTTCAATTCTTTTGGGTCTATACCTAGGAATTGCTAGGTTATATGGTAACTCTATGTTTAACTTTTTTGAGAAACTGTCAAACACTGTTTTCCACAGCAGCTGCACCATTTTGCTTCCCTACCGGCAATGAACAAGGCTTAGTTTCAGTTTCTCCGCATTCTCACCAACACTTATAATTTTCTTCCTTTTCTATTCCAGCCGTGCTCATGGGTGTGAAGTGGTACCTGACTTTGCTTTTGATTTGCATTTCTCTAATGACTAACGGTGTTGAACATCTTTTCTTGTGCTTAGTGGCCGTTTATATATCATCTTTGGAGAAATATCTATTCCAATTCTTTGCCCATTTAGAAAGTCGGCTTATCTGTCTTTTTATTGTTGAATTACAAGAGTTCTTTGTATATTCTAGATACGAGTCCTGTATCAGCTATGATTTGCAAATGTTTCCTCCCGTTCTGTGGGTATTATTTTTTGTTTTTTAAATTCAGAATGAGTTACTAGCTATGCTGTTCTGTGACTTGCTCCTTTTCTTCAACAGCGTATCATGGATATCTTTCCGCTGTCTTATTTTCTTCCTTCCTCATTCTTTTGTGGCTACATAGCATTCCATTCTGGTTGTACCACAGTTTATGGACCAGTCTTCTACCGAGCTTTAAAGAACCTCAAGTTCCTATGTCAGTAAAAGACTAAGACACAGCACCTCTTGGGCTGGAGAGGTAGTCAACTCATTACTGTGCTATCTGCACCTGGGTGAAATGAAAATGCAAGCAGGCACAGGAAGTGTCTCTAACCCGCTTACATTTCCTCTTGACTCCTGCGGTTTCACAACCCCTACAGGCACAAACCCTCCACCTCCCAGTGTCACCCAGTGTCATCAGCCTGGCGCCTCAGTGAGAAAGTTTCACTGCAAGAGGCCCTGGGGTATTATCATTTCTCTCTTTCACCCTGTCTAGGTTGCCAGCAAATCCTAAGGGCCCCCTGAGGCTGAGCGTGAGCCGGGTCCCTCCAGCCCTTGAAAGATGAACTCCTGCATCATCGTAATGAGGCTGCTGCTGTCTGGGCCTTTTCTCTTTGGTAGGCAAGGGAGGAGGGGAGGGAGAGGGATGTGTCTGTGACCAGGGAAACTGCAGGGCTTATGGAACTGCAGTAAACAAGGAGCTGCCTTAAGGGTGGGATTGGACATAGGTAATGTGGAGCCCAAGAATCCTGGAAAAGGGGGAAAAGGAAGAAAGAAAGTTAGAATCCAAAGTATAAGTAAGGTATGGAGGAAAAGACAGAGAAGGGACAAAGGAGGCAATAGTTAGAGATGGGCGAGTGGAGTGGGCCTTTAAAAAATGCAGATGGTTAACGGGTACCTAGAGGTGGCCTGGGGGCTGGTCCTACCCATGGTACTACCTTTCTGCACCATCTTAGGCAAGTCCTTTCCTGTTTCTGGGCCTCAGTCTCTTCATCTGAACAAACGGTGGGGCTGGCATGTCTGACATCTTAGGTTGCTATGAAATAAGCCTGATGCCTGGAAGGAAAGAAGGCCCAGAAAGGACAGTTTGGTGTTTGCAGATGATGCCTAGGCTGCCTGAAGTGGGGCATGGGATGGGGGAATCTGAGATCTAATTGTTAAGGAAAAGCCTGGTCCATGGTGGGGTGGTGTGGTGTGGAAGGGAACATTAGATAATTGAGGAAGCAGCCTCCCAGGGATCAGGGGATCTTGAAGGCCTAAGTCTGTGAGAGGAAGTCTGAGGCTAATTATTTGAGTTCTCAGGGTGCCTGGGCCCCAGGCCCAAGAAAGAAGTGGGTGTGTGGGGAGATGAACCCTGCCTTGGGGCATCCCCATCGCCTTGGGGGCCCCTTCTCTCTGCTCCTGTCCCAGGCCTCCGCCTTATCCTTCCTTCTTTGCTGAGAGGCCCAACCGGAAGTTGTTTTGTCCTTCCCAGGCCCTGGCGCTGTCAGAGCTCTGGGTTGCGTAGGGAGGCACTGCTTCCAGATTCGCAGAGTCAAGGCTCTCAGGGGAAGTCCAAGGAGGCAAGTTCTAGCTCTGTCTCGGGGTGTAGGTGGCCTGGGAAGGAGAGAGCTGGTTTCTTGGGGTCGGCTGCTTGGGGCACATGAGCGGCGGCCAATCAGCGCACAGGGCTCTGGGGGCGCGGGCAGGCTCTCTGGGGGCAAGTAGGTGACTCACCCTGGTCTCCCTCAGCCCCAGCCTCAAGCTACAACGTGGACGTGCGGCACGTGCAAAGCTTCTCCTACCCACACGCCGGGAGGCACTTTGGGTACCGAGTCCTGCAGGTTGGAAACGGGTGAGCTGCTGCCCGAGGCCCTCCGCGTCCTGCAGAGCCTGGGACACCCCAGCCCCAGGGTTAGCCAGACCGTCAAATGGGCAGTCGTGGTAGGATTTCTCGGAAACAGGAGCAAGGCTAGCAGATCGTTAGGATGAAGACGACCCATCACTGAAGTGCCACATAAGTGCCTAATAGAAGGGGGAACATATCACTGCCCCTAAAATGCTTTGCAGCACTTCCCAGATTCGTGACTCTCTCCCCGACTAAACAGTGAGCTCCCTGAAGGCAGGGATTTTGTTTCCCTCTTTTCCCCCCTCATCCCTAGTACATACCTCAGCCTAGCACATGGTTGGTATGCCATAAATGACTCTTGAATTGATGACTGATGGGATGAACTCATACTGTGATATTCTGGCAGATCATTCTCGGCCTTAGTTTTTCTAGACGGTAAATGGAAAACATAATTAACTTTCTAGAATTCTGGCACATTGGATTATTTATCTGGGATTCACTAGGGAAGAGATGGGTACTGAGGAGCTTCCCTGAAGAGGAGTGGCTGTATTGCTTTGAGATACCTGGTGGGGAGTCCGAACCCGCTTAATAGGTAGGAGTGGGTGGGTAAAGACCTGGGCGACTTCGTCTCACAGGTGAGATTTCTCATCAGGGTTGTCGTGGGAGCTCCAGGTGAGGGGAACAGCACGGGAAACCTCTATCAATGCCAGCCAGGCACTGGACACTGCCTACCAGTCAGCCTGAGTGGTGAGTAACTGGTGAGGGATCTGGGAGGAATGGTTTCTCAGGGAAATTGAGGCTGGCCCCACCACGCTTGGATTACCTGAGTTCCTCCAGACCAATCTACTGGTGCCTACAGGTTCCAACTATACCTCCAAGTACTTGGGAATGACCTTGGCGAGAGACCCCACAAATGAAAACCTTTTGGTAAGAATTTTGTATAGTGTGATATCAGAGCCTATGAAGCTCGATTCTAGGAAAGAGAGATTGAAAAGAAGGAAGAAAAAAATGGATTAAAGATCCTATAGAAGGTTAAGGCATCAAAGAGATTCAGATTTAATCTGTGTTTATTGAGAACTACGAGCCAACTTTTTTCAAGACCTTACCTACCTCAGGGTTTTTTTCCAAATATGAAATATCTATGACCATTGGTATCTAAGATGATTATTGGTGGTACACAAACTTTTATTATTTTAATAGCTATATATTTATTTAATGACAGAAAAAATATACGATGAGCATATCAAATTCATGATTTCTTGGCTCACATTGCTTAGGATGGGCTAAAGTTAAAAAAAAGGTCAATAAAATATTAAGTAATTGGATGATATGCCTATATGGCAGAAATTGTGAAGTGGTACACAGATGCCTAAAGTTTGGGAAGCATTGCTTTACCTCTTTTAACCCTCAAGACACTCAAGTGAGATAAGGATCAGTATACAAATTTTATACATGAAGAAACAGGACCAAAGGGATGAAGAGGCTTGGCCAAGGTCAAATGATTTTAAAGAGGCAGAGCCAGGATTTGAATCAAATTCTCGTTTGATTCCAAGTCCGTGGCTCTTTATAATTCATCATAGCAGGATCCTTCTGACACAGCTGGTGAGAAATAGAAGGCTAACTGAGTGAACTATTGATCCAGTATTTAATTGGGGCTTGTTTACTTAGCTACCGTTACATGCCAGACATTGTGCTAGATTCTGAAGGGGAAAGGGGAGTGAGACACAAAGACGACTGTGACATGAGCCCTGACTTTCAAGAAACTGCAATATGGCAGGAAAGATAGTCACAAATGAAAGAAACAACATTGTGTATTCTGGCAATAGTGAGTGATTTGATTTGGCTTGAACATAGATTGTGTGATTGGGAATGGAAGGGGGTGGACCTGGAAACGTAGGATAGTGCCCAGCTGTAAACAATATGAACGCCAAACTAAGGAGTTTAGACTTTATCCTATAGGCAATAAGCGTCCATTGGTATATAGCATTGGTAGCAGGAATGATGTAGAGGCAGAATTACCTTGCCTTGCTGTTGGCTGTAGGGAGTGAGGTTGGGGGATGATGACTCTGAAGGTTCTTGTTCTTGGCTGATGCCCAGAGGACACACAACAAGAGGAAGGCCAAACCGTTTCACCTTTGCTTCCTTCAGGCCTGTGACCCTGGGCTGTCTCGGACCTGTGACCAGAATATCTATCTAAGTGGCCTGTGTTACCTCTTCCACCAGAATTTGAGGGGTCCTGTGCTGCAAGGGCGCCCTGGTTATCAGGGTAAGGAACTGGGGATCCAGTGGGTAAAAATACCTCCAAGTGGCTGCCCATACGTGGGAACCAGCATGGGCAGGCCAACCACTGGAGACACTTCACCAAATCTCTTTGTGTCTGGCCTCTGCAGAATGTATAAAGGGCAATGTAGACCTGGTATTTCTGTTTGATGGTTCAAGGAGCTTGCAGCAAAATGAATTTCAGAAAATTGTGGATTTCATGAAGGATGTGATGAAGAAACTTAGCAACTCTTCCTACCGGGTAAATATATTAGTTAGGATTCCTGGTTGTAGGCAATAGATGCCTACCTGAACTAGCTTAAGGCATAAAAGAAAAATTTAGTATGAAGTGTCTCTAGAACCTAAGGACGTGGCTGTAACTGGACTTCTGGAAGGGACAAGAAGGAGGGAGTAGAAAGCTTCTCGGGTTTGCTCTAGTTCTCACTTCTTTTTCTCTTTGTGCTTTTACTTCCCTCTTTTCTTCCTCTCTCTGCAGACAGGCTCCCTCAGCTTGTTTGGATCACATGGGCCTGTGGGAAGCCCATGATTTCTGTGTTTGTTTATATCTTGTCTCATTTTCAAAAGAACGTTTTGAGGCAGGAATGTGGAGTTGGGTTGCCATGTCCTGGATAAGAAGTAGAGATTGGAGCAGACAAGTGGGGAGGGAGGCATAACGACATTTCATTTCTTCCTCCTTTTTCTAGTTTGCTGCTGTTCAGTTTTCCACGACCTACAAAACAGAATTCACTTTCTCAGATTATGTTCAGTGGAAGGACCCTGATGTTCTGCTGGCCACAGTAAAGCACATGCGCCAGTTGACCAACACCTTTGGTGCCATCAACTATGTCGTGTGAGTTCCCTTTTGCAGGAGAGAGCCTGTCCAATAGTTGTTCTGTGTGCACTAGCTTCTTAAAGTGGCAGTGTGTAGGAACTCAACAGGTGGGTCCAGCGAGGAGCACGTTAGTGTAAGAATTCAAGTGAGACAATTTTAGTCCGGGTTCTTTTGATTGCAGGTAACAGAAATCTACTTTATACTAACTAAATCCCAAAGGGAAATTCTTGGGAGGATGCAGGGCTAACTCATGAACCTTTGTGACACGGAGTATTGCTAGGCCCCATGAGAGACTAGAACTAGCACTTGAAAAGTGATTGTGAACCGTGGCAGCCACAGTAAAGTCACATCTTAGATGGGGATCAGCTTTTGAAGTCAATGTATAAACAAAAATCTCAAAATTCAAAATTGTTTTTGAAGAATTCATTCAGTTGTTCATAAAATTCAATACATTCAAGTCCCACATTGGAAACTAGCATATCCTGATTTCCTAAATCTGCTACAGAAATTTGTTTTCCCAGAGTTGGATCAGATCACCGTGTTTAAATTGAGACCTAGACAAACATAGTTGGATTGTGTTGAAGGGCCATACTGTATATTTTAAAAATATCTATCTTGGGGGCCGGCCCCGTGGCCGAGTGGTTAAGTTCGCACGCTCTGCTTCAGTGGCCCAGAATTTCACTGGTTAGGATCCTGGGTGTGGACATGGCATCGCTTATCAGGCCATGCTGAGGTGGCATCCCACATGCCACAACTAGAAGGCCCCACAACTAAAAATACACAACTATGTACCAGGGGGCTTTGGGGAGAAGAAGGAGAAGGGGGAGGGGGAGGGGAAGAAAAGCAGATTGGCAACAGATGGTAGCTCAGGTGCCAATCTTTGAAAAAAATAAAAATACCTATCTTTAAATATTAGAGTGGCCCTGGAAACTGAGGCCAGTTTGGAGAACAAGAGAATTATATCTTCCATCTCATACTACCCCTGGACATACACTCATATTGATCTCCTGTACCATTACACTTATTTTTCTCATTTTCATTTCTTTGCTAAACATGTATAGTTGAAGTTGCATAAGTTAAGCATGCATGTGATATGTCTTCTCAAGACTCTGCATGTGTGTTTCCCGCTCTTTTCTTCTGGGTCTCACTTGACCCATCATGTCCACTTCATCCTTCTCTCTCTGTAGACAGCTTTGGTGGGTACATGGTCAAGCTATGTCTACTAAAAAAAAATGACAGCCTCATTTCCTCAATTCAAATGAACAACGTAAATTCCAGCTTCCAGGAGAGAAAATCTGATTGGCCGAACATGGGTTAGGTGTCCACGGGTCCACCCAGCTGTGGCCTGGGTCTCCTTTGTGGCATAGAGTCACATTGCACAAACATGGATTCTACAGTCCCACCTCTGTGGGAAGGGGGGCAGTTCTTAGAGAAAGGGGTCAACATAGCGTGGGAAGACACCCCAAAAGATGTCAATTGTGGGAGCAAAAAGGAGCAGTCCTGAAAATGTATTTTATAAATACTTCTTGACTACCTGCCTGTGTGCCAGCCAGTGTTCCAGGTCAAGAGTTGGCAAATTTTTTCTGTAAATGGCCAGATAGTAAATATTTTAGGCTTTTTTGACCACATACAGTATTTGTTGCATAGTCCTTGTTTGTTTTTGGAACCCTTTCAAAAATATGAAAACCACTCTTAGCTCATGGGCCATGCGAACAAAAGCCGTGAGCTGGATTTGGACTGCAGGTTGTTGTCTGAAAAATCTCTGCCCTCTTGAAACTTTACATTCTAGTAGGAGAGAGAAATGCAATAAACAGGATAAATAACTAAATTAAATAATATAGTAGAAGATGTAAGTTTAATAAAGAAAAATAAGGCAATATTCAATAAGAAGATCAAGGAAGGTATTTGAGCAAAGACTTGGAGGTGAAGAAGTGAGCCGTATGGATGCCTGGGTGAAGACCATTCCAGGCAGAGGGGCTAGCAAAGGCCCTGGGTTGAGAACACGCTTGGGATGTTCGAAGAAGAGCCAGGACATCAGTATGGCTGGAGAGAAGTGCGTGAAAAGGGAAAGTAGGAGATGAGGTCAGAGACATCTTGGGAGTTTGCATGGGTTAGGGACTTGGAGGCCAGAGTGAGGACTTTGGCTTTTCCTCTGAATAAGATGAGAAGTCATTGGAGATTTTGAGCAGAGGAGTGATAATCTGATTTTGTTTTTGAAAGGATTCCTCTGGCTGCTGGGTTGATATTAGACTATGGGTGGGGGGAGGGGGGAAGGCAAAGCAGGGAGGCCAGTTGGGAGGCTATTGAAAAATCTAGATGAGAGATGATGGTGGAAATCCACGAACAGGAACCGTGATAGGCCATGTCTACGTGGATGGAGGTTAGAGAAACATTTCGCATCCAATATAGAACTAGAGGCCCTGACAGCAGGCGTTTTCGGCACCGCCCATCAGAGCTCCTCTGTCTTTGGCAGCTTCCGAGTAGCTTTCCCACCCACCTCTCTGTATCTCACTTCCACCTCCCACTGTGGCCTCTCCATGTGACTTTCAGCTTCTGCTCCCAAGGCAGGTCACATCGTAAGTCAGGGGTTGTGAATTGGCTGCTTTTGGATTAATTGTCTATCTCTGGTTAGCTGTGGGGTGGGGAGGGAAGGCTCAGATAGTTCAAACAGAGCTGCTGTCCCAGCAAAAGCGGTAGGCACTCACTTCAGAAGGAGGGTGTGGACAGGGCAGGAATTTGGCCTGTCCAGTGTTCAGTTCTCTCTGCTTTCTTTTATTTCACGTGCATTGAGCACATGTTCTGTGTCAGGAACCAGAGATACAGCAGCAACCAAACATAGTCCTTTCCTTGAGGAACTCATGGTTTGGAGGAAAATTGACCCAGAAACAGGTCATTTCAATTCCCTAGGACATGCTGTAGCAGAGATCTACAGGCAGCCTGGTGGGGGAGGTGGCAGAGGAGGGGATATATGAACTTGCTCTGGAAGAGTAACTTTCCAGTTTGCTTCAGCTGTGGAACCCATTTTTTCCGTTGAAATCTTACCAAGATCATCAGCAGATCTACCTCATTAAAGGGTAGTTGTGGTTTAGTTGAAAGGAATGGTAGGAAGCCTGGAGTCTCCCCTTTCCAAACCTCCCCCTCACTGCCCATGGACTCTGGGACAACCTCCTGGCTGCCTAGAATTCAGGTGAAGACCACTGGTCTAGAAGGAGAGATGTGGCGGCAAGAGTGAGGTAGGAGGTTCCTAACGAAGAGAACTTTGAAGGCTGGGAGTACCTACCTGGGGAATGTGAGCAGGGCTTTTGCATAATCAGCAGGGTGGTGACTTAATGAGCAGGGTGAGGGGGTGGAGGAGACCTCAGATGATTTGGGAGGCATCTCTCACACCCACCGCTTCCTGGACACAGGACAAATGTGTTCCGGCAAGACCTGGGGGCCCGACCAGATGCCACCAAAGTGCTTATCATCATCACTGACGGGGAAGCCACTGACAAAGGCAACACTGACGCAGCCAAAGACATCATCCGCTACATCATTGGGGTATGGTCCCCAGACCCCTGGCTTCTTCCTGTGTCTCATCTTCCCTCTCCTGTTCCTGAACCCCTCTTGTCTTTCTCCTTGGGGCCAGGATCTTGTGAAATAATAGAAAATTGGTCTGTGATTCTGGGGATGCCAGCTTTTCTCTCTTCACTTCTTCACAGATTGGAAAGCATTTCAAGACCAAGGAAAGTCAGGAGACACTCCACAACTTTGCCTCCACACCCACGAAGGAGTTTGTAAAGATTCTGGACACATTTGAGAAGCTTAAAGATCTATTCACTGAGCTGCAAAAGAAGATCTATGTCATTGAGGGTGAGTGGCATCCCCTAGGAGTGAGAGCTCAGGAACTTGTACACAGAAACTGGTCTGGGACATTAGATTAGAGACACATTGAATAATAATAACAAGCAATTACTCAGTGTCTGACACTGTACAACGAGCTCTCCTGAAAAAAGGCCTCTTGTAGGAATTTAGGAGGCGATGATTTAGGAGTAGCCTCTATTTCCCTATGAAATTCATCTTCCTCTTGAAGCTCAGCTTGATCCGTTGTGGGGCCCAGAACTCACTTGTATCTTGCTAGTGTCAACTGAGCCCAGTGGAATGACTATAATTCCCTCCTCCCCTCACCCAGCTCCCTCCTTTTCACTTATCCTAGGCCTCAAATTACTTAATATGGGCAAATGGGCAAATGGAGCCCCTTTTTATAAGGACACCAGTCATATTGGATTGGGGCCCACCCTAATGACCTCATTTTAACTTGGTTACCTCTATTTCCAAGACCCTATTTCCAAGTAAGATCACATTCTGAAGTACCAGGGGTTAGGACTTTAATGTATATTTTTTAAGCAACACAATTCAAGCCCTCACAACTGCTTAGTTGAGTATTTGTACCTTGTGGGCTCTCTGTAAATCGTGGCTCTGATTATCTGTACCTCTTATCCTCTGTCCTGCCCTTCCTTCACTCATCCTTCACATCACAGTTTAGATAAGTGATAAGTTTCCTCTGATAAGTTCACACTGATCCCATTCTGGGTTCTGTGTGCTGCTGGAACTGCTGTGTGTTCACTGTCATAGCCCCTGTGACATACGTTGTGTTATAATTGTCTATCCACTGTCAGTCTCCCACCCTAAACTCTGAAGTCTCCTATGGCAAGCATTGTGTCTGCTTTTTCGTCATTGTATCTCTGGCACCAAATATTTAGTTACTCTAAGTATTTGTCCAGTGAATGAACAAACATTCATAACAGTTGCTATGTTTCTTGAAAGCTTACAGGTAGCAGGCACTTTATATCATTGTATTCTTTCCTCTCAGCATCCTTGCAAGGCTGGTGGTATTACTGTTATTTAATTTATTCATGCTTGCAACAACCATGTACCAGACCCTGTGAATAGGACACTCAGGGATATTGCCAACCCAGAGGTCATATTCAGGTTGGATAAAGAAAGACAGCAAACAAGTAAACAAACAGGATGATTAAAGATTATGATAAGTGCTGTAAGGGAAATGAATAAAGTGATGAGAGATTTAACTGGAGGACACGACTTTAGAAAGGGATTTCAAGGAAGACGCCTTTTTTAAGTTGAGGTAAATTCACTCTGAGATGACTTTTGAGCTGAGGCATGAACAGCCACGTGAGGAATGTGGGCAAAGAGCACTGTAGTCAGAGAGGAGAGCAAGTGTGAAGGCCGGAGGTGGGGAAGGTCTTGGCAGTGATAGGAGCGTGGAGAGGAGAGGAGAGAGAAGGTGGGTGAGGGAGGCAGGGGCCTTCCTGCTCCTCAGAAGGAGTTTGGATTTTAGTTTAAAGAGCAATGGGAAGTAATGAAGGGTTTTTAAGAAAGGGAAAGATGCAGTCTGATGTACATTTTTTAAGATTACTCCTGCTTGCTGTGTGGAAAAAAGGCATGGAAAGAGGAAGAATGAAGTCAAAGAGATGAAAATCTTAAGCTCCTGCATTAGTCAGGCAAGAGATGAGGATGGCTTGGACCATCCTGATGGGTGTGGCAATACAGACTATTCAGAGAAGGGGCAGATGGATTTTGAAGGTAGGACCATCATGATTTGGTGATGTGTTGGAGGTGCCACAGGGGGAAAGGGAAGATCAAGGTTGATTCCTGGGTTTTTAGCGTGATTCACTAGGTGGATGTGGCACCATTCATTGAAGTGAGGAAGCCTGAGTAGGGACAGAAATCAAAGCCGCATCCTAGACAATGCTGAGCTGGAGTAACTGGATATCCACATCTGACACTCTTGGAGTTTTACATGAGAGTGAAAGCATAAGTCGCTTTCCAGTCTGACTCTAAAGTTTGTGCTCTTTCTACCTTGCCAAAAGGTAAATTCTATGCTTCTTTCTCAGTCCTTTCGTGAGTATCACTGTTTCTACTGCTCCTTGGGTCTTGGCCCATTCTCCTCTCTCTTGTCCCTCAGGCACAAGCAGACAGGACCTGACATCTTTTGACATGGAGCTGTCCTCCAGTGGGATCAGCGCTGACCTCAGCAAGGTGAGTGGCAGGCCTGAAGTAATGGGCAGAGGGCTGCTGTGAGAATGCAACTGACTGCCCCTCTCCTTCCCTGGGCAGGGCCGTGGCGTTGTGGGGGCAGTTGGAGCCAAGGACTGGGCTGGGGGCTTTCTAGACCTGAAGGTAGACCTACAAGATGATGCATTTGTTGGGAATGAACCACTGACAAAAGAAGTGAAAGAAGGCTATTTGGGTGAGTACTTCTCCTTTCTGCTGAGTTCTTTCAGTTTTAGGGGCCAGAGAATCGCTCTGACTGACTTTCAAAATAATAATGAAAGCAATTTAGCAACCGGCATGAACAAACTCAGAGTTTAAATACAGTTATAACATTCTTAATTTTTCCCTTAATAGCCCCTCGCCTGTATATTAATCATGTTTTTATTTTCTGTGTTTTATGATGCTTCGACATTGTGAGGCTTTGCTAATCCTGGAGAGACTCCCCTCCCAGGGCTAGCTAATTCCTATGGAGAGTTCACAACTTGCTGGTGGGCAGGCGTTCCATATGCCAGCCAGACAATCCAGAGCCTGTATCCAACCACCAACTTTATCTAACTTTCACACACCAAGCCAGTATTCCCTCTGACCTAAATCACCCCTGGGCCAGTACTAGACGACTAAGACCACCCCTATAGCCCAGAGCCTACCGACATTATTCAAACTGTCCAATCCTGAGCTTGCTCCTGCTTGCCGACCCTGCCTCATTCATTTCTTCCCACCAAAACCACAATAAGGGCTCTGGGCCATACTCTCCCTTCTCTCCTCCCACCTCCTCAGTGATGCCGGTGCTTCCCCCAGGTGGCCCTGTGTAGCCTGCCTTGCATCCTGCTTTGGGGAACTGTGAGTAATAAACTTCTTTCAACGCAGTGACCTCTCTGTGTCGTCACTCAGTCATACCTATACATTAAATCCTGAATACGTTTTCAAACAACCTGCCTCATTAGCAGGTGGACCAGCAGCTCCTCCTTGAGGCTTCCTCCTCTTGAATTATCCAGGAACTCCAGGGTTGGTTCAATCTCAGGAGATGTTCTGATGCCAAACGGAGGAAATGAGGCTGGTCAATCCACAGTTGCTATTGCTTCTCTCTGCCTCATGGCGTCACTGTTGCGGTCTTGTCCTGCACAGGTCTCTGGATGCCTGTGCACCCAGGGTGATGCCAGTTGCAGGCGGTGGAGGGACCTCACCCTTGTACTGCAAGGTTATAGCTCTTTTAACTCACAGCCATGTAGTCAGCCTGTCTCAAGGTACAAACTGGCTCCTAGAACCCTGGGATAGGACTGCTTCCAGGTTCTGCCTTCTCAAAGATCTAGAACCAGCACCCTCCACCCTGCCTCATCCATGACCCCTGTATGGGGGTGGGCCACTCCTTTAACAAACTCTCAGAATACGAGGGTCTTATTAAATACTTTCCTCTGGAAAATTGGTGCTATTCATCTTGCATCTACCTTTCTTTTATTTTGACTTTTGGTGAGGAAGATTGGCCCTAAGCTAACATCTGTTGCCAATCTTCCTCTTTTTTTTTTTCTCCCCAAAGCCCCAGTACATAGTTGTGTATCCTAGTTGTAAGTCATTCTGTCACTCTAGTTCTATGTGGGATGCGGCCAAAGCATGGCTGGATGAGTGGTGTGTAGGTCCATGCCCAGGATCCAAACCAGCGAACCCCCAGGCCACCGAAACAGAGCTTGCAAACTTAACCACTGGGCCTCGGGGCCGGCCCCTGTGTCTACCTTTCTAAGGGAGGCTGCCCTCTGTGATTTTTTTTTCTTTTTCTTTTTTTGACGATATTTGCTAAACAAATATTATGTGCCAGACACTGTTCTAAGTGCCTGACGTGTATTAACGTATTTTATTTCATCTTATCCTCACAACAACCCTGTGAGTAGCTATTTTTATTATCTCTATTTTACAGATGAAGAAACTGAGCCCAGGAGAGGTTAAATAACTTGCCTAGGGTGACAGAACTGGTAGGTAGAGCCCAAAGTCTGTGCTAGTAACCACTACACGTGCACTGTGGTGCCTGCACCTCTGCCTTCAAGGTGCTTATCTGTTCTTCAGCATGCTGCAAAATAGCTGACAATGCTACTCACTAAAGAAGAAGAGAGAACCTCAAAGTTTCATCTCTAATTAGGTGCCCACCCCTCTATACACACACACCCCCCTACATTCATATATATATTTTTAAATCCATGATTTTATTTAATCCTCAAAACCACTCTCTAAGGTTAGTACTATCTCCATTTTTTTAGATGAGAAGACTGAGGTTCAGAGGCATGAAGTAATTTTCTCAAGATTGCACAGCTTGGAAGTAGTGCCACTAGGATTAAAACCTTGTCTCTCTGATTTCAAAGGGCAAGTGTTTCACCCTGGGGCTTCAGGAATATACATGAACCAATAGGAGCCTCTCCATCCTTCCTTTCATGTGCTGTCGACTCTCAGACATGGCTGTTTTTCTCACTTGCTTTCGACTGCTCTAAACAGAGAAGATCAAGTTGGGTCGGTTAGTTATCTTTTTAGTCAGCATTCCTGTTGGGTGGCTGCTGGCTCTAGCCCAGTCCCTCACCCGGTTTCCTGCAGCGTTTCCTCAAACATTCCTCAAACATGCTGGAGGGGAGAGACGCTCACCACAGGAGCTGTGAAGTATGAAGATAGCCTGAAGGGGGATCTTTAAGCAGGAAGTTTTTTCAAGTCTCATGCTGTATTTTTAATATTTATGCAAACTTTGCATTCTTCTTACTAATATATCCCATTTTAGTTTATTACTTAAAAGAAGTGTAGTCTCCCTTAACAACCCTCAGGTGAACTGAGCCTCAAGAGGGTGCACCATATTTGCCCCGTGGTACGTGGCTGCTTTTTCCTGGGCATGTGTGTTGTCCACCGTTTCAGAAACGCAGCCTTGGACCAAGATGGCAGATTTGTACCACTCAGAGCCTGTGGCTCCTTTTCTTAGGAGAAAGTCTTCTGGCTCTTTCAATGCGTCTTTGCTACTAACCCAGTTTCCCAGGTCTCTGCCCCCTTTGCCCCTGGATTTTACCGTCTTCCAGCAGCCACTGTGTTTCTAACTCCAAGCCCCTTGATCTCTCTCTCCTCAGGTTACACCGTGGCCTGGCTGCCCTCCCGAGGGCTCCCATCACTGCTGGCAGCTGGAGCCCCCCGATACCAGCATGTGGGGCGGGTGCTGCTGTTCCAAGAGTCAGAGAACAGAGACCACTGGAGCCAGATCCAGAAGATAAATGGGAGCCAGGTGAGCAGGGCCCAGGGCATCTGCAGATCAGGGGCTGGTAGAACACTAGTTATGCTCCCTGTGTCTCCTGAACACTTACCCACTTACTGGGCAGCAGACCCTGTGCCAAGCACTGTCACATTTGTTCCTCACAAAACCCTCTGAGGTAAGCTTTGTCATCTCCACTTGCCTTTAAGAAACGGAACCTCACAGAGCCCAACTTGTCTTAATTCATATCGGCTCTAAGTGGGGTCCAGGACTTGAGGCTTCGTTTGAGGGATTGGAGTAAGAGGGCTGTGGTGCAGCTGAGGGAGGGGTCCTGCTCATGGGCTCTTCCTCCGATGTCTTCCTCTCCCTGCAGGTCGGCTCTTATTTTGGTGGTGAGCTGTGTGGCGTTGATGTCGACCAAGATGGGGAGACAGAGCTGCTGCTGATTGGAGCTCCTCTGTTCTATGGGGAGCAGAGAGGAGGCCGAGTGTTTGTCTACCAGCGAAAACAGGTGCAGACCAGGACATTGAGCTGAGGGGGTGGGAGAAACATTCCCAGGCCTATTCAGGTCCCACTTATTCTGAAAGGTTGACCAGCTCAGTGGCACAGCAGCTAAGTTCACACATTCTGCTTCGGAGGCCAGGGGTTCACGGGTTCTGGATCCTGGCTTGTCAGGCCATGTGGTGGCAGGTGTCCCACATATAAAGTAGAGGAAGATGGGCACGGATGTTAGCTCAGGGCCAGTCTTCCTCAGCGAAAAGAGGAGGATTGGCAACAGATGTTAGCTCAGGGCTAATCTTCCTCAAAGAAAAAAAAAAGTTCTGAAAAGCTATCCCTGTCTGATCATGTGTTAATCAGACCTTTAGAACAACAGACAAACAATGACTAGTAATCACTGGGGGTGACTGTGTGCAAGGTCCCATGCCAAACCTTTATATATATGAGACCTCGTTTGATCCTCACAATCACCTGAGATACCGTGAGCTTTACCTTACAAATGGGAACGCTGCAGCTCAGCAAGTCTGGGTAACTTTCCAAAACCACGAGGCCACACAGATGGCAAGAGGTGGAGCTGGGACTTGAACTCAGGTCAGTCTGAGGCACCATTCCAATTCTGTGAGGGACCACATGTGACATTTCTTTAGCGTTCTTCACTTACACAGTGCCTCACCCTGTGAAAGCTTGCTGAGTGATTGAGGTGGCACCTGTCACCTTGCTTCTTCCCAGCTGGGGTTTGAAGTGGCCTCAGAACTTCAGGGGGATCCTGGCTACCCCCTTGGGCGATTTGGAGCAGCCATCACTGCCCTGACGGACATCAATGGGGATGAGCTGATGGACGTGGCTGTGGGAGCCCCTCTGGAGGAGCAGGGAGCTGTGTACATCTTCAATGGGCGCCATGGCGGGCTGAGCCCTGAGCCAAGTCAGGTGAGGTGCCTTGCCTCCCAATAAAAACCCATTTCCAGGCACCTGGAAGCCTCCAAACCCAGCTTCTCTCCCCAGCCTGACTCTGCCCACCCTCCAGCCTGTCCTCTCCCTAGCTTAGCGTGAATTTTTCTCTTAGCGTGAATTTTTCTCTTGGTCTCAGAGGATAGAAGGAACCCAGGTGTTATCAGGAATTCGATGGTTTGGACGTTCCATCCACGGGGTGAAGGACCTTGGAGAAGATGGGCTGGCAGATGTGGCTGTCGGGGCTGAGGGTCAAGTGATCATGCTGAGGTAAGACGGGGACTCCTGAGTCCCGCCTAATGATAATTTCAGCTCCCATCCTTTGAACAGTTACTGTGTACAAGGCATTGTGCTAAGAACACTTATAGGCGTTAGCTCATTTGGTCTCCCCGACCCCTGTGAGATAGGGTTATACAGGCTCCTGTCTTAGTCCAGGTGAAACAGCTGCTATTCAGTGACAGACTGGGATTTGAACCCAGGCCTGTCTGACACTAAAACCTCCTAGAGAAGCAACCTCACATGAAGGCTTTAGAACCTGGAAACCTGGATTCAAGGGGAAGCTCTCTCATTTACTTCTTGGGTGATTTTAGCCCAGTCACTTAGCTTCCTAGGACCTCAGTTTCCTCATCTTTGAAATGGTGGTGACATTTCCTGCCTTACCCATATCTTAGAGTTTATTGGAAGCATCATGTGACAACATAGAGTGAAGAGATATTTATTGAGCACCTGCTATGTCTTAAACACTGAACCAGGCACTAAGTCTAGAGTGTATGTGTGGGGACAGACATAATAAAAGATTAAACAACTAAAATGGTAATTACAAGATGTGACAAGTGCTGTGAGGGGAGTGAACAGGGTACTGAGAGGGAGTAGCAGGGGAAACCCACTATAGATTGGGAGGCCAAGAAAGGCCTGTCTGAGGAGGTGATATTTGAGCTGGGACTTGAAAGATGAGAAAGAGCCCAGCTTGCAGAAATCTAGGGTAAGAGCTTTCTATGTAGAAAGCCCAGGTTGTGCCAAAGCCATAAGGCAGGCAAAGATTTGACGTGGCTGGAACGTGGTCAGCCGAGGGAGAGTGTGCTAGGAGATAAGACTAGAGAGTCTGGCATGGATAGGAAAACATTTGGATTTTATTCTGAATATTGTGTGGCCTCAGTGAAGGGTTCTAAGCATGGAAGGAGCTCAATATGATTTCTCTTTTTAAAAGCCCGCTCTTCTGTGTGGAAAATGGGTCAGAAGGCTACTAGAATAATTGGGGAGCTGCCCTAAGTCATTCTCATTATTATCATCGTTGCAAGGAGACAGTGACATTGAGGTCTGCTTTCGGGAAAGAGCGTCCTCTGGCCTCTGACAGATGGAGCCCCGTGTCTATGTGGTCCTGGCAGTGGAGGCTGAGGGGGAGAGTTGGTTGCGTTCTGCCCTGCAGCTCGCGGCCTGTGGTGGACGTCATCACTCTGCTGTCCTTCTCCCCGGCCGAGATCCCAGTACATGAAGTGGAGTGCTCCCCTTCAGCCAGCAACAAGAAGAAGGAAGGAGTCAACATCACAGTCTGTTTCCAGGTCAAGTCTCTCATCCCCCAGTTCCAAGGTCAGTGCTGTTCTCCTGCTCCCTGGAGCAGCTGCTCGCCCCAAATCCAGGCTGATGATGCCAGGCTCCGCCACCGTGCAACTCCTGCCTTTCCGCTCTGCCCAGGGCTCCTGGTTGCCAACCTCACTTACACTCTGCAGCTGGATGGCCATCGGACCAGAAGCCGGGGATTGTTCCCCGGAGGGAGAGATAAACTCAGTGGGAACACAGCTGTCACCCCGGTCAAGTCCTGCACTGAGTTTTGGTTCCACTTCCCGGTAAGGGAGCCAGTGAGATTGCTCAGGGAAGTGAAGGGGCAGGGGAGCTGACTGCAGTGAGAGGCAGCACCGGCTGCAAGGCTCAGCAATGTCACTGTCCAGCTGCGTCACAAGTCACTTTGATCTCTCCATACTACCGTTTCCTCTACTGTACGCTAGTAGTAATAATACCTTTAGCATATTTTCTTCTAGTCCTTAATCTATCTACAAAAGTGGTTTTAACATGATTACAATTGTAAAGTACTTATTTTTTTTCCTCCTCTTTTCATACATCATATATTAATGCTGCTACCCAGCTTTCATAATTTTTTTTTTGAGGAAGATTAGCCCTGAGCTAACATCCACCACCAATCCTCCTCTTTTTGCTGAGGAAGACTGGCGCTGAGCTAACATCCGTGCCCATCTTCCTCTATTTTATCTGTGGGACGCCTGCCACAGCATGGCTTGACAAGCAGTGCATATGTCCATGCCTGGGATCTGAACTGGTGAACCCCGGGGCCGCTGATGAAGAGCACACGAACTTAACCACTATACCACTAGGCCAGCCTATAATTATTTTTAATGGCTATGGAATATTCAATCTCAGTGGTATATCATTATTTGCCAGGTACACATGGTCATTTATTATTAACATCCATCCCAGAAAGATTTTTTTTTTTGAGAAAGATCATCCCTGAGCTCTGCCGCCAATCCTCCTCCTTTTGCCGAGGAAGACTGGCCCTGAGCTAACATCCGTGCCCATCTTCCTCTACTTTATACATGGGACGCCTGCCACAGCATGGCTTGACAAGCGGTGCCATGTCCACACCCGGGATCTGAACCGGCAAACCCAAGGCTGCTGAAGCAGAATGTGCAAACTTAACCGCTGTGCCACTGGGCTGGCCCCAGAAAGATTTTTTTTTTTTAAATGGTAGTTTAAACAATTGCTAAAATACCCAAATTCAGTTTGCTTTTAATAGTCCTGTGCAAAATAGGATTGATATTTACTAAATTATCCTGGTCTCATAAATATTTCATAAGAGACTGAGTATATGATTGGTGTATAAGATTTTCAAGTTTGTTTTATATTCTTTTTTTTTAAAGATTTTATTTTTCCTTTTTCTCCCCAAAGCCCCCCAGCACATAGTTGTGTATTTTTAGTTGTGGGTCCTTCTAGTTGTGGCAAGTGGGACGCCGCCTCAACATGGCCTGATGAGCGGTGCCATGTCCGCACCCAGGATCTAAACCAGTGAAACCCTGGGCCGCCGAAGCGGGAGCACGCAAACCCAACCACTCGGCCACAGGGCTGGCCCCTGTTTTATATTCTTTATTGTGGGAAATTTCAAATACACAAAAGTAGAAAAAATACTTTAATGAACCCCTAAATACTCATCACTCAGTTTCAACAATTATCAACTCACAATTATTTCACTCATACCTCAACTCAGTGCCCCTCTGCCTCTTCGCGCCACCACCTGCCATTACAAGATTTGGAAATTTTAAACATAAATTTGCCAGAGAACAGCCTCTGCGACATGATGGAAAGACTCTAGACTTGGAAGTTGGACGGATTTGGGTTCACTTACTAGTTCTAGTCCTTAGGAAAATTCCATCAACTTTTTAGACCTTATTTTCCTTGTCTTTAATGTGGGGATAATAATGCCTACCTCTTGGGGTTAGTAGAAACTTTAGGTGAATATGATTTGAGTGTCTACAAAGTGCCAGTGTCAGGCACTTGTAATGACATAAAAGACTAGGACCTGTCCATAGTTATTCTAGAATATTCTTTTTTTGTGTAAACTTTGATAATGGCTGCCTAGAGCAGTGTGACAAAAATTCAGGGGCTTCTGTTAGGACTCACTGGGAAGAAGTCCTGTGGTTGATTAGCAATATCTGCCATGGAATGGGGGCTGAGGACTGACACTTGTGCTAAGCAGCAGCCCTGGGCAGATTATGAACATCTGAAACGTAGTAAACATACTTCCAGTACTGGTACGGAAGACAACTAATGACTGGAATTTCATCATTTGTAAAGTATGGACGAAGTGTGCATTTAACTGGAAGTGTGCTAAAGGCTAAACTCATGACATAGGTTGTATTCTTTTCACCCTCAGGTGTGCATTCAGGACCTCATCTCTCCCATCAATGTCTCCCTAAATTTCTCTCTCTGGGAGGAAGAAGGGACACCGAGGGACCAAAGGGCGGTAAGAAGAGATCAGCTGAGGGAATTGATAGGAAGTAGGGGAGAGTAGAAATTCAATTTAGCAAGACTGTATTACATAGGAGGCTTTTGTTTTAAGCAGTAGAAATCAAATATGGCTTACTTAAGCAGGAAAGGAATTTATGCGAGTTTGTATTTAAGAGAAATTTGGAAAAGCAAGGCTGGGAAGAAGGGGAATGAGGGTGGGGGCTCTGTGCTCTGAGAGGAGGGAACAATGGATGGCCTCCTCAGGGCACAACCCATTCAGCGAATCTGCTCCAGGTCCCCGGCCGTGCAGCAGCTTCAGACCTCATCAGGCTCTTAGCGCTGCTCAAGATGCAAATTCTGGGAGAACACTTCAGAAGGCCGTGGACCACCCCTTATCTGTGGAAGGACAGGGCACCCTGATTAGCCTTCTTGCCCAGGTGTATTCAGTTGAGAGCAGGTAGTTCCTTCAAAGGCAAATTGGGGTGCTATTATTATGTGAAAGAAGAAAACAACATCTACCCTAGTCTACCAGACCACATACTCCCCACCCAGTGCCAAAAGTCTCATTTCCTTTTCCGAAATCCTGGACATTCAGCTGGTAGTTTGACTTCTGTTGGAAAGCAGCAAGGTCTGGTGGAAAGAACCTGGGCCTGGAAGCCCAAAGATGTGTTTTTTTTTTTTTTTTTTCTGGCACGAGTATGAGCACATTCTGTCCCTCTCTAGGACTATGTCCCCATCTATAAAATGAGTTCCGACATCGTGAGGCCTCTTCCAGAGCTGGAGCATGCTGACTGCTAAGTGCACTCTTTCTTGTGGCTTTTGGCAGCATGCAATGAGTGTGCACCCCTCCCCCCCCACACATGCTCACGCTCCTGAGATTTGAAGATAATGATGGGATGGTGTGTTTGTGGAAAATTAAAGCCCCTGCCCACTAGATTCTCATCATGCACTTAAGGAAAGTTGATTGAGCACCTGCTTGGGCTAAGCCCTGTTCTGGATACAGGCTCCACTAAGGTAAATAAAACTCAGTCCCTCCCCGTAAGGGGCTCACAGGCTGCTGCTGGAAGTCAAGAGACAGTTACAACATGCTGTGATAAGGCCACAGTAAAGTCAGATACAGGGTGGCAACAGTCTTATGCCACATATTTGGGAGATAAGGAAAGCCTTCCCACAAGAGGTTATTGACAGTCCCCAGGTAGGGAATGGCAGGTGGGCATTCAGAAAGAAGGCATAATGTGAGCACAGGCATAAAGATGCCAGGGGGTTGGTGTGATGGGAGCACAAAGCGAGGGGGAGGTAGAAGAAGAGCACATCCCTTCCCTTTAAGAACATTTCCTGAAAATCCACATGATGCCCACTTACATCTCATTGGTCAGAACTTAGTCACGTGGTCACACCTGACTACAAGAGAGCCAGGGAAATATAGTCTGTCCACGTGACCATGTGACCAGATAAAAAGTGGAGGCTCTATGTTAAAGGGAGCAGGTGAGGAAGGATATACAGTCGGGAGACAACCAGCAGTCTCTACCGTTGGCACTAATTAAATGCCGAACTGGGTGATGTAGGAACTCCAGGTAAAACAGAGACCAGAGGTCACAGTCATCAAAAGAGGCTTCCTGGGGGAAGTGTCATTGGCTCGGGATCTTGCAGAATGAGTAGACTTTGGGTAGGTGGAGACAGGAGAGGCCAGGGGAAGAGCCTGAGAAAAGTTATGGTGTACGTTCAAGGGAAATGGGGAGCTGGGCGTAGCTTTGGCAGGACAGCTGAGCAAGACAGAGGCCCTGGATGGCCATCTGGAACTGGCTGTGGTCCAGTGGGTGATGGGAATCTGTGTAGGAATGTTGAGGATCAGTGGTCAGCAGTCAGCAGAGGCCACCAGGACCCTTGCCCCTCAAGGAAGAGTCTGGAGGATGCTTGGCAGATGGCCTGGAAGCAGAGGAGGCAGGAGTCTTTTTAGAACATACAGCTGATAACCTATAAAATACTTCTGTGACCCCATCACCTCCAGGATAAAGTCCTAACTCCCTAACATGGCCTGCAAGGCCCAGGGAAGTCTAGACCCTGCTTCTCTCTCCTGCCTGTTGTGACACACAGCACTCCAGCCAGTCTGCACATCTTCCTGCTCCTTGTACAGACTCAGTCTCTCTTGCCTTGGGCCTTTTGATAGGCTGTTCTTTCTTCTTCCATCTCCATTCTCCTCACCAGGCCTCCCACTCATCCTTTAGATTTCAGTTCAGATGCCATTCCTTCAGGAAGCTTCCCTGATCCTCAAGTGTGAGACAGGATTCTCTTCTAAATGTTTTAAGTATACCCTGTACATTTCTGGAGGGAACACTTGAAGATTTCCTCAGATTGGGAAGGCAGGCAACGTGTCTGTTTTGTTCTCTAGTGTATACCCAGTACCCAGCATGGGGCCTGGCCCAGAGCAGAAGCTCTGGAAATGTTGAAAAAACTGGCCTTGATCTGATAAGAGATGGAGAGCTTTTCTAAAGGGGAGATGGGGTGGGCAGAGGAGAAGCACAGTGGAAGCTAGTCGCAGGCAGGTGAGTCCAGAGGCAGCGCAGCAAGGCATTTCTGCCAGGGGAGGAGACAGGCTAGGAGGAACTGTGGGAGCTGCTTTGTCAAGGCCCAGATCTTCTGTCCGGGAGAGGGAATAGGCACCCTGAGCCTCAGCCTCCCTCAGGGAGCTGCCACTGCAGGAGGGCTACACAGATGGCCTCGGGCTGAGTCAGGAGGATGGGGCCTGCCCTGGGAAGGCATTGGCTCCTGGGAGTGCAGACCACAGCCAGCCATCTGAGCCCCAAGCCCTGAGCCCCTCTAGCTCTCTTCCACGAGTTCTGCTGCCTCAACTAACCTTTCCTGTCTCCTGGCCCTCCACTCGACGGTGCTCAGCAGGGCAAGGACATACAGCCCATCCTGAGACCCTCCCCACACTCGGAGACCAAGGAGGTAAGAGGGGAAAAGGGGCAGAGAGGTCAGGTTCAGGCCCTCTGGGTCTGGGGGCCTGAGCCTCCTAGTCCTTTCTTCTTGGCCTTTTAGATCCCTTTTGAGAAGAACTGCGGAGAGGACAAGAAATGTGAGGCAAACCTGGGGCTGTCCTTCTCCCCTACAAGGTCTGTAAGGCTTCCAAGCCTCCCAGCCCCTGGGCCCTCCTATTCCACTCTGTGTTTTTCTGAGGTATCTCCTGTGCGCTAGAAAGAGTGCTGGGTGTGGAGTCAGAAGACCCCCGTCTGTGCTCACTAGATGTGTCACCTGGGCCTTGGTTTCCTTCTCTGAGACATGCAACGCCCTTGTGGCACTCCTGTCAGGATTAGATGAGATCACAAAACTTAAAGCCTGTGCACCGGAGCATATTTTTTTGTACTTACTTTTTCTGGCCTACCAGATCACTCAGTTCTGAAATTCCCTGACTCTGATCCTGCTTCCTTCACTTTGGCCTCCACAACTTTTCTCTGATCTTCCCCCAGATCCAAAGTCCTGCGTCTGACCCCCTCTGCCAGCCTCTCTGTAGAGTTGACACTGACCAACTCAGGAGAAGACGCTTACTGGGTCCGGCTCGGCCTGACATTGCCCCGGGGACTGTCCTTCCGCAAAGTGGAGATGCTCAAGGTGAGCGAGGAGGCAGGGCCTGCCCACATGCCACGCTTGACTTTGCAGCTTCTGCTGGACTGTAGAAGACTCAGGCAGCCAAGACAGCCTGAAGACGTGGGCAGCAGCTGGCATGCAGAGGACTTAGGGCCATCTGGGTTTTCAGCCTGATAGCCACTGTTGAGCTATGTGACTTGAGATGCAAAATTCCCTCTCTTTGGGTCTCAGATTCCGCAACCAAAACGTGAGGCTGGGGACACTCGCAGGGTCAGTGAGAGGGTCATGTGAAATAGAGGGTGTGACAGAGGCTTGTGGAGCTGGCGAGTAAGATGTGCACAGGTTTAGTGAGATCGAGCTGTCTCTCTGCTAGTGGTGACCAAAGTGTTTTGAGGGATGGCCTAGGTTGTTTTAAATACAACTTTTATTTTTTAAATTATTACTACAAAAGTAATACACGATCACTACAGAAACTCGGAAATTACAGAGAAGTCTAAAGAAAAGACAATGAGCTCTACTTCTACAACTCAGCAATTACTACGTTTAATATTGTGGTGTTCATCTATACGCATATGAACAATTACATTGTATGTTTACTTATTCTATATTTGTTTTGACCAATTGGCATCTTGCTCTCCACATGGTTGTTTTTCCTACATCTTGTTTTAAAATTTTTTATTGTGCTAAAATATACATAACATAAAATTTACCGGTTTATCATTTTTAAGCATACATTTCAGTGGCGTTAAGTACATTCACAATGTTGTACAACCATCACGACTATCTACTTGCAGTACTTGGAGCTCTCTACTCATTGAGCAATAACTTCCCACTCCCAGCCCTTTGCCCCTGGTAACCTCTAATCTACTTTCTGTCACTATGAATTTGCTCGTTTTAGATATTTCGTGTAAGTGGATTCATACAATATTTGTCCTTTTGTCCCTGTCTTACTTCCCTTAGCACAATGTTTTTGAGGTTTATCCATGTGAAAGCATGTATGAATTTTGTTCCTTTTAAAGGCTGAGTGCTATTCCATTATATGGATCTACCACATTTTGCTTATCTGTTCATCCATTGATGGACGCTTGACTTAATCTTATACAGCAACATCAAATGCTTCCCTCGGGGGCATCAGAACTTGACATCTGGCATCAGACCTGCATTCAAGTTCCTGCCAGATCCTGCTGTCACCCAGTGATGAGACCTTGGAGAAGTCTCTTAACTTCCTTGAGCCTCTTTTTCCTTCTCTAATTCCCTTCCCAAGTTGAGGCTGAAGTCTGACCCTCACAGATTGTGATGGAGATGAATGGCTTCATGCTGCTCAGCCCAGGATCAAGCTCCTTTCCAAAATGGTTGCGGACTGTGGAGATGTAGCAGCATTTTAACGATCTCTGCGTGTTCTCTTCTGTGATTTTCCCGCAATTTACCGAACCATTCCTATCTCTTTGAACTGTTTTATTATTTCCAGTTTTTCATTATTATAAATAATGTTGCAGTGGCCGGCCCTTTGGCTGAGTGGTTAAGTTTGCACACTCTGCTTCGGCGGCCCAGGGTTTTGCTAGTTCAAATCCTGGGTGTGGACATGGCACCGCTCATCAAGCCATGCTGAGGCAGCATCCCACATGCCACAACTAGAAGGACCTGCAACTAAAAATATACAACTACTGGGGCGCTTTGGGGAGAAAAAGGAAAAAATAAAATCTTAAAAAAAAAAATAGTAATGTTGCAATGAACATCTTTGCACTAAACCTCTGTCCATGCCTCTGGTTCTTTGGCCCCACTTCTCTGAGAATGGGCCCTGGCAGGGACAGAGCCCTGCAGTAGGTAGGCCCTGAGGGTTGGTGGCCCCTGGGAACTCTTGGCCTCACCCACTAACAAGCTTGTTCTCTCTCTTCTCCCGGCCAGCCTCACAGCCAGATACCTGTGAGCTGCGAGGAGCTTCCTGAAGAGCCCAAGCTTCTGACCAGGACCCTCTCTTGCAACGTGAGCTCTCCCATCTTTAAAACAGGCAGTTCGGTGAGTGCTTTGAGCCCCTAGAACCAAGCAGCCCAGGGACTGTGAACTCAGGAGCGGAGGGAGCTCCTGGCTCTGGGGAAGTGTGCAGGTGATTGGCCAAGAAGGGCCTTCCCTGCCCACTGTCCCAAAGGGAATGTGGCTAGAGCTGCTTTGAGTCATGTTTGAGAGCCTGGACTTTGGAATCAGACAAACCTGGGGGTGGGTTATTTATTTTGTGAACTTAGACTCATGACTTAACCATTTGGGACCTCAGTATCCTCATCTGTACCTGGGGAGAAAACACCTAGCCCAGTGTTTGAGATGTAGTAAGCACTCAATAAGTGGTCGCTGTTATTATGGCTATTGGACAAGGGGGCTGTGAGGAGCTCAGGCTGCCTCCTGAGGTCCAGGCCCTTTCCTTCTTCATTCTCCTCTCCTTCCCTGCCAGGTTGTTATCCAGGTGATGTTTCATACGCTGATGAACAGCTCCTGGGGGGACTTTGTTGAGCTGCACGCCAATGTGAGCTGGTGAGCAGGCCCCAGGACGGCCCCTGCCAGCATCTCCGCCCTGGCCTCAGACTGTCACACAGTCCTGGCCAAGCCCTTCTAACACTGCCCTCTACCTTACCCAAATGCAGTGAAAATGAAGACTCAGGCCTCCTGGAGGACAACTCAGCCACCACCAGCATCCCAGTCCTATACCCTGTCAACATCCTGACTGAGGAGTAAGTCCTGAGCAGCCGTCCAACCCTCTCTTCCTATTTCAGCCTCTCCACCCAGGGCCCCAGCCTTGCTCCCCAGGGCTCTCCCTCAAAGCCCTCTCCCTTCCCAAGAGTCCCCCAGGGATAATTACAACTGATTCCAGCAGCATTTACTGATGGAAGAAAAAGTACATTGAATGCTGACCTTATGTGAGACTCTGTGCCAGCTGCACTGCACAGCTGATGGCTTTCCCTGGAGCTTTCAACACCTCACAAGGATGCTGTGCCTCTCTCTGTTTTCCTAATGAACAAACTGAGGGTTTTACTAATGAACTCTCCGTTTTACTAATGAACAAACTTGCTCAAATTTGTACTGCTAGGAAGTACTGACACCAGGATCTGAACTTAAGTCTGACCCCAAAACCCCAGCCAAGCTCTTTACTGTTTTCATCTGGGCTAGATTTCCTCCCTTCCTGGGGCCAGCAGTGCTAGAAGAGAAGGGAGGGAAGTTTCCATGAGGGCCTTTGCCCACAGAGAGCTGATGGTCACACAGGAGAGCCCAAACTCATGCACGTAGAATCAGTGAATCTCAGAATGTTGTGGCTGGAAGGACCCATGGGGATCACTAGTTTGATTTTCTTATTTACAGAAAAGGAGATTAAGCCAGAAAAGTGGAGTGGCTTTTTTAAGTAGGCTCAGTGAGATGAGGACAGGGACAGTGTCTGAGCCAGTCTCTAGTGCTTTTGAACACAAGTGCCAAACAGAATGATATTGTCTGGCACAATCAGAGGCACTCACAACTAGAATATACAACTACCTACTGGGGGGGCTTTGAGGAGAAGAAGGACAAAAAAAAGATTGGCAACAGATGTTAACGCAGGTGCCAACTTAAAAAAAAAATAGAATGATATTGTCTGAAGTGTGATATGAGATTAGAGCCAGGAAAGATGATACAGGTCAGAGGAGAGATGGAAGGGGTCACGGAGATGTTGAGGCTTAAACTAGGCTCTAGAGGATGAGGGGGTTCAGGTTAGGGCCAGGAAAGAGGGAGGACATTCTCATCAGAGAGAACAGCATAGGTGAAGGCAGGGAGGCAGCAAACAGTGGGGCAGATCTGGGGAGCAGGGAGTGGGCAGGCTCAGGAGAGGGCAAGTATGTGCCAGGAAGCAGCATGCAGGCAGACTAGGAAGTGGGCAGGTCCAGATATAGGGGGCTTTGGATCTGACCTTTGTGGGCAGCAGGGAGCCATTGATGGATTCTGAGTGGGTGAGCGGCTGAGTTACTGAGTAGTAAAGGGAGGAAGGTCAGTGGAAGGATGGGGTGGGAGAGGGAGCCAGAGGCTGAGCAGCCATCTAAGAGATGAGCAGTGGGGCCCAGAGTACAGTGGAGACTGGTGAGGGGGTACGTAGTGGGCGGACTTGGCTCCAGAGGCATACCGCCTGGTTCCGGTCCTGGTCCTCCATTGCAGGACTTGGATAAGAGGCTGCCGCCTTCCATGAGCCTTAGTTTCCAAAGGGAAATAGCTGGGCATCGTAGGGGTGAAATGAGATCATGCCTGTGCAGTCCCTAGCACAGGGGCTGGCAACTCAGAGGCTGTGCCTGGCCCAGGCCGCCCTGTCCTCCTGGAGACTGGGTTCCTGTCTTCTCCACCTTCTACCTCTGCTCTTCTCTCTCTCCACAGCCAAGAAAACTCCACACTCTATATCAGCTTCACCCCCAAGGGTCCCAAGATCCACCATGTCAAGCACATCTACCAGGTATGAACCTCAATGTGAAAAGATTCTTATGTTCATTTACACATTCATGCAGCCCCATCCTGGGGACCAGGGATGCAGAGACCAACCAGACACAGTCCCATTCTCGAGTCCAGCCCCCCACCTAGTTCATGATCCTTTCCATACAGCCTCACAGCCTCCACTGAAATGCTTCCGGGGTGGCATCCTCACCAACTCCTACCCACCACTGGATAAATTATTTATAGACTCTCCGAACTTGAGAGCCAGAAGGGCTCTGAGAGAGAACCTTGTTTTTCATTCCAACATTTAACGAGCCACTGTTTACTTTGCTAGGTGCTGTGGCAGCAGCAGATAAAACAGGGTCCCTGACCACTCAACTAACCAAGTCCTGTGTCTGGTTCTTTATATACTGAGCCCCCTACAAGTCTCACATCAGCCTGTGAGATCCCTATAGTAGGCACTGTGGTTCCCATTTTACCTATGAGAAATCTGTGGCACAGACAGATTGGGTAACTTGCCCAAGTTACACAGCTAATAAGGGGAAAGGTCAAATTCAATCACTTATTTGAGTACCAAAATCCATGTGTTTAACCTCGAAAAGAATCTGTCACTTCTCATGCCGTACACTCAGTGCTATAATAGCACTCTTCATTATGGGAGCTCAGAAGAGGGAGAATCTAAGGCTTGAGGAGTCTAAGCCTTTCTGAGAGGTCATCTCTGAGCCAAGAGTAGGCATGGACCAGGTCAAGAGCATTGTCATTTTACTGTGGAGGAAACTGAGGCCCCAAAGAGGAAGTGTGTCACTCAAGGCCTCACTGGAGTTGGGGCGGACTGGGAAAGAAACCCAGCAGTAAAGGGACCCCAAGCAGTTTAGGGCCCTTTAGGATAGAGGCTGGAGCCATCTCCTCTTGATACTTCAGTGAGGGAGAGTGGCCTTTGGGAAGGTCAGATGCCCATTTGCATTGAAATAGAATGTTTTGAATGGCCAGTTGAGTTGGCTTCTAATTCTGTTCACTGGGATGGCGCTAGGTTCCCTAGGGAGGTTGGCCAGGCCAGTCCTTTTACAATAGAATAGTGGGAAGGAGTTGAGCAGACATGGATCCAAACTCCAACTCTGCCACTTGTGCTCTGTGTGACCTTGGGCCAGGGACTTACCTGTCCATGCCTTAGTTCCCCCCTGTGACAAATGGGGATTTGGAATAAGAACTTGACAGGTGGTCCTGAGGTTTAAATGGGTTACTTACTCCCTGTAGAGTTCTGGGCACGGTGTCTTGGGAGCTGAAGGTGGTTGTAGGAGCGAGGTGGGTATTGTGTTGTGGCCCTGAGAGTCCCCAACTCCTTTGGAAGCCTCCTTACGTTCATGCCTCCTGCAGCCTGGAACCAGCTCAAACTCTTTGAGCTTCTTCTCTCTCTCTCCCTCCCCCACCCCAGAATAGTCATCAAGGCTAGATGCCTCCATCCATCTCACCACCCTCCGGCATCACAAGCTATGTGTTTGGCTCCCCACTCTCCTCCTCCAAGCAGCCACTCTTGCTAAAGGCCCTAATTGTTTCCATTTTAACTAAACCCAACACGGCATGAGACACTGGTGATCCATCCCTCTTTTGTAAGTCTGCCCTGTTAATCAGGCCCTTTTTGCCATAAGGAAGTTAGCTCTAATCACTGAGGTTTACTGTAAGCTAAACAGGCATGGACATCCAGTGAGAGCTGGACAGCTGGGCTACAGGCTCTCCTTCCTCATTGTCTCCTGCTCCCCTGGCTGGTTAGGAGCTTAGGCTTTTTGAAGCCCTGCCATTTAAAGCTGTGGGGCCTTAGGCAGTTTACTTACCCTCTCTGAGCCTCAGTTTTTCAATCTGTAAAATGATGAAGGAGATGACAATAGCACCTACCTTATGGGGTTGTTATGAGGAGCAAATGAGAAAATGCATGTTAAGTGCTTAGCATAGTGCTTGACACATAGGATATCAGTCAACATTGGCTGTTTTTATCATTATTATTATTATCACCATGATCCAATGAAGGTGATAGAGCCTAGTGGTTCCAGTCTCTGGAGTCACAGCCTAGATTAAAATGCCAGCTCTACTTCTTGATAGCTTCAGACAAATTAGCTAATCGCCCTCCCTGAGCCTCAGTTCTCTCATCTGTAAAATGGGGATGTCAGTCCTACCCACTATATCAGAATGTTGAACGAGCTAAATGAGATCATGCATTTAGTGAGCATCAGAGGAGACCCAGCCCACGGCGTGTTCAGTAAGTGGTGATAGTTATTAGCTACCTGTTCCAGCCCTGTGTCTTGTGCTCTGTCGCCATCACCATTCCCTCACAGCAGGTTCGTGGCTCTGGGCTTGCGCTACTGCTTGCTCTGATTCTGTTAGTTTCCACCAGCTGTGTCTCACTTCCCACAGTGTGCATGTACCCCTTCCAACCGACAACTCCAGACTGTCCCTCCTGCTCCTCCAGTGAACCTGTCCCTGCAAGTTGGGACTCATCTCCACTGGGATGTCTTTACAGCATCTTTTTTTTTTTTTTTTGTCCTCTAACAGCTTTATTGAGCTATAGCTCGCACCATGCAACTTACCCACTTAAAGTGTACAATTTCAGTGGTTTTTAGTGCCTTCACAAAGTTGTGCAACCATCACCCTAATCTAATTTTAGAACATTTTCGTTACTCCAAAAAGAAACCCTGTACCCATTTGCAGTCACTCCCCACTTCCTTCTCCCCCAGCTCCTGACAACAACTACTTTGGTCTCTCTCTGCAGATTTGCCTATTTTGAACAGTACATATGAGAGAAATCATAAAATATGTGTTTTTTTGTGACTGGCGTCTTTCACTTAGCACAGTGTTTTCAAGGTTCATTCATGCTGTAGCATGTGCCAGTATTTCATTCATTTTTATTGCCAAATAATATTCAGTTGTAAGATAGGCCACATTTGATTTATCCATTCATCAATCAATGGACATTTGTGTCGTTTCCACTCTTTGGCTATTATGGATAATTCTGCTTGAACATTCCTGTTCGAGTTTTTGTGTGGACGTATGTTTTATTTCTCTTGGGCATGTAAGTAGGAGTACAATTGCTCCTCTTGAAGCTTTGGTCTCAACATGTTCTAAACTAAATTGATCATCTTCCCCTAAGCCAGCATCTCCTCTGACTTGCTTAGAATAGTTTAAAAGTACCTTTTCCTCAAACAAAACTTCCAAGTCTGGGCGAATTTTTCCCTCCTCCGTGCCTGGTCCCACTGCCTCCTCACATTCTGCTGTCTGCACCCTCTTCTCTCTTTTGTCCCTGCCACTGCTCAGACTCAGTTCCTCATCTTCTTGCAATGGGACTGTTGTCTCACGCCCCCAGCATGGGCCTTGACCCGCCCTTCCCAGCTTCCTTCCATTTCCTGCCTGCAGTCGATGAAGCCCCCTGGAGCCAGCCCCTCCTCAGCTGCCTTCCATGGCTCCTCATTGCCTTCTCAGTAGTCCCCTGACTTCTTGCCCGCAGGCCTTCCAGGTTCCACAGCCTCACCTCTAGTCTCCTTCCCAGACTTATCTCCTCTCCCCTCCCCGTCACCCTGCCGTCTGGCCACATCACACCTGCTGTCCTGACTCCCTCATTTTCTCTTTCTGGATGGCTTCGCCCCGTCTTCATCTGTTAAAGTCCCGTCTGTCTTTTACAGTTAAGTTGAAATGCTGCCTCTGACATAAGGCCTTTTTAATTTTTTTTAACTGATATTTTAAAAGTGTCCACAAGTGTTTGTGGAATGCGAGAAGCCCTCACACTGGATATTTATCTCCCTGCTTGACCTCCCTGAGACTTTCACTCGTGCTAATCCTGTGTCACTTTCTTATACATTTCTGCGTCTTCCAGCACTAGCACAGATAGCTCTTTTGTATAAAAAGTATTCAAGAAATGTTTCTTAAATTAATTCAATGCACTTGCCAAAATTGGGTCTTTCCCAACCTACGTTATGCATATAATTTCTGCATCTATCCTTGTTAAATGTCATTCATTCTCACACTCATTCAAAAAACTACTTTTCTTGAGGCTTGTTATATGCTGTTCCGTGTCAAGCAGTAGGGAATTGCAGGTGAAATAAACCATAGTTCCTGTGCTCCTGCAGCTCTCACGGTCTAGTGGAGAGACAGACACGGCAGATACTTTGCCATCCTGCTAGGGAGGTAGAGTGCTGTGGGAACACACGATGGGGAAGCTGCTCTATCCTTGGGGAGTCAGCCAAGCCTTCAGAGATGATATCTGAGCAGTACCTTGCAGGATGGGTGAGGGTTTGCCATGTGGAGAAAGCAGAGAAATGTACATAACCCACACTGTAAGGCTTTGAGGACAGGGCCCGGGTGTGGTTGATCAGTGCCCACTGCCTAACAAAGAGTGGGCTCTTGGGCCTCGGCTAGTGAAGATTGGATCTGGGGTGCAGTTGGAGTGGCTGGCATTCCAGGCTCTGCAGCCCCTTTTCCTCTGTACCAGGTGAAGATTCAGCCTTCTGTCCATGACCACAATGTGCCCACCCTGGAGGCTTTGATTGGGGTACCATGGCCTCACAGCAAGGGGCCCATCATGCACAAGTGGAGAGTGGAGATGGTGAGTGCTGCACACCTGGGTGAGCTCATAAAGGGTATAGGTGTGTGAGAAGGGAGTGAGGACGGATGAATTCTGTCAGACTCAGTGATATCTGAATCCGCTAAGGGCCAGTCGGGAAGAACTGGGATGCCAAGGTCTTATCTGGGGAGTAGGGAGGAATGCCAGGTTCCAGCCTTAAGGGGCTGGTGTCCTCTCTCAGTTCTGGACTAACTGAAGACCCCACCTCATCATTCCTAGGAGCCTCCTAGCACCTGCTACCATGAGGATCTGGAGATGCCACCCAGTATGGCTGAGGTATGGGCATATGAGCTAAGAAATTGGAATAGGGGCTGGACAAAGTGCAGGTGGGAAGACAGGCTCTCTGACCCCTGCTTTCTTTAGTCCCCTCAGCCTTGTTTGCCTGGAGCCAAGTTCCGCTGCCCACTTGTCTTCAAGCAGGAGATTCTCATCCAAGTGATCGGGACAGTGGAGCTTGTGGGGGAGATCGAGGTGACACATGCTGGAAGCAGATGCGCAGTGGTTTTGGGGGGCCTAAAGGGAGGGGGGTAGGCATCCCCACCATGTAGTCTTCCTGCATTTTTCTGTTATAGCTTGATGAAGTATCCTCAATGTTTACACCATTGCAGATGAAAGAGAACCATGATTTGTTTGAATTTTGCAGGGCTGTTTTCATGGGCCTACAGATAGTTCTTCTATGTTCTTTTTGTGTGTGTGTGAGGAAGATTGGCCCTGAGCTAATATCTGTTGCCAATCTTCTTCTTTTTGCTCAAGGAAGATTGTTGCCGAGCTAACATTTGTCCTAATCTTCCTCTATTTTATGTGGGACGCCACCACAGCATGGCTTAACGAGCAGCACTAGGTCCACACCTGGGATCCGAGCCTGTGAACCCTGGGCCGCTGAAGCAGAGTGCACAAACTTAACCACTGCACCACCAGGCCAGCCCCTTCTATGTTCTTTATAGGAAAAATTTCCTTCCAACAACGTGGAGTGGTACATTAGATGCCACAGTAGAGAACTGAGTAGAAGTGGTGCACCCCACTAGAACCCATTCACCTTTGCTCCCCATTGAGTTGAGGTGGGGGCAGCAGTGAGTGTGTTCTTAGTCCTTGTTCTCCACCCTCCCACAGGCCTCCTCCATGTTCAGCCTCTGCAGCTCTCTCTCCATCTCCTTCAACAGCAGCAAGCATTTCCACCTCTATGGCAGCAATGCCTCTCTGGCCCAGGTATCTCTCTGCCTCCTCAGTAGACCCTGGAACAGAGGTCAGCAGAGGGATCTGAGGAAGCCCAGGGTGGAGCTAGAGGAGCTAGAGCTGGAAGTGGGAGAGCCACACAGGAGAAGGGTGGGCATTGCATAGTAAGAACCACCCCACAACCAGAACCATCACCCTGGGCAGAGGCTTCCTGGGAAGCCGTGAGCTCCCCACCAGTACTGGTGGGCGAGACCACAAGGTCACCTGTCTGAGATGTGTCAGGTAAAGATCAGTTTGATGGCAGCTCAGCAAAGGGGTACCCATCTCACAGGCAGAGTGTGAAGGGAAGGTGCTCTAAGCAGAGAGAGCAGCGAGGGCAGGGCTCAGAGTCGAGAGAGTGGGCAAGGCAGGTTTAAGAGCAGGAAGCTCACAGGACTAGAAGGGAAGTGGCGCTTTTAGCTTTTTACCTTTTTAAGGTAAGCAAAAGCCAGATTCTGGAAGGTTTGCATGCTGAGCTGAGATTCTGGCATTTTATCCCGCAGCTGAGGGGAAGCTATTTAAGGGTTTAAGGTGGGCCATGGTGCTTGTTTGCCAGTTGGTTCCAGTGCCTGCAGTGGGAGATATACTGGAGAGAGAGGATCTGGGCCCAAGGCCGGTGCCATGATACAGTCCAGACCGGAAATGCTAAGACCTAGAGATGGAGACCGGATTCATAAGAACTGTTAGGAGTGGGAAAGGTTTCTTCCCTGCTCTTCCCTCCTCTCCTCCCTCAGGTCATCATGAAGGTCGACATCGTCTATGAGAAGGAAATGCTCTACCTCTACGTGCTGAGTGGCCTCGGGGGGCTTTTGCTGCTGTTGCTGATTTTCATGGCGCTCTACAAGGTGGGAGCTTCTGGGAGTAACGGGTATTGCTGAGATAGCCAGGCTGGGGAAAGGGGAATGGGCAGGAGTCAGGGAGGAGAATGCCATGATCAGGGAGCTTTAAAGCTAGGAGGGGCCTCAGCTTACTTCCTCCTTCCACAGATAAGGCTACTGAGGCCCAAAGAGCAAGTGAGACTTCTCCCCCATCCTTCCAGCGAGCACTGGCAGAGCCAGGACTAGGTACCCAGGAAAAAAGACTCTCCCACATACAGAGGGCCAGGCATTGGGCTGCAGAGGCGCATACCACAAACACCATCCCTGCCTTTGTGGAGCACACAGTCCAACGGGGGAGACAGACAGGAACACACAAGATGAGGGCTCCACTAGGGGGCCTGTGTGCTCTGGAGCCTATAACACAGGAGCCTAACTTAAGCTGGGGAGTCTGGGAAGGTCTTCCAAGAGGTGGTTGTTGAGTTGGGATTTGAAGGATGGGTAGAAGTTAGCCAGATGAAGAGGGCTGGAGGGCAGACATTCCACGTGAAAACCTCAAATATTCCAGAAAAGAGAACACAGAAAATCAAAGTTTCTTCCTGTTGCACCCAGAGGGTTGTCATTATCAACCATTTTGTTTCTCTTCTTCCAGGTTCTAAGTTTGTTGTTAAAATATGAGTATACGTGTGAGCGTGAGAGAGAGAAAGACAGAAAAGTCAGCATATGTGTGTATATGTAGAAAATGTCAATGGCATAATACCACATATACCGGTTGAGCACTTGTCTTTTCCCTGGATATCTTGATGTCTTCCCATCTGAGCACAATTAGGTCTACCTCTTGTTTTGTAACCTGGGTGGTTTTCTGCTGTCTGGATGCCCCGCCTCTTATTGAACAAGTTCCCTATTGATGAGCATTTAGATTGTTTGTAATTTACGTGCATCTCTTTCAAACAATGTGACCAAAAGGCTCTTGTTACCCACTTCTTTGTACACTTGTCAAAATATTCTTTGGAATTAATTCCTAGAGCTGGAATTGCTGAGCCAAAGAATAGATATATATGTTTTGAGCTTTCAACAGAGACTGCATGGCACAGACCGGGCACTAGCTAAGTGTGGGCTCTTACTGTTATTATTACTAGATGTTGTCACATCACTCGCCTCAGATATTGGTACATGACATTTTGATGAGCCTAAAGAATGAGTTATGAACCCTACAGCTTTTTAACATGTTGCCAAGAACCAGGTGCAGCAGATAGCCTTATCCTATCCCTGGAGCGGAAACTATGGGTCTGTGGCAAAATATAACTTATTAACATAAAGGATTCTGTCATGTTTTTCCGGGGCCAACTGGTGCAGTGTGCTCCCGGGACTTTCTGCTCACTCAATTTTTGTCTTCCTGTAGGTTGGCTTCTTCAAACGGAACCTGAAGGAGAAGATGGAGGCTAGCGCAGATGCCTCAGACGGAATCCCTGGGGAAGACTCCGGGCAGCCGGCGTCTGAGGAGGAGGCTATGGATCCGGGCTGCCGGGATCCACTCCACGAGGAAGAGGCCCAGGATGGAGGTGGCAAAGACTGAGGCCTAGGCCTGAGGCAGAGGGCCCAGGACTGGACTTGGGATGCCTGGTGCCGGTCTGCCGCTACCTACATTTCACTGTGTGTCTTCGAGCAAGTCACTGCCCCTCCCTAGGCCTGTTTCCCTGTCTTGAACGTGGAGCTCATTCCTCCCTGCCTGCTTTTGCAGGCTAATGGTGAGGAGCCACTGAGGGATGGGCCAGGAAGGCTACAGAGGTGAGGCCTTGTATCAGATGGCCCTGGCTTCCAGCAGTCCATCAGTCCCTCCTAGTTTCCTCCCCTGGAAGAGAACGCCTGATCTAATCTGGAGAAACTGTAGTGTCAGGACGCTCCAGGCCCTCACATCCACCTGCGCTTAGATGTCCATAGAGGCTTCAGACTCCCAGAACCTTACCCTGCACTATCTCCTGCCCGGAGTCAGCTTTCCATTCTGCGGCCCGAGAACAAATCTGATCCGTGTCACTACGTTGCTGCTGCAAACCCCCTGCCCTTTGCTAAAGACCAAATTCCTTAATATGCCTTCCAAAATCTGGAAAACTAGGCCCCTGTTGCCTTCCGAGCCTTCTCTAGAGACATCCCCCCTCCCTTTCTAACCTTCAGTTACATCAGCCTTTTTCATTTGCCAAGGTCCTTCCTGTCTCGCTGCCTTCACTCAGACTACTCTCTCTGCCTGGAACATTTCTCCTGCTTCCCTTTCCTGGCTAACTCTCACTCGGCCTTCAGCTCTCAGCTCACACGTCACTTCCTCAGGGCAGCCCCCCGGCCCTGACTCAGGTGGGCTCCCATGTTGTACACGCTTACACGAGCCTGCACTTGTCTCTCATCGCACAGATCATACTTGTTCATCATCAGATGATTTACTTAATATCCATCTCTCAAATTAAACAGTGAACTCCATGAGGGTAGGGACCATACCTGTCTTGTTCACCTTGGGATCCCTGGTGATACCACAGAGCCAGACACTAGTAGGTGCTGGAACAATTGCATTGAATTAGTGAGGGAGCCTGCAGGAAGACAGAGAAAAAAGTTTGGCTGGGCCGTGGCATCCCCATCCTTCAAGGCTCAGTCTTTCCCAGGCTCCTGGCCCCCTCCTGCCACAGCCCCACCAGGACTGCATCACAGCCCCCCGTGGTTCCCACTGTGAGACTGTGAGCTCAAAGCTGAGGACCATGTCTGTTCAGCTGGCTCCCCAGTGCCAAGCACAGTGCCTGCGTATATTCATCCCATAAGTGTGAAATTCAGTCCAATTTTGTGATGTTTTCATGCTTGGTGTAACATTCCAGCCTGGCTCAATTAAATCAGCATTTCCTTCTCAACCCTTTCACTAAGTGGGAAAACAGCTCTTCATTTTCCTTTCTTTTCTTTATTATTATTATTATTATTATTATTTTGCCATGATGACCATCAGAGACTGACCTGCACCTGACATTGTGAGTTAATTCAAAAGAGAAGCAGGGAGAGACACACAGAAAGTGAGAAAAGGTTAGGTAAGCATCGACAATTCATTAAGACATGAGAATACACCCTCCCTGCCCTGCCTTTTTAGAGCAGTGATTGGAGGGGCCGGACCCTCAGGCCTCCCCATAGAAGGGACAGAGGGGACTAGTCAGTGCTGCCCTCTTGTGGTCGGTAGGACCCCGGGGGAATACTGAGTAAGCCTAAGCCAGCTCAGAGTGCAGCGCCAGGAGGTAACATTCCGTTGCCCAAGCAGTAACCTTTGATGGCTCCCTTCTGCCCGTAGAGGAGTAAGTGAACATTCCCAAGCCTGGCACACAAGGCCCAGATCATTTCAAAGCATGCCGGCCTCTCCAGCTCATCAACCCTCTTCTGGATAAGCAAGGCATCAGGAAGGAAGAAGAGAAGCCCCTTTTCCCGGAGAGGGGAAAAAATGTTTTAACTGTCAGGAATATCACAGAACAACTAAAGGTATATGAAATTATCTGTAGGTCGCATGAAACATAAAGTGGTGATGGAATGGGTCATTTTGTCTAGGAACCGATGAGATGAGGAAAGCTTTGAAGGAGGAAGATTTTAATGGATAGAAAAGAGGTGAACCTGCTGGCAAGGGGAACAGCATGTGCAAAGGCACAGAGGTTCTATTCATTCATGCAGGATTTCTTGAGTGCTTTGAGTCGCCCTGTTCTGTGCTCAGAGGACAGGGTGATGAACAGACAAAGAAGTCCTTTCCCTCAGGAAATTTCACTCCCATGGGAAAACAGAGTAAAACAGAGTAAAAAAAGTAGAAGTGTGGTTCCAGGGCCATGAAGATAATAAAGCAGGATAACAGGTTAGAGGTGATGGAGACAGCCCTTTTAGATAGGTGGTCAGGGAAGTCTGTCTGAGGAGGTGATACTCTGTGACACAAAAAAAAAAAATGAATATTTTCATCAAAGCTGGAAGCAAAAAAGTACAGAAAATTTGAAGGGTTCATTTCAGGAACACAGCTGCCATCATCACACCAAGGAATCTATTTCCCAACTCACTTAACAGCCCCTGTCCTCACACATGTACTCTTTCCCTGCCTCTGTGTCTTTGCACATGCTGTTCCCCTTGCCAGCAGGTTCACCTCTTTTCTATCCATTAAAATCTTCCTCCTTCAGGGGCCGGCCTGGTGGCACAGCAGTTAAGTGCGTATGTTCTGTTTTGGCGGCCTGGGGTTCACCAGTTTGGATCCCAGGTGTGGACATGGCACTGCTTGGCAGGCCATGCTGTGGTACGCGTCCCATGTATAAAGTAGAGGAAGATGGGCACGGATGTTAGCTCAGGGCCAGTCTTCCTCAGCAAAAAGAGGGGGGTTGGCAGCAGATGTTAGCTCAGGGCTAATCTTCCTCAAAAAAAAAAGGGGGGAAAAAAAAGAAAAAACAATCTCCCTCCTTCAAAGCTTTCCTCATCTCGTCGGTTCCTAGACAACATGACCCATTCTATTACCACTTTGTTTGTACCTCATTGGGGCACATAACTGTGTGGTGCTGACTGTGTGGGCTCCTGTCACAAGACTAGGAGGTTCTGAAAAGTAGGACTCAGGCCCTACTCATGTGTTACCAGTACCAACCCCTCACCAGAGCTGGCACGAAGGAGGTGTTCAATAAATGTTGGATTCAGTGGCCCTCAAATGTTTTGGTCTCATGACCCCTTTATACTCTTAAAAATTGAGGCCCCCCAAAGAGCTTTTGTTTATATGGGTTATATGTATCGGTGTTTCCCAATTAGATTTTAAATGGGGAAAATTTTAAACATAAGAACACCTAAGACCACATTCCAGGCGAGCCGTCAGAGGGACGACATATGTCATCACATGTCATGCAGGCTCTAGAAAACACTGTACTTGCGGGATAAAAGAGTGAAAAACTAAATAACATCTTAGTATTGCTAGGAAAATAGTCAAAACCTAGTAGGTTTGAATCCAGGCTCTACTGCTCCCTAGTTGTGTGATGCGGGGCAGTTATCCTCTCTGGGACTCATTTCTTTTTTTTAAGGAAGATTAGCTCTGAGCTAGCATCCGTGCCCATCTTCCTCTATTTTATATGTGGGATGCCTGCCACAGCACGGCTTGCCAAGTGGTGCCATGTCTGCACCCGGGATCCAAACTGGCGAACCCCAGGCCATGGAAGCGCAACGTGCGCACTTAACCGGGCCGGCCCCTGGGACTCATTTCTTCATCTGTAAAGTGGGAATAATAACTGTATACACCTCAGAGCTGTTACGAGCATTAAATGAGAACACCCATAAACTGCTTAGCACTGTTCCTAGCACTTAAGTGCTTGATAATGGTGGTGGATAGAGATGGGTTGTTTAGTTGCGCAGGATGATGTGGTAAAAGCAGCATGCTGGACCACAAGTTAAGAGACCACGATGTTGGGGAAGACAGGTGCCCTTTCTGGGTTTGATCTGTTCCACCTGGGGTCTGAAGGTACCTCGGGAGCTGTCATGGAAGAGAGGGGTGGTTGGGTCTGAGGTTATATACTAAGGTTCTGTGCATACAGACTACTTTATCAATTAAACACTAAAGGCACTGTGCTCAGGGTCTCCCAGCTTCCAAGGGTCTATGAACATATTTGGGAGCTGAAAAAGAAATCAACTTCATAATATAAAAATGAAATTGTATAATTGAGATAAATATTGCAGTAAATGTCTGCAAATGTAATATCATGTCGGGTAGTCAAATGCAGTTCTATTCAACATATATAGTTACATACATGAGTTATATTAAATGTGGGAGTTGGAGCACTTAGTCTTTGAAATTATGTGTGGTAAGGTGTCTGTACAAAAATGTGCATAAAGTTCACAAAGGTGTTTAAAAGACTGTGAGATTTCACTTGAAAAATGTTTTCACTTGGAAAACAATTATTTTCCAAAAATAATTAAAACTTTGAGAACCATTGCAATCAAACCATATTGAGCTACATGATCTCTTAGGCCCTTCCAGAGCTTGCCCATCATGAGAGGCTGGAGTGAAACGTGCTTAGAGAAGCTAATTGCTCTTGTCAAGCTATAATGCCCTGAGGAGGGGCATGGCGCTGGGGGTGATGTCAGGATTCTGAGGCCCAAGAGACCTTGTAGACTGACGACTCCCCACCTACCTGTGTGGTGAATCTGCTAGGGGCAGGTGGAGCCCAGCAGATGTGGTCTGAATGTCTTCATTTGCCTCTGAGCCACAGAGTGACTTTGAGCAGGTCACTTAACTCTGTGAGCTCCATTTTCCTTAGCTGTGAAATAGAATGAATCAACTGTCACAGGGCATTTTCAGGCCCTTAGTAGGTGTTCACCTCAAGACATGCCCAGCAGCTGGGTGATTCCCTGTCCTCATTGGCTAAGCACGGCAGGCCACACCCCAAAATCCCTTAGACTCACTGATATCACCAATTCCCCGTCCTTTCCTGAGCAGCCAAGTGTTAGGAGGGCTGAGGCTCAGCTGGGAAAGGAAGGTAGGATAAAGGTGGAATGGTAGCAGAATGGCAACACCAGTAGGTACAGGGGTCCTAAAAAGGAGGCAGATTGGTGGCAAATCAGGCCCAGCCTGGCGGGAGGGTCTTAAAGGCTGGAGTTGTCCAATCTTCATACAGGGTCCTATATGTACCCCCTTACGCCTGGGGTTGGAACTGCAGACACTCCCTGTGGTTCTGATCAGAGTCAGGTTCCAGCTGGGGAGGGGAAGAGAGACAGCGCAGCTAGGTGCTGGGAGCCAGGGAGAGATGGAATGCAGGCTCTATGCCTAGGAATGAGAATAGGGTCTGTTTTCTGGCCCAAGGACAGACCTTCTGTGTTTAGGAAGAGGGATCTCCACAATGGTTAAGGGCTTTCTCACACTTGCCACACTGGGCCCCTCTGTGTTTGTGCAATATTCAAAGCATGGGACGTGAACCTGGGCAGATATGAGCAAGTCATGTCTTCTGAGCCTCAGATCACAAAATTCCAGTTAACACTGAATATAACAGCACTTCCCAGACAAGGCCCTATGGCTTCACTGGTGGTCCATAGTTATGACCTACTGCCCAGGGCACTGTCCATGCACACATTTTAAGGACAAGTCTCTTTCACCACATGAAGGTTTTTATTGAACTCAATTTCAGGAGCTCCAAAGCCTGAGAAAAACAAAGGGGGCTGAGGTTTGCACTCAAGAGGCCCAGGCCCCACCCCAGGGCCCCACTCCCCACCCCACCTACCCTCACCCCTCTCTGACTCAATGAGGGTCTCAGTAGCTACCAATCTAAGCTACCCCACTCTAATTAAGTAACGTTCCCCCTCCCTCCCCCCACTCCCACCTAGCACTTTGCCAAGCGAGGCAGCTATCAAGGGGCATACTGCTGCTGAGGCCTGCTCTCTGCTGACCTCTTTCTGGATCTCTCCCAGAGCCTCCTGCAGCCTGTTTGGCCTCCCTCCAACCCCTCTTCATAGCCCATTTCCCATAAGTCTCCAGGGCATGTAACTTCCTCCACCCTGGCCCCCTCTCCTCCTAGAATCGTCAATTCCTTTTTTCTCCTTCAGCTTTTCCACTAGCGTCTCTAAAGATTTCTCTAGTTCCCTGTCCCCTTCTCTTCTGCCCAGCACCTCCCCGCCCCTGACAGGGCCCCAGGTCAGCGCCGGCCAGCTGCATGGGTCCGCTGGTGGCGGATGAGGTCGGAGCTCTGTGAGAAGGCCTTTCCACAGTCATCGCACTTGTAGGGCCGCTCCCCACTGTGGACCCGGTGATGCTGCAGCAGCGTTGAAGAGCGGCAGAAGCCCTTGCCACACACAGCACATCTGTAGGGCCGCTCACCGGTGTGGGAACGCTGGTGCTGAATCAGTGTAGAAGAACGGTTGAAGGTCTTGCCGCAGTCAGGGCAGCTGTAGGTGCGGCCTGGCAGATGGGTGCGGGCATGGATGGCCAGCACAGAGCTCTGGCCAAAGCGCTTGCCACACTCAGGGCACTTGAAGGGCTTCTCGCGGGCATGGCTGCGGGCATGGGGGATAAGTGCCGAACGCTGGGAGAAGCTCTTTCCACAGATGCCACAGCTGAAGGGCCTTTGCCCGGTGTGCACCCTCTGGTGACTACGCAGGGATGAGTTCTGGCTGTAGCACTTGCCGCACTCGGGGCAGCTGTAGGGCCGCTCATGGCTGTGGGTGCGCTGGTGCCGCAGGAGGTAGGAGCTGTCACCGAAGGCCTTGCCACAGTGCGGGCACTTATAGGGCTTCTGACCAGAGTGGGTGCGCTGGTGGCGAAGCAGGTAAGAGCTGTCAGCGAAGGCCTTGCCGCAACGGGGACACTTGTAGGGCCGCTCACCCGTGTGGGTGCGCTGGTGTTTGATGAGGTCAGAGCTCTGGGAGAAGGCCTTGCTACAGACCTCACATTTATAGGGCTTCTCACCCGTATGGATGCGCTGGTGCTGGATCAGGGTGGAGCCTCGCCCAAAGCTCTTCCCGCAGATGCCACAGATGTTAGGTCGAGGGCCCTGCCCACCCCTGGCCCTACCACCCCGTCGGCCTGGACCCCGAAGGGTCCCTGTCAGGCCCAGAGGATTCTGGAGCATCGCAAAATCGGGGGAAGCCAGTAGGGCCCCTGTGGGCATCTCAAAAGGTGGCCCTAGGGGCAGACCCCCTGTGGGCTGCTCCCCAAACCCCTGGGTGAAGGAGTCCAAGGGGTGGACTCCCAAGGGGATGCTCAAGGGATTCTTTTCCTCTGGATTCAGAATCATCTCTGCACCTTCCTGGAATCTGGAACTTTGAGCTTCAAATTCAGGGCTCTGGGTTTTGAACTCAGGATTCTGGGGTTCAAATACAGGGTTTTGGGGTTCATACCCTGGGCTCTTGGATTCATACCTGGAGCTTTGAGATTCATACCCAGGGCTCTTGGGTTCATACCCAGGGCTTTGGGGCTCATACCTAGGGCTCTGGGGTTCAAACTCAGGGCTCTGAGAATCTGATTCAGAGCTTCTGGGTGCAAATTCAGGGCTTGGGGGCACAAACCCAGGGCTGTGGGACTCAAAACCTGGGCTTTCAGGCTCAAACCTGGGGCTTTGGGATTCAAACTCTGGGTTTTGTGGCTCAAACCCAGGGCTCTGGGGTTCAAGCCCAAAAGGTATTTCTTCGACCTCATAGTCCCCAGTGTCTTCTTGCTGAGAAATTCCTTCTTCCTCATTCTCACTCATGTTGCCTGCAGGATTAGAGAATTACAGAAAACCCAGATTGTGTAGGGTCTAGAAGGTCACTGGGTCCCACCATTAGTTGTCACAAACCTCTCTCCTCCTCCGCAGGGTCGCTGGCCCTTGGGCAGGTGCTGAAATTCCCACCTCCCCCACAGCAAACCCCCGCCCCCGCCTCCTCCAAGTCCCAGGTGTCCAAGCCCCCGGCTCTCTTCCCCTCCCACGGACCACAACCCACTCTCCCGCTCCCAGGCACGCTCCTCGGAGGGCGCTCCCTCCCTCACCTTGGAGGGACCCTTGGGGGCTCCCCATTTCGTCAGGACTTTGCACATCCTGGGGCTCGAGGCCCCACGGCGACGCCTCCCTTTCCATCCCCGCTGGCTCCCAGTGCGGCGGCAGCGGCGATGGCAGACGATCCTGCGACCCGGCCTGAGTGCCCTGAGACCCGGGCCTCGCCGCCCGTCCGCTCAGCGCCGCCCAGGAGACCCGGCTGTCCAGCCCCGGCCCCCAAGGCCTGACGTCTTGACCCTGGGCCTCTCCGGCCCGCCGGGCCCCTCCCCTACCCGCGGTCCCGCCCCCACCCACAAGGTCTCGGCTTGCCCTGGGGCCCTCACAACCCCCACGCGTCGTGGCCTCGGAGGTGAGGGGCTTCACGACTCACCCAGCCGCCCCCAGGTACGGCTCCCCGCCCGAGACCCCGCCGTCCGGCCCCCCAGCCCCGGTCTGGGCTACGGCGGTTCGACCCCCCTCCCCTCGCACAGGAAGTGTCCGTCCGCGGCCAGTTTCCCCCGCTGGCTAGCGCCGCGGCCTCTCTAGGAGAGGCTGGAGGTGGAAACTCGTTGGCATTAACCCTGGGCTGGATGGCCCCGGCGCTGAGGTGGGGGGTTACGGGGCGCCCTGGAGCCGGCAGGAGAGGCTGGGGCAGTTTGTGCGCCTAGGTCCTAGGTTTCCGTCCGTCTGGGGGCCTATCTGTCCGTCTCCTGGGCCCAGCGTCCGTCAGTGCCTGCGGCCAAGGGCGAGGCGACAAGCGAGACCAAGGTCAGCGAGAAGGAGCGACGCTTTCCGCCGCCAGCGGGGGCGGTATCTAGCTCCCCGCCCCTCCCCAGCCTCGGGGTCAGCTCCAGCCGGGCCTCGGGAACCTGGACAGACCCCCACCTTGGGCTCATCAGGCTCCGGAGTCTGGGAACCCCCTCCGGTAACTCCACTCCCCAACACCGGCGCGCCCACCGCACTCCTCCTGGCCCCCTCCCCTCGGCTCCTCCTAATCACCCTTCCCCACGCCGGGAGGGCTAGGATCGTTGCCAAGGAAACAGCCCCGCCTCCGGTTTCTAGAGGCACCGCCCCTACCTCCCAGGGAGCTCAGCAATTGGCCGGTGGAGCTCGTGCTCTCACCGTCCCGCCTCCTCCCACAACACCAACTGCTGGGTACTAATTGTCGGCAGGGAACGCCAGGCACCTTTCTGATTGGTTGGAGGGTGCTCAGGTCTGTTCCACCTCCTCTTCCAGCCAGAAGTGCCAGCGGGAGGAGTGGGAGGGTAGTAACCTGGCGTCTTCCCTCGAGCCGGGCCTGGGCTTTCAGAGATTTTCCCGCCCCCATTTACTCTTCACTATGTTTTATCTTTCTGAAGAATGAAAGCAGGGCATCTGGGGACAGACACCCTTCCTTCCCTGGTCCCCTCCATGCTCCCTTTCCCAGCACTTTTTTTCCTTCTTCCTTACAGGTTCCAGGTGCTGAAGGGGCCAGTCTGAGCATCTTCCCGCAGAGGGGAGGCTGCTTTCCTTTCTATTACCCTCCCTCTCCCCGCCACCTTCCCCTAAACCCAAAGCCTGAGTTTAACTCAGTCCCTGGGAGCCTTAGTCTCTAGTACCTGGATTTTCTCACGGAGAGACACGGATCCTATGGGAATTCCTTCCAGATGAAGGTGACAGAGTTCAGGAGGGGAAGTGGACAGAGGGAGAATCATCTGGCCTTTAAGGCAGCTAAAGTCTCCAGCCCTGCCTGACTTGGATAGAGGCTTGTAGAGGAAGGAAACCTGAAAAACACTGCCATTGGTGCAGCTTTGAATCAAGGAAAAAGTGACCCTGGAAAGACAAAGGATCCAATTCTTGTCTCTTTTCTAACCTTGCTGCTGAAATTAGTTTGGTAAAGTTCTTGACAATTCATAAGCCAGGTTCTCCTGTGTGAGTGATGCAAGAGCCATGGATTGTTTTGTTGCCTTCCCAGCCAAACGAAGGGAAGAAACTGGCTAGGAGGAAAGATATTATCTTCCAGTCTCTTTTGAAGGGAAGAAACTGGCTAGGAGGAAAGATGTTATCTTCCATTCTCCTGAAAAGAGACGAGAACAAGAATTTGGAGAATTCCAAGTGGTAAAAAGCTGGCGATAAGCAATCTCATTAGAACTTACAAATGGAATCACAGACAGATATCTTCCTATAAATTAAGTGGGGGTACCTTTCTGCCCTCCAGAGGAACAGCTTCCAGCTGCATGCCTCTCTCCCATCCCAATGTCTGTCTGTCCTAAAATTTTTGCTAAGAATGGCTCACACGGTCCAGCATTAAAGGGCCCAAACAGGCGGAGCACCCTACAAGTGCACTGATTACAGGAAGACCTGGACCCGGGGCACCCCCTGGTAATCCCCAAAGCACTCACACAAGTGAGTGACAGAAATCTCCTGCTTGAGAATTTTCTCTGGCCTCCAACCTGCTTACCTACCAGAAAATTCAGAGAGCAGCCATCCCCCGCAAAGTATGTGGCAAGGCCTCCAACCACAGCTGTGACATGGTCCACTGCCCACACTCAGCATAGCATAGACCACAAGCGCCACATGTAGCAGAAGTTCGGCCAAGGCTTCAAATTGCTTTGGCACCAGCATTTCTACACAGAAATTCAGCCTCACTAGTGCCTAGTGTAAAAAGAGTGGCCAACTTCCAGGCAGTGTCCTCCAGCACCAGTCCTGTCTATGCAATGGCAGCCAGCTTCTGCCTGCCACCTGCCTGCCGTGAGAGGCTCTAAGCACAGGGAAGCCTCTGATTAGGGTTCCAACTTGGCCCAACACCAACTAATCCAAGGCAGGAATTCACTGACCTTGTTATACCACTGTGTCCTGGAGAGGAGGAGCTCTGTGTGTGTTTCTGAGTTGGGCAGCCACTTTGCCCACAGCATCATCCCCTGGTGTGCAGCAGCACTGGGACAGAGTTGTTCAGCATGCAGCCAAGGTCCAGCTAACTTGGCCCACACTGTAGGCCCACACCCAAGATAGTCTTCATAAAGGTTATCAGCGTGAGAGGGCCTCCTGCATGAATTGCTCCCTCCCTGCGTGCAAAGGACCAGTCCTCTAAGAGGCTTTTGATCAGATGCTACAAGAGATGCCCCAGTATATTCCAGAAGATTTGAAGTACCCAGGAAGAGATCAGACATGGTACAGGCCCCTTTGGGAAGAACAAAGGAAATGGGACTCTGCATATGGTTAGGTCATGCCCTGGTCTGACACATTTGGAACAGGCCCTGAGACCAACCCCTACTCTTACAAAGCTGAGAGCAGCTAGAAAATAATGTTTTGTTCAGACCAGTGGTTCTCAAACTTTAGCAAGTGTAAGATTCCATCCCTGGAGATTCTGATTCAATGGGCCAGAGACAGAGCCCAGGGAGCTAGCTATATTGTAAAGAGATCCTGCATGTGATTCTGTGGTAGAAAAGCCTTACTTTGAAAAACACTAGCCTAGAGCAGGTTTTAGCTTCTTTGGACCATAAACATCTTTGCACATCCTGTTCCTAGAAAGATACATGTCAATATTCCAAAAAATTTTAGGGGTCTTTGGAGTCGAATCAATACTTACCCTTATTTTACATGGCTTGGACAAGCTAAGGATGGGCCATGTGGTGATGGCCTTGACATCTCACTCTGGCCATGTGGATGGGGCTCATTCTGTCTGGTGCAGACAAGCATTCCTCCTGGCACACCAATGAAGCCCTAGGAAATCCTTTTCTTGGCTTAAATGGCTTCAAGGTCTGAGCCTCAAAGACTTGTGGTAGCAGAGAGAAAAGGGAGCCCTACCTTGGGTTGAAGTATCTGTGCCAAGAAACGAGGAGCTAAGAATGGAGTGAGACTGAGGCTTAAGCATTTCATGACACTCAAAAATTAAATGGCGGAGAGCTGGGTCACAAGGGCAGAAAGCAGAGGAATTGGGTGGGCCCTAGGGAAGCCTTGCACACTTCAAAGCACTCAGAGAGAGCAATAATTATGGCACCTTTAATTGGCAAGCTGAGGGCAGGGTCCAGATCTGGCTTTGAGGCTGAGCTGAGAACTGGTGTTGCAAGCTGGGCTTTCCCCAGGTAACACTGAGGGTTAGGGGAGGGGACTGTTGTGCACTGGCTTCTCTAGGGATTTAAAAGCTGGTACAAAGGTAGCTCGGACTACCATGGTGCCTCTTCTCATCCCACATCCCCCTTGTGACAAGGTGGCAGATGAGCCAATCCTTCCAGTAAAGTTTAGGGTCAGATTTTAAGATTAAGTTGGAATCAAGTCAGTTCATTACCTGAACAGTGTCTTTTCCCCAAATTTTCTAGCTCTTCCTTTAGAAGTTTCTCAGGTTGACAAATCTGGTTTCCTACTCTCTAAGGTAGGCCAGACACAGGGCTGAGTTGGGTGAATAAGGCAAGTGGGAACAGGCCAGCAGAAGTCATAAGGCCCTGCTACTACTCCTTGAGGTGAAGGGTCATCCTGACCAGACGCAGGAAAGGGTTGACCCATGGCTGGTGCTTCCATCACCTGGACGAAGCTGGGCTCTGACCACAGAGGATTCAGTGGTAGATGGATAATGGAGTCACAGGTGATAGGGGAGAGATTCTGCGCAGAGCTTGCAAATATAGGTAAGTGCAGTTCACTCTGGCTAATACCCCCAGACGTTCCTGGCCTGGTCCCCCTTAGTTCACGATGGCAGGTACCTAAAGAGAGTAAAGGTGCAAGCTTTGCTTTTGTTTGCCTTGGAACTCTCATTTTAGGCTGGTTTCTCCCTTAACTTGGTCTACTAGGTGGCTCCTTTGTCACTTATCTTGTACCTGGGCTTCACTAACACTGTGCTGCTCTCTCCCTGGCCCAGGTCAGTACCTTGGTGCCATCACAGGGATTGGGCACATGCCTCCAGAACCTTGGTTGAGACACTGGCAAGGAACTCAGGAGTGGTGTGGTAAAGACAGCAGTAAACCAAGAACCCTGGAATCTTAGTATGTGTGACCTTGGACAGGTTGCTTAGCCTTTCCCAGTCTGCAGTTCCCCAACTACAAAAGGATGGAAAAGCTAAGATCTCTTCCAGTTCAAAAAGGTGATGAGGCCCTCCTGGCTGGGTCTAGAGTGGCTAAGGCCTGAGCCATAGGGCTTTTCCAGGGAGGCTCAAGGAGACTGGAGACTGGAGAGCTCTCCGGGCCTTCCCCTTCAAAAATAGGAACAGCCAGTCAGCTGAGAGTGCTGCTGTGCTATGGCAGAAATACCACTGGTTTGGGCCAAAAGATTCAGTCCTGACTGCCTCTTCCTGACTGGGCTGTCCTCCCCAAGCAAGATGCTTCCTTCCTCAGGCAGTTATGAGGATGAAATGAGGTGACAGACAAGACGGTACTCCATAAACCATAAAATGCAATACAAGCGAAGATCTAAAATAAAACCTGCTTTTACTTCTCTCCTGCCATCCTTCCACATATATGCTCTCTACCTGAAGCCGATTCAGGAAGACTTGAATGCTGTAGACCAGTCTGCAAACTCAAATGACTACAGGAGCCCAACAGGTCATGTAAATGAATGGAAAAGTCCAGATGGAGAGGGCCTGCTTTGCAGAGACACGGACAAGCTGTGATGAGTGCCAGCTGACGTGGATCAGAAGCTGATAAGGAGCGGCGGGCCTGCTGAGCTGGGAAGCAGGGGCTCCTGCTCCGTCCAAAGGGGTCAGCTGCCCCTCAGCTCCCACCAACTGTGGTTTCATGGTAGCGCAGGTTGAGTTGCCAAATCTTTGGATTTTTCAAGAGAGGCCAGAAACCGGGATTTTTGTGTGAAATATCCCAACTTTTAAATTTTAACCAATAATTCGTAACATTTTAAAATGCTAGCTGGGTCGAAAAAATTAAAAGGTCTGCTGCAGGCCAGATTCAGTACCTGGCCACCAGTTTTCAACTTTTACAGTACAGACAATGGGTAAAACAAAGTTCTCCTCTACCTCAATCCTCTTAACACATCGAGCCTGAGAAACAGCCTTTTCTGAGAAACGTCCCCACAGTGGAGGTCTAGGGGTTCCTACCTCAGCCCTAACTCAGTAAAGGGGGCTTCTAGAGTCTGGGACAGTAGGGAGCAAGGTGTCAGCAGATCAAGCTGGTGAGGGCCTAAGATGAGATGGTTCTCATCCCCCAGGTCCAGCTCTTGCCAGAAATTCTGTGACCTCCCTGGAGCCACCACAGAGGTTCAGACCCCTGAGCCCAGTTTGGGCCTCAGGCAATGTCTAAATCTTCACCCTTTGCCTTGTCACCTTTGAGGCCATCACCCACACTCCTGGAATATCTCTGGATAGTGCTGGAAGCCCACAGGTGGGTCTAGGTCCCCTGGGCCAGGGGCTAGGGGCACAGGCAACCCACTGGCCCCCCGGCCCCTGCGCCCCCCAGCACCAGGCCTGTGGACCCACTGGTGCTTGGCCATGGCTGACTTCTGGCCAAAGCACCTGCCACACTGAGGACAGGGGTAGGGGCGTTCGCCACTGTGGGTACGCCGATGGGCTGCCATTTCGGAGCTCTGTCGGAAGCAGCGTCCACAGTCTGGGCACGGGTAGGGCTTCTCACCCGTATGGGTGCGGAGATGGCGCCGAAGGTCTGAGGCATGGGCAAAGGCGCGGCCACAATCCAGGCAGGGGAAAGGGGTCTCGCCACTGTGGACTCGCTGGTGCTGGTAGAGGGCAGAGCTCTGGCTGAAGCAGCGGCCACAGTCGGCACAGCGGTAGGGCTTCTCGCCCGTGTGGACCCGTAGGTGGGTGATGAGGGCAGAGCGCTGGGTGAAAGCCCGGCCGCAGTCCGGACAGAGGTGGGGCCGCTCCCCACGGTGGATCGCCCGGTGCTTGCTCAGAGAAGAGGCCTGGCTAAAGCCCTTGCCACAGTCAGGGCAGCAGAAGGGCTTCTCACCCGTGTGGGTATACAGATGCTCCACTAGGGTGGAGCGCCAGGCAAAACTCTTCTCGCACATGTAGCAGCCATGACGCTGGTCTGCCCTTGGGACAGGGGGGTGGGCACAGAGTGGGGGGCGACCTCGGCGAGGTGCCCGGGATGGCTGCTCTATACCACTGGGGAGCCCAGCAGAAGTTGTTTTGACAGCCTTCAGCCCAGGAGGCCGAGCATCCACAGAAAGGATCTCCTCCAGTGCCTCAGTCTCTTCTCTTTGTCCTTTCTCTCCCCTGTTTCTGGAATCTGCTGGGAGATAATGGGAGAGCTCAGACCCTGCCTTACCCTGGTCCTTGAATCCCACACCCCATATGGTGACAGAGAAGCCTCTTAGATGCAGCCACCTTCTGGACGCACAGCTGACTCTGGGACTCAGCTCAGTACAGGAAGGAAGCTAGGAGTGACACCTTTTCCTCAGCTGCAAAGGACAGAAAGAAAAGCTGCAGAGACAGAGAAAGAGGGAATAGAGGAACAATAATATCTACCTCAGGGCTGGGGAAATGGGGGGGGCGCGACATTTCAGCTGGATCATGGAGGATGAGTGAGTGCAGAAGGATGCTGTAGGTAACAGGAACAGCACAAAGAGAGGCATGAATGTGGCTGGCACTGACAAGTTCAGAGGGGCAGGGCAACAGTTTGACAACATGAACAAGAGGAAAAAACAACGGGAGCCAAAGAAAGACGGCTGCTATAAAAATATAACAAAAACAAAGTAGACTAAAACAGAGGAGGTGGCAGAGGAGCTGGAATGTAGGAAAACAGCAAGAAGGATGATGTGGAGCTCAGCAGAGCTTAGTGACCAACTAGATGTGAGGGGCTCAAACTCGCAGGAGCAGGGAGTGGAGAGGCAAGCGTGCCAGGGTGCTACACCCATGCCGGGCCTGGGTCACACTCACAACCCCTTTCTAGGCTGAATCCAGAAGCTAGGCAGGGACCAGGCATTATAACCTTGGCTGGGAAAGCAACTCGGGGAAGAAACTGATGAGCAGGTAAAGAGTTGGCAGAGGGTAGCGGGATGGGTCGGGCCCAGAGAAAGTCCCCATGACAAAGAGTACTCATTACTTCACCTGTGTCTGCTTTTGCCAGACACTCTCCCACCGGATCCTGGGCATCCTGAGACCACAGTTCAGCCTCTTCCTCCACCCAGGAGATGAGGGCTGGCTTGGTGCCTCTGAATCCTGCGGGAGAAAAATGCAAATCCCACGGTGCCGGGAGGCCACCCCACGCGGTCCCGACTTCCCGGACCTAAGGCCTCCCACTCCACGTGCCGGGGAGGTGGGCCCCGGCGAGCAGGTAGGGCCTCACCGAGCGCGCCCAGGTGGCCGTAGGTCTCCCGCATCACGTCCCGGTACAGGGCCCTCTGCGCGGGCCGCAGACACCCCCACTCCTCCGGGGAGAAGTACACGGCCACGTCCGCGAAGCTCACGGGCCCGGCCTCCCTCCCCTCGCGCTCGGGCCCGGGTGGTTCCCGTGCGGGGAGCGGGACCAGAGGAGGCGCCATGGGCCATGCCAGCCCCGGCGACAGGCCAGCGCGGCCCCTAGCGGAGCCTCCCGCGCTCGAGAACGCCGGGAGAGCGGGCACCGGCCCCTCGGGGCCCCCGAGGGACGCTACAAACGGAGAGGTGGTGGCTGAGGCACACGGAATCAGAACTGAAGACGCCTTCCTCAGAAATGGCGGCCACGCGGCCTCAGGAACTTTGCTCCTACGCAACCGTGCCCAGATGACGCCGCCGGCGTCTCCCTGAGGCTTTGTCTTCGAGCCCTCAGCCAAAATGGCCGCGCCGGCCCCAACTGCGGGAGAGGCTGGCGGCCCCGCAGCCGCGGCGGAGCGGCCGCACTGCCCCGCGCAGGTCCTCGCATCCGCCGGCCGGGCGGCGCAGCCTCAGCCCCGCCCAGATTGGAGGAAGGACCGGGCGCGGCCGGAGGTCAGCCCCGGCCACCGCAGTACCAGCCCTGACCAGGCCCGCTCCGCCTTTGTGAATTCAGCCGTTATCTTTCGTCGCCGGACCGTTTATAATTGGGCTTCCGCCTAGCACTGGGTGACAGCAGCCTTTCCCAAATGTTGAGGGGAAAAGTAGTGGGTAAAAGAGAAACTAGATTGGAAGCTTGTTCGAGACTGAAATTCTGGGAGTTTCTATTTCAGTGTATCGTGGGGCAGCTAGGGGAGAGTAGGGTAAGGTCTAAGAAAGGTCAGAAGGACCCTCTTTCTGCAAGCTTACCCTCCCCCACATGCCCTGCAGGATGCCTCCCTACAACACCTATTATCCACGGGCTCAAGCCTGGCTCCAAAGCTTCTGATCACACAGCCACCTGCAGCCTTGCCCCTGCCTGGATGTCCCACAAGCACTTCAGATCCCGCAGGGCTCAAACTGAACTCATCCCTTTCTTCCCCCAACCTGCCCTTCCTGGGGTCTTTATCTCAGCAAATGGTGATACCGACCCTGATATCAGTTACCCTACATCAAACCCAGCATATATGGGGTTAAACGAAAACACTCTTCCCCTGCTCACCCCCTGGCTTCCTGCCTCCAGAATCCACTATCCTCCATGGAGACAGCCACAGCCAAGGACAAGCACCTTGATTCGCTATCTCCTCCCAGCAAGGAAATACAGGCTGGTGGGAAAGCTCCGACCAGCAAGGCCATATGCTCCCCCTCCCCTCCCTAAAACCCCAAATAAAAACCCTTCCTTTTAGCTTTTCGGGGAGTTTGAGATTTCAGCATTAGCGGTCCTCTCTCCTTGCCCAGCGCTGTGCAATAATAAAATTCTTACTTTCTTCCACTACCCCCGGTGTCCGAGATTGGCTTGCTGTGCAATGGGTGAGCGGACTCACTTCAGGTTCTATATCAATGGCACTTAATCTCCCCATCGTTTCCACCTCCAAACCTCCCTCCTTCTCACACATTTATGGACTCCCTACTCTGAGCCGCCACAAGCCTTCGTAAATACCCTGCCCTCAGAAGACTTGATATTTTTCCTTTGGCCAGCTAAATCAGTCACAGCATTTCACACACTTCATGGAAATGAACTAGTCTGGAGTCTAGTCTGGAGCTTTTCTGTTTGTCCCCTTCCAAAGGCCTTCTTGAGGCTTCTGCCTGACACCTTGTATCTGGCGGATGCTTCTCCCTACAGGCAGGGAAGCTGGGCAAGTAAAGAGTTGATCACAGCAGAAGCAGGGAAGGAGAAGACAAAAAGTCTGGAAAGGGTAAGGATGCAGTTGCCCAGGGACTCAACGCCAGTGCTAGCTCTCCCAGTCTCACAGACCCTTGAAGCACACAAGAGAAAACAGAAAATTTCCATTAAGAGTAATGGCATTTTGTCACCGGTCAGCACCCAGCCCTCATAGTGGTACCTGTCATGCACAGGCATGGAAGAGGTTTGGGTAATGCTGGAAATTCACAGGGGGACCGGACCCTCCTGGGGAATAACCTGGGGCAGAGTTCACACCCCTGGGTTGGACTGAGGCCCATGGAACCCTGGTGAGCCTCTGGCTGAAGCACCTCCCACAGTGGGGACAGGAGTAGGATGGCTTGTCTGTGTGAGTCAGCAGGTTGCACAAGAGGTGCTCGCTGTGGTGGAAGCAGATGCTGCACTAGCTGCAGGCAAAGGTTTCCTCTCCAGGGCACAATGGGCCAGGTTAAAGGTAATGGTAAAGCGCGCATGCACTCAGGGCAGGGATGAGGGTGCTGCGTGAGTGCCAGGTGTTGAGGCCAGGCATAGACTGGGGGCTTGGGAAAGGCCTAGCTACAGGCAGCCCTGGCCGCAGGCTCAGAGACCAGGTCAGTGTCTCTGCACTCATGACAACTCCCCAATAGACTCTTTCTGCTGGCATCTTCCAAATGTGTCATTTTTCTCAGTGGCTGTTGGGAAACATGGCAGATTCAAAACTCACCTTTCGTCTTGTTAACTTTCCAAGGTGTACTCATACTGAGGTAAGAGAATCAACCCTCACAACAGCAGAAGCATTCAGATGGGTAACTAGGCCCTGGAAGCCTCTCCCTGGCCACCCACCCCGGCCTATGTCGGCCAATTGAGGAGTTCACAAGTCAGGGACATTCCCAGCCAACTCAGAACCAACCAGAATAGATACCCTCAACCAGAGGAGCAGCTGTTGCAGAGCCCAGAGACCTGGAGACAGAAAGGTAAACTGCCTCCATCCTAAATTTTAATTCACATACTGACACTGACCTAGAATATGGATGATTCATACTGTGCGACCTCATCATGGAACCACTGAATGCCTCAGAGTCAACTAAGTGAGAAAGAGAAGGTCAAGACTCCAGTCTTCAGTGGGTGACTAATTCAGGTCAGCAAAAATTAGTAACATCAGCAGTAAGGAACATGTAGATGGTGCTTCTTACTCAACAAAATATTTTCCCTTCTAGCTGGAACTGGGACATTGCCCCCGTTTCTCACCTTTCTGTCCTCTCTGGCTTCCACTTTCCTAGGAATCCTGAGCATCTGCACCCCACAGCTGGGTCTCCTGCTCCAGCCAGGAGATGAGGGCTGGTATGGGGTCTGGGAATTCTGGAGAAGAACCCTAATCACTCAAGAAACATTTCTTAAGACTACCTATGCCTTCGCTTAATGAAAACGTATTGGGCACCTTTTATGCGCCAAGCACTGTTGTAGATGTTCCAGGTGTTGGAAACATTGGTGACCGGAGATAAGGTTCCTTAACACTAATCTGTAAATTTACATTAAGGGAGAGAGATACCAGGTATGAGCTCTGCTGGCACAGGTATGGAGACCTTCGGTTAGCCCGTGCCCAGGGCTATAGAGATAGACACAGAGCAGCAGCTCTGAGAAGACTTCCAGCATGCGGCAGAAGAGCTCCAGGAGGAATTTCTTGGAGGTGGCATTTGAGAAGGGAATTGAAGGATGTGAGATTGGAGCCATAGCATATACAGAGAATAATAAGAGCAAAGGCTCAAAGGCTCATTAAGGGGGAGGCATATCCAAAAAACAAAGATTCTATTTAGCTGGAGCTAAATGGGATCGCTCGCCTGCAGGAAGAGATCTCGTCTGAACCGGAGGAGGAGGAGGTTAGTTGTGCCACGGGCCTTCCTGTTGTGATCCAGGTTCTGAACTTCTTGTAGGAAGTCCTGGGGAGCCACTAGAGGAGTCTGGCCGGGGAGGCTAAGTTATGAATTTCAGTTAGGCTGATCTGGTGGAGATCACGGTAAACGGAGTCATCTTAGGGCCGGAGTCGGGGCGAGTCCGGCCTGCTCCTGTTAATCCCACCTGCCTCTTTCCGTTTTCAGAGATCCGGGACGGCCGGACCTCACCGAGCGCGCCCAGGTGGCCGTAGGTCTCCCGCATCACGTCCTGGTACAGGGCCCTCTGCACGAGCCGCAGACACCCCCACTCCTCTGGGGAGAAGTACACGGCCACGTCCGCGAAGCTCACGACCCTCAGCTTTTTCTCTCCTGCTCTAACCCAACCTTCGCGGGCACATCCGCAAGGATCCGGGAGCAGGGCTGGGAGCGGAGTCACCCCCGCCATGCCCGCTCATGGGACGAACGCTGAGGATTCGACCTCCAGAAAGGCGGGTTCCCCCAGGTCTGGGGGACCGGAAGTAACTTCGGCAAGGGCCACTCTAGGATGCGGGAAACAGCTGGTTACGCGATTGCCGTGCTCCGAGGGCCGAAAAAATAAAGGCACCCTCAGAAAAGATGGTGGGTGGGCACGCTAGCTTCCTTCCATTTTAGAGAAAGGCATTTAACACCTGAATGTCTGTCTGTGTTGATGACCTCGTTTATTCCCCCTCTGGTTGTCTTTTGCTGTTCCGCAAGCTGCGTTCCGGGCGCCTCTTGCCCATAGTTAAGATGGCCGCAGCGTCCGCGCTCAGGTTGGGCCGTGAAAGGTGAGGCTCGGGTGCGTGAGCGCGGGGGGCGGCGAAGGGACGGGGGAGGGGAAACAGGCCCCGGATTTAGGGGCCCCCCGGCCTAACGTCCCCATCCCAGTCCCCGCTAGAAGGCCCGCTCAGTGACCCGGGCTTAAAAAACATTTTTTTGGCCAACTAGTTCGTTTCTCAAAAATTTTTTTCATTTACAAGGTACAAAATAATATTCAATTAAGTCTGCTTCCACCCTATTTCTCCTTTAACAGTTTCTTAAATATCCCTCCAGAGATTGTCTACGTACCTATCTATGGTTTTTCCACACGTTTATTCGCTCTTCTACTGAGGACACTGGGCCGAATGCCTCTCAGTGCCTTAGAGTTCCGTTGTTACCCGAGGTCAGACAGCCCGTTAGTGACTCCTGGTCCTAAAATCCTAAATGCGAGCCTCTCCCACCGTCTCGCGCTGCCTCCTCCAGGCCATTTCCAGAAAAGCAACGCGAACACTTCAAATTTACTGACTCCCGCTGACCTTGTGAAAACGAACTGGATTCTCAATTTATTGTTATTGTTGTATAAAAATTAGATAAGACAGGACTCATTTTAATGCACTATTTAAATGTACTTCTCAATTCCAAGCTCTCCGAACACAACAGTGGCCCACTATGCAAGAGCTGCCTTTGCTTCTGTGATATGACTAAGACATTAATATTAGCTTACCTTGATCAATCACTTACTATGTGCCAGACTCTAAGTAATTTGGCTTGTTAACTCATTTAACCCTCACAACACTTCAGATAGGTACTCTTCTGGATCCAGAAGCAGACACAGAGGGATGACCTTGCCCCATGCCACACAGCTAGTAAGTGGTGAAGCCAGGATTCATACCCAGGCAGTCTTTCTCCACAACTCTAATGCAGTAATGCCTCAAATTATTGAAGGCACAATCTCAGCAACCAGAAAGAGGTGGGATTTTAGGCCAGGTTACCAAGATGCAGTTGACATGTGGGGTAGTGCCAGAAGCAGGGACCTAGGAGGTCAGAAGAGCTGCTTCTGGTCATATACACAATTCCACACTGTCATATAAATGTAAAGAGAAAAAATGACAGGCTGTGATAAGTATTGAAAAGTAAATAAGAGGGTTATGTTTAAGGGTCATGTCATGGGGGGAAAAATATGTCATTCAGGTGTTTGGGAGGTATGCGAAATTGCCCTGGAGGAAAGGTGACAGGCTTCACAAAAAGTATCCCGTGGCAGCTCTCACTGGTGGGCTCCTTTGCTCAGGCCCTTGCTGATTTCAGCCTGGGGTCTCTTAGCTGGTCTCTGGGCTTCCAGCCTTTTGCCTTTCCCATCCGTCTGGCACTGCAGCCTGGTGGAGAGAAAAGAGCAAGAGCATCGACTGAAAATTCGAGAGGTTGGGGTTCCAGGCCTTCCTCTGCCACTAACTCAACTGTGTGATCTTATGGCCCTTCCCCTCTCTGGGCCTCAGCCTTTCTCAGAGCATATTCTATGGAACAATATTTCCATGAGACACCCAGTGGAAAGAACAAGTGTTCTTCCCCATGCCCCTTGGAGAGTCCCCTCAACAATGAAACCTATTCCACCCTCTTAATACATTGATCCAGACAGCTCCAAGAGCTCCCTTCCAGCTCTAAAATGCCACAGTCCATCCTATCATCACCCCCAGGGCCACCCCAGGAACTGGCTCCTCCATCCTCCTCCTCGCTCATCCAAAAACCTTATCATTGTTCTGAGTTCCTCTGATACTCTCAGCGCCCACATCCAGCCCATGGACAGGCTCTATCCATTCATCCTCCAGGGTTCACCTCCAGACCCTCTACTCTCCATTTCCACTCTACTTGCCCCACTGCAGTCCATTCTCAGAGCAGCCAGGGTTTTTAAAATGCAAATCAGATCACCTTGACACTCTACTTAAAACCCCCCAGTGGTTTATATGAGTAGTCAAATTCATAGATAGAGAAAGTAGAATGGTTGTTGCCAGGGGCTGGGAGAAGGGGGAATAGGACATTATTGTTTAATGGGTACAGAGTTTCAGTTGGGGAAAATGAAAAAGTTCCGGAGAGGGATGGTGGTGATGGTAGCACAACAATGTGAATGTACTTAGCACCACTAAACTGTACACTTAAAAATATTTAAGGGGATGGCCCCGTGGGGCAGTGGTTAAGTTCGCACGTTCCACTTTGGCGGCCCAGGGTTCACCAGTTTGGATCCCGGGTGCGGACATGGCACTGCTTGGCAAGCCATGCTGTGGCAGGCATCCCACATATAATGTGGAGAAAGATGGGCACGGATGGATGTTAGCTCAGGGCCAGTCTTCCTCAGCAAAAAAACGAGGAGGATTGGCAGCACATGTGAGCTCAGGGCTAATCTTCCTCAAAAAAAAAAAAAAGAAAGAAAAGAAAGAAAATGGGGACCGGCCCCGTAGCCAAGTGGTTAAGTTCACACTCTCTGCTTCAGCAGTCCAGGGTTTCACCGGTTCAGATCCTGGGCGTGGACCTAGCACTGCTGATCAAGCCGTGCTGAGACACCGTCCCACGTAACAGAACTAGAAGGACCTACAACTAGAATATACAACTATGCACTGGGGGGCTTTGGGGAGAAGAAGAAGAAGAAAAAAAAAAGATTGGCAACAGACGTTAGCTTGGGTGCCAATCTTTAAAAAAAGTTTTTTAATGATAAATTTTCACAAAAACAAAAACAACCAAGTGGCTTCCCAGTATATTTAGAATCAAATCCAAGTTTCACAGCATCACAAGGGGGCAAGCAAGAGCTCTAGGACCTGCTCCCTCCCCCCGCAAGCTCATCTGTAAATCTTCTGCACTCAGTTCCTCAATCCAGCCACCAGTGTCCTTCCTGCACCTCACCCAAATTCATGTCTACCTCAGAGCATTTGCTGTTCCTTCTGCTTGGAAACCACTTCTCTCTCCCCAGCCCCACCCCTATCCCCAACCCCCTTGCCTCTGAAACCCTGCGCTCTCCCCCTCCCACATCCTGTGACCTGACTCCTGTTTCCCCTTGGCTCCGTCTCATCACTTGGATCTCAGGTCAAATGTCTCCTCCTCACCAAGCCCTGGCCCAAGTATCCATCTGCAACAGGCACTTACAGCACGTCATCAGTGTTAATTCCCCTGTAGTGCTTATTATTTGCAATTACAGTACCTCATCTTATTTATGTACTGGCTATGGCTTGTCCCCACCCCCCTACTTGAATGTAAGCTTCAGCAAGTTCCTATGCCTGTTCTCCCTGCCATATCCTGGCACATACAATAGTACCTAGTACACAGTAAATGCTTAGTAGATATTTGTTGAATGGATGAAGGAGAAAGAAGACAGCACTCGTCCTGTGCTGACCTGGGGAGCTCTGTGCTTGACACACTGGGCCTGGTTCTGCTCCCCTCTCCCTGGTGGGGCCTTCTCTCTCCAGCTCCACCCTCTCATTGACACACCCCTCTCCAGTACTGGTCACCCCTTGGCCTTCACACCCTCCCACTACTGAATGCCCCCTGCCGAGCACTCGGGCCCCCTTGCTCCAGCTCTCCATACTTGAAATCTCTCGGACTTACTTGTTCACAGCTCATATTGTCAGTCACTGAACCATGCAGATTCTATGGCAGAAGCCTGTCATGAGTATCTTTCTTCCCAATTCTAAGGTCAGCAAACAAGAGTAACTTCGAGAAAAAGTCTTGCTTTTTAGCTTGGTCCAACACCTGATCAACCCCACCTGGGAGCAGATGCCCACCAGATCTCTGGAGTCCACTCTCCTCGCACAGGTCATGCTCCACACTACTTTACAAAGACATTTTCTGACAGCACTTGTCAAACAGCCCTGCTCCTCCTCAAGAACTTTCAACGCTTCCTCAGTGCCTACAAGCTCCTCTACTGAGATCTGTGGCCCTCTCAGACTGGCCCCCACCTCTCTGCTGCATCTGTGTTCCCTTATTTTTTACTTAGTTCTTTATGTTTCAGTCAAACAGAACTGCTGACCATTCCCTATACATGCCCATCCTGCCTGAAATCTTTCTCATCTTTCAAGGCCAGTTTGAACCACCTCCTCCAGGAAACCTTCCTTGATTCAGAAGACCTGCCTGGGTCTCCTTTTGGTCCTCTTCAAATACTATTTTGTACTGTATTAGAATAATAGCAATAACCAATGTTGGTTAAACACTAATGTGCAAGGCACCATTCTATATTATTTCATTTAATCCTTACACCAATCTTACGAGGTAGATGCTATTGTTACCTGGGTTTTATAGATGAAGAAACTAAGGTACAGAGAGGTAACTTGGGGCAAGAAGTGACTTGCCCAAGATTGCAGTGCTATAAAGCAAGTGAGTCAGGATCTGAACCCAGACAGTCTGACTCCAAAGCCCATGCTCTTAAGCTCTACTCCACACTGTGTCCACCTTTTATCCTTTCTATGAAACAAGGCTCCCTCGCTGCTCCTTCTGCCTGAAAATCTTACCACACGCCAATTCCTGCTTAATGCTTTGGGAAACACAACCATCTCCTTCTCCAAGCTGCATTTCCTGGCATATCACAAACCAGGACAGGTTAGGTGGTGCCTCTGGACTTCCTCCATTACAGCCCCAATCACTCTCTTCCCACATAAAATGTGGGAACTGAATCAGCATGTCTCTGGAGCGCAGCACAAAAACCCACAGAGGCCTTAGTTGGTGTTTGCTTAATGAATGAATGGAGTCAGCCTTCCTCATCCTGGAATTCTCTTATCACCTGCAGTCTCTCCAAAGAAGGCACTCAATAAATGGTCATTGCATATTGACTGCACTTTCTTTTTTTTTTTTAAGATTTTATTTTTTCCTTTTTCTCCCCAAAGCCCCCCGGTACATAGTTGTATATTCTTCGTTGTGGGTCCTTCTAGTTGTGGCATGTGGGACGCTGCCTCAGTGTGGCTTGATGAGCAGCGCCATGTCTGCGCCCAGGATTCGAACCAACGAAACACTGGGCTGCCTGCAGTGGAGCACGTGAACTCAACCACTCTGCCACGGGGCCAGCCCCTGATTACACTTTCTAAGTGAAAGGTCACTGGCCGTGGTAGAGCTCCAGTTTCCTGCTGAGACTCCCCCAGACAGGCAGGGCTGGGTCCTGCATCCTGAGGAGCCACCCCTAGCTCCAAGGGGGAGGCCACTCTCTGGCTGGGAACTAAGGACCAAAAAACCTTTTTCTGCAGTGGTTCTTGTTTCTGGCTGGCTCCCTGCCCAGACGTCAGTTCTCACCTCACTGTCACCTGTGAGCCTCTGACCTGTGTTCTGCCCAGATCTAACTGTTCAGAGGAAGTGAGAGAAATATCTGGGCTCTGTGTCAGTTTCCAGCATTGCTGCCTTATAGCAGTGAAACTTTGAGAAAATCACTTAAGCTCTCTGAGCCTCAGTTTACTCATCTGCAAAACATCGCTATTGATATTCATGCCCTGCCTCCTTAGCAGGCTTCTTTACACTTTCTGAAGCATAAAACGTTGACAATAATTCACTCAACAAATGCTTATTGCACATTTACTATGTCATACATATTATTTTGTTAAAATGTCAGTCTTCACTATAACCCTTTGAGGTAGATATTATTGCTCCTCATTTTAGAGATGAGGGAGCTGAGGCTCAGGGAGGACATGTGACTTACCAGCGGTGCCTTGGGGCAAGTTGCAGAGACTAGATCTGTGCCCAGTGCTTTCCACTCTTTCCACCCACTTCACTTCCTGGGCCTCCTGCTGGCATCAGTTATCCGGGGCTTGTCCATGCCCTCCATCTGGAGCCCCCTCCCCAAGCCTTAGTTACCCTCAGCAGTTACCTCTGATGTAGATAAGCAACAGTGGGATTTTTTTTTGTCTGACACAACAGAAAGATGTTGGTTGCACCTGTTACTGAGATAACACTTGAGAAAAGTCCAGCATCTTACTCTCTTCATTTTTTTAGAAAGACTGGGGACAGGGGTGTCAAGTTTAATCTATTTGAATCTTTACAGGCACTTTTCTTTTTACAAGTTTGAATACTTGAGGGGTCCTTGAGGGAAGCCCAAAGGGTGAATTTTGCTTCCCAAATCCCTGACCCAGTCAGTCCTCAGGGCCAAGGTCAGCCTCCAACCCGGCCTGCGGGAGCCGCTCACCCGCACTCCTCAAAGATGTCCGGGTAGTGCCGGAACAACACCGGCGGGTCTCGGTCACCCCGGACCGGGGCCCGAGGCACAGCCCGGATCCCAGGCCTCCGGCCACGCCGCCCCCCAGAACAGGAGCGGTGGATCCACTGGTGCGCTTCCACGGCGAATTTCCTCTTGAAACGCATGCCACACTCGGGGCAGGGGAAGGGCCGCTCACCCGAGTGCATGCGCCGGTGGCTGACCAGCAGGGAGGGGTAGGTGAAGCGGCGGCCGCAGTCTGCACACACGTGGCGCCGCTGGCTGCCGGGAGCGTCCATGCTGGGCATGGGGATAGGGGGCTGCGCACCTGCGCTCTGGTCCCAGGCAGCTTTCGTGGGTGGTTGCGCTCTTGCCGAGGCTTTGCTGATGGTTGAGTCAAGGTTGTGTTTAATCGGTTCTTTAGGCCGCTCCTTCCCAGAAGTCTTTCTGGGTCCCTTTGCTCCTCGCCCTTCCTCGCGTTCCTCGTCCTTCTTGTTTCGGGCCTCTCCTGGGAAACAGGAATTAAGTTACATTTTAAACCATTTGCTTAGACTGTCTTAGGTTATAGGGTGCTTTTACTTAGGAAAGAGCCAGAAAAGTACTGCCTAGTGATTACTGCACAGGCTTCAAAGGAAGATAAACAAGGTTCAAATCTCTTAAGAATGACTTATCTGGGCCTTGGTTCCTCATGTGTCAAATGGGAATCAATGGTTTCTTTACTTCACAGGGTTGCTGGGAGGATTAAATAAGTAGAAGCATGTTAAGCACTTAGTAAATGCTCAATAAGCAGTAGGTATTATTGTGGTTTCTTGATTTTTTTTGTAGGGTAAGACTTTTAGAGATGAGAAAACATAATTGTTCAAAATCACTCTGGTAGGGGATGGTGAGGGGAGAAGAGCCAAATTGTCAATTACTGGGCATTTTCTCTTTGCACTGCTTGAGGAATGTGAAAGGAAGACCTGAAGCCACTTCCATTCTTACAGGAATGGAAAAAAGAAGCCTGAGTGGTGTTTTCTACGAGAGGGACCTGGAAACCTGAGTCATGGACTTGGGCTCCTGATTCTCCTACTTTGGTCTCAACATAACTACTGTCCCAAGTTCTGAAAACTTTGTAGCAGGTCTGCCTTCTTTTCTCCTCTAGTATCCAACATCATTTGGCCCTTTAATTCCTCTAGGGATGCTGGACATGGGGATCTGAAAGAAATCATTGCTAGACAGGAACCCCTCCCAGGTTGGGGAAGACTTGGGACAATCCCTCACCTCTCAGAGCTCCTCCCAGGCTTTCCCCCTCCTCAGGATCCTGGGCGGCGGGGCTCCAAGCCTCACTCTCCTGTTCCATCCAAGAGATGAGGGCTGGCTTGGGGCCTGGGAATCCTGGGAGAGAACAGGGATCACAGAGCTGGCCTGAGAGGTCGTCCTGGGAAGATGGCATCCCCCTGTCAGGGTGAGGGCACCTCCTCAGAATTTATGCTCAATCTGGACAGGATCTGCAATGCTCCTGCATGATGGAAGTGGATGCAGGATGGACGTTCTCCTGAGGGGGTACCTGAAGCCCTGGGAATGGGGGCTGGTGCTGTTGGTAGAATAGTGCGGGATTAGGGCTGACAATCCTCTCGGTCCTTCTATATCACAACCCCTGTGAACCCCAGTGAAGGAGGAGAGGGGCGCTGACCCGGAGCCTCACCGAGCGCGCCCAGGTGGCCGTAGGTCTCCCGCATCACGTCCCGGTACAGGGCCCTCTGCGCGGGCCGCAGACACCCCCACTCCTCCGGGGAGAAGTACACGGCCACGTCCGCGAACCTCACGGCCACCGGCTTGTTGCAACCAGGCAGGGTCTCCCCCGGTCTCAGGGCCAGAAGCGGGGCTGGGGGCGGCGCCATGGGGCCTGCCAGCCCCGAGCAGCGGCCGCCTTGTCCCCGGGGCCACCGCCTCCCCGCTCCTGGCCTCGGCTTTAGTCGTCCACAGGAAGGGCTCCCGAGCCCGGGGCCCCGCCCAGGCTTGGCGTCCGAACGCGGCCGTGGGAACCGAAGTAGCAGAGACTGGCTGTTAGGGATGCGGGGATTCTGATGGGGCCAAATAAACCCCTTCGGTGTTTATTCGCTTTATGGCAGCTTGGACATAGACACCCGGGGTTAAGAGACCCGGAAGGTGCCTTCAGAAAATATGGCGACATCCTGGCTTCAGTTGTCACTGGCTGCTTTTAAGGGCGCCATCCCTTGATCATATCAAACATGGCGCCTCTCCGGTATCTCCGGCCTCACGGGCCACTTGCCCTTAAATACAATGGCCGCTGCGGGTGGGTTTTTTGGGGGGCTGTGGGGAGAGGGCAAGGAGAGGGAACCGAGAGGGTGTCGAGAGGAGCTTTCTTGCCTTCAAGAAAGACCGACCGGCCCGCAGGTTCTAGCACCTCGCAGCCAGCACTGCAGGGCGGCCGATGGTTGGCCGTGAGGGCAGGAAGCGGCTGCGCTGCGAGGCCGGGGCTGGCGGGGCGTTGGAAGGCGCCCGAGCCCTGAAGCCTCGATCGGCGGGCTCTGGAACCGGTCGAGGACCTTGGCATCTGTGGAGCCCGGGATTGTGTCCCCAGCGATCTCCTTTCATGCCTCCTGACAGCAGGATCTGGAATCCGGTCCCTAGCCCCTGCGAGAAGATGCACACCCCCTGGCCAAATCGTGGCGACAGCCGAGGTAGAAACCAGGTACACGTTTACACTGGGGACCACCGCTGCAGAGCCCACCCGACTCCTAGCGCCTGCCGCTCGGCTCACAGAGTCTCTAGATCGGAGCTGCATGCGGAAGAATGTGCTTGGTGGGGCTGGAACTAGTTGGGGAAATTTTAAAGTACGTTTAAATTTTTTTCCAAATTCATTAAATGTACATGGTTTTTTAAAAGTAATACAAGAGGTTTATAATGAAAAAGACAATCCCCTGTACCCTTTCCCCCTGTTCCCTAGAGACTACTTTAAACTCTTTATTCAGTTGAGTTATATTGTACATAGTGTGCAATGCACACTTTCAGTGTAAAATTTGACAAATGCATACAACGGTGTTAACCATCACCCAAAACAAGACATAGGACATTGATGTCGCCCCTGAATGTTTCCTTGTGTAACCTTTCCGGTCAATACAAAATATTGTGGTAAAATACACACAAATAACCATTTTAAACCGTATAATTCAGTGGCATTTAGTACATTTACAATGTGCAACCAACATCACTACTTTCATCCCTCCGGAAGAAAACCCCCTACCCACTGAGCAGCTGCTCCCCATTCTCCCCGCCCCCCAGCTCATGGCCATCACTAATCTGCTTTCTGTCCCTATGAATTTGCTTTTTCTGGATATTTGACTTAAATGGAATCATACGATATGTGGCCTTTTGTGTCTGGCTTGTCCTTAGCAGAATGTGATTTCAAAGTTCCTCCATGTTGTAGCCTTTCTCAGTACTTCCTTCCTTTTTATGGCTGAATAATATTCCATTGTATGGATATACCTCATTTTGTTTATCCATTCAGCAGTTGATGGACACTTGGGTTTTGCACCTTTTGTCTAGTGCTGCTATGAACATTAGTGTACAAGTTTTTCAGTTTAAGAGCTTTGAGATATAATTCACTTACTGTACAATTCACCCATTTAAAGTGTACAGTTCAATGGTTTTGGTATATTACTAAATTTTTTAAATTGTGGTAAAATATATGAGACATAAAATTTGCCATTTTAACCATTTTTAAGTGTACAGTTCAGTGGCACTAATTACATTCACAATGTTGTGCAGCTATCACCACTATCTATTTCCAAAACATTTTCCATCACCGTGAAAGGAAACATGGAACCCATTAAGCAGTCACTCTCCTCTCCTCCAGCCCCTGGTAACTTCTTTTTTTTTGAGGAAGATTAGCCCTGAGCTAACATCTGCCACCAATCCTCTTTTTTGTTGAGCAAGAGTGGCCCTGAGCTAACATCTGTTGCCAATCTTCCTCTTTTTGCTTGAGGAAGATTGCTGCTGAGCTAACATCTGTGTCCACTTTCCTCTATTTTTCGTACGTGTGACACCACCACAGCATGGGTTGGTGAGCAGTATAGGTCCACGCCCAGGATCCGGCCCTGCAAACCCAGGGCTGCCAAAGTGGAGCACAGAAACTTAACCACTACACCACTGGGCTGACCCTGTTTGCTTTTTTTAATTGAAATATATTTGACATAGACATTGTGTAAATTTAAGATGTACGTGTTGATTTGATACACTTATATATTGAATGCTATCGTCACTGTTTGCTTTTCTTGAATTTTCTAATTGTCTTTCTTTTCTCCTTGCATTATCTGCCCTTTCTGCTTCTTTAAGTTGTTCCAAATTACCTAGAATAGCATCAAATCTGAAATCCCCATTTTTTTCCCGGAAAACCTCCCTCCTTGAGCCCTCAGTCCTCTCTCTCTAAGTTGGACTGGGCCTCGGCTCTCACCCAGGGTTTTCCCTTCCTCCTCTCCTGGGTTGTGTCCTAGATTCAGTGTTTTCCTATCTTTCAGTCGAGATGGGTTCTGTCAAAGGCTTGTGGCGTTAGACTGTGAGTACTAGATGTCTTCATCCCCATGTTTGCAGTATTGCTGCAGTCGGGCAGGATGGCAGACACTGTTTGCTAAACAAGCTTGGGGCTGCTCACTGGCAATAACGGACAGGACCTACTAGGTCTCTGCTGGCAGCAGCCCACAGTGTGGTCTTGGAACCATTCCTTGCTCGGCTCTCCTGCCTGCCCTTGCACACACTGTCTCCTCTTTTTGCTCAGGAACGTTCTTTGTTGCTGATAAGCTAGTGCCTTTTTAGTCGTTATATTTTCTGGCCCTATCCTTGCTATTTTTCACCTGGAATACTTTCTGGCTTTTAATGTAACCTGCTGATTTCGCCTGAACAATTCTATGCTTACTTTATAACTGAGTTCTAGATGTGCCTCACTGCACTCATTGTGGTGAATAATGTGGAAATGGAGTCAGGAAAAATATATCCTCATAAATAAGTCTCTTTTTAAACAGAGAATCAACTTTACCTAAAGAGAAACTACAAAGCATTTCACCGAGACCAAAAAATACTTTTGTCTGTTCAGGTGCTATGTTTTTTTTTTTTTTTTTTTTTTGAGGAAGATTAGCCCTGAGCTAACTACAGCCAATCCTCCTCTTTTTGCTGAGGAAGACTGGCCCTTAGCTAACATCCGTGCCCATCTTCCTCTACTTTATACATCGGACACCTACCACAGCATGGCTTTTGCCAAGCAGTGCCATGTCCGCACCCGGGATCTGAACCAGCGAACTCCGGGCCACCGGGAAGTGGAACATGCGAACTTAAACACTGTGCCACCAGGCCAGCTCCTCAGGTACTCTGTTCTAAGTTGCTTCTCATTGCACTAGGGATGGAGAAGACTTAACTAATCAGATTGCAACAAACTTTCAAGACTAAAACTATTCCATCATAAGTGGCTGACCAAGTTGTTTTTCCTGCCCATCATTATAAAAATACAAAGATGCTCTTGCTTTCAAATTTTTTTGATTTATTTTTTAAATTTTTATTTATTTATTTATTTATTTTGAGGAAGATTAGCCCTGAGCTAACTGCGGCCAATCCTCCTCTTTTTGCTGAGGAAGACTGGCCCTGAGCTAACATCCATGCCCATCTTCCTCTACTTTCTATATGGGATGCCTGCCACAGCATGGCTTGCCAAGCGGTGCCATGTCCACACCCGGGATCCGAACTGGCGAACCCCAGGCCGCCAAAGCGGAACCTGCGCACTTAACCGCTGCGCCACTGGGCCGGCCCCTCAAATTTTTTTAATGCCCACCAAATTGTATATGTTTGTTCAAGAATCTAGATAATTATGAGAAGTTATAAAACATACAGGAGATAATTATGGTTCATAAATTTTACCTGTCAACAACAGGGTCTTTAAGGGAGAGATAAAGTTTAAGGGAGAGCATCTGAACTTTAAGGAGAGCTAAAGTTTCTTGCATAAAGCTCAGCCCTATGTTGAAGTGTCTAGGAGTGAAATGTAGCGATGTCTGCAACTTACTATGAAATAGGTTAAAGAAAATAAGGTGGATAAATGATGGCTGGAGGGATGGATAGATGGATTGATGTGTGATATAGCAAATATAGCAAAACTGCAGAATCTAGGTTAATTGTAGAGTCTAAGTGATAGGCTTATGGGTGTTTACCATAAAATTCTTTCAACTCTTGAATGACTGAAAAATTTTATAATAATATGTTGGAGGGAAGCTCTGCTGTTTGTTCTTTAAACTATAAAGACATGCTGAGTGCCTTCATGTTTTTTTTATAAGTTAGACAACTAAGGCTCAGAAATGCTAAATAATAGACTTAAGGCCACACAGCTGGTGGGGACTGAGCTGAACCTGGAATCTAGGTGTACCAATTTAGGAGAGGCTATGTGGTAAAGTAATGATAACACCCAGTTCCCATTATTAATCATCTTTGGAACCCAGGGCTCTGGAGAAGCAGTCCCTTGTCCAGAGAGATATTTGACTCACCAGCACCATTCCTGGCATGCAGACGTTCTGAGTCCCACCCAATTCCTTGCTTATTCCTTCAACGGTTTCCTGTTCAAAAGCAGGGCTAGCAGATCCAAATGGGTCAGAAAGATCTTTCTTGACTATTGACAACATACAAGCATTAGAGTAAAAATTAGACTGGGGATACTATGCCTTGATTTCAACTCTAATCACAGTAATTTACTCTCTCTTTTAAAAAAAGTTCCCAGAATTGTACTTCCAGCTGCTGTGGCCCAAGAATATATCTTCATTCAAAAGATGTAAAATCCAGGGAACATGCAAATAAGTGAAGAAAAAACATTGCAATCACTAATTCATAAAAGTTGGAAAAAAAACCTTTAAGCTCATTAAGTGTGATACTTTTGTGCAGTACACGCAGAGTGACCGTAGGGCAGGACAGTTCCCCACCTGAAGTCACTGTCTTCTCTATGGCCACCTCTAGGTCTTCAAGACCAAACAGTGCCAACAATGGCTTGACACCGCACGTGTCTCTTTGCCAGATGTTTCACTTGCCCTGGCTAAAAGACAGAATCCTTGGATGAGCTTCCCCCAGTGGGGAGAGGCCCAAGGTGTGCCCTCTATTCCAGGATCCCCAGAGTAGCTATGGGCTCCTTTAATAGGCTCTTGTGTCTAGGAAACCCCTGTACCCTTGTATAGGAGAGATAGAGACCAGAAAGCAGATTGCTTTAAGGGAGAGAACAATCCAGAAAGAAATGCCAGTTGGGTGAATGGTTTGCAGTGAAGTAACCCCAAGTGAGACTTGGAAGTGGAGCTTCAGAAAATGGGTTCAGCCCTCAGGTGGCCTTTCAGATTCCTGCCTCCTTCTTCCAATGTACCTTCTCTGTGCTCTGTCACCTCTGCTTATTTCCTAACACAGAGCTTTGTTTTTCCTTAAATGCCCACTTCCTTTCCTTATCCTGATAAAATGCATAAACTTTGCCTCTTCTTTTCCAGAGAAAACTCTAACCATCTCATGTGAGCTCTATCACCTACACTCTTGGAATATATCTGGAAAGTACCAGAAATGAACTGGGGGATCCTGGCCTCCCAAAACAGGAATTGGCTCTGAAAGCCCTACTGTAGGCTGCTGCCACCTCAGCCTCTCGCCAGAGCGATGGATCCACTGATGGGCTTCCAAGGCATACTTGCACTTGACGCATTTCCCATACTTGGGGCAGGGGTGGGGCCAGCTGTCAGAATGGATGCGCTGGTGACCGAGGAGGAGAGAAGAGTAGGTAAAGTGAAGGCCACAGTCAGGGCAGGGATAGAGCTTCTCGCCTGTGCCTGTGGATAGCCAGTAGAGAGGTGCAGGCAAAACGGAGGCTGCAGGTGGGAGAGCTGTAGGGCTTCTTGCCTGTGTGCTTGCGCTGGCAGACTGCCAGCAAGTAGGGGTAAGTGAAGCCACTCTTGCAGTCTGGGCGTGGGTAGGGCTTCTCCCCGGCATGAGCCCGCCTCTGGATGGCCGGGGAAGCCCTCTGGCAGAAGCGTCGCCCACAATCAGGGCAGGGGTAGGGCTTTTCACCTGTGTGGATGAACTGATGCTGGAGCAGGTACTTGCGCTGGGAGAAATGGGCCTGACAGTGGTTGCAGGGAAGGGGCCGCTGCCCAGAGTGGACCCGCTTATGTCTCGCCAACAAGGAGGGACAGCTGAAGTTGCAGCCACAATCTGGGCAAGAGTAGGGTGGTCTGCGGGTGGGAGTGTCCTTGAGCCAAGGGTTGATGGGGCTTTGCCTTGAGTTCTCGTAGAGCTCTGGGCAAGCAGCTTTGTGATTGAGGTCAAGTGGCGTGCTGGATAGCAGCCACTCCTTGAGAGACACTCCCTCATGTTCCATCTATTTTTGCTTTGGACTCTTCTTTAGCACTTCTTTCTCCTCACTCCCATCGCTGGATCCTGAGACAGGGGAAAAGATAAAACTTGAAACTTAGACCACAGCCTGCCCTGGGAGGCAGCATGAATGGCTGAGTATATGGCCCCCTGGGAATGAGGCTCAAAGATTGCCGCCTCACCAAGCTCTGAAAGCTAGCCTGGAGTAAAAGCAAATTTTATTGTTGCTCAGGGTTATGACAGGAAAGCCCTGAAAACTGGAGATAAAGGGAGGAGTCAACATTATTGAACTCCTTCTCTGTGCCAGGCATTGAGAGCAGAGATGGTCCCAGCCTTCATGGAGCTTACAGTCCTAAACCTCTTCATGATCCCTTTGCAAAACAGCCATTAAATGACCTCCCATGGTGCCATTCAAGGCCATTATCAAAAAGTCTACACTTGCACTGCACTCTAGGTTCCACCGGAAACCTGCTGGGAACAAACACTACGACATCATGGCTGGAGGAAAAACGTGTTTTCTTTATTTTGAAATCTCTGACGAGGCATTATCCATTATACTATGATCCACATAATTAATATCCAAAAGGAATATTTGTCTTCATTTTATCACACAGCAAAAAACAAATTACAAGTGTTTCCTATTTCCCTTAGCTGCCTTGGAGGCCCAAGCTCTATTTTGCATTTAACTGGGGTTTTCCAGCGTGATTAAGTGGTGCTATAAATCCCAATTTAGCTGTTGTATTGAGCCATTTTGCAGTGAGATAGGAACCTTACTGCAGATGAGGTGCAGTGAGACATGATGGGGCTTTGGAGGAGGCAGTGTGCGCTGAGATCCGCGTGGGAGGGCGGGGGGTTTGAAGTGAAGTACCTGCGACCTTTGCTGGGCTATCAGCCTTTGGATCCTGGGCCTCCGGGCCCCACGCCTCCACCTCTCCTTCCACCCAAGAGATAAAAGCGAGTTTGGGGCCTGAAAATGCAGCGAAGGCGAAACACTGGGTTCAGCTGAGAACTGGAGAGCGGAGGGTGAGGCTGCTTCCTCAGTGCCCCACACTTCCAGTCCACTCGTCTCCGGACATCAATCCCCCTTCCCACAGATTACTGGGGGTCCTGGCCGGATCGCCGGACCTCACCGAGCGCGCCCAGGTGGCCGTAGGTCTCCCGCATCACGTCCCGGCACAGGGCCCTGAGCGCGGGCCGCAGACACCCCCGCTGCCCCGGGGAGCAGTACGCGGCCACGTCCGCGAAGCTCAGGGGCCCTGGGCTGCTTTCCCTCGTCCGCCCCGGCCCGGCCTCCCCGGGTACTTCCGCCGGGACCAGGGCCAGGGGGCGCCACGGGCAAGCCCCTCGTGCTTCGCAAAGAGAGGCTTCCGGGATATGTGGAAACGGTGCAGCATTCCTGCCTTTCCTCAGAAAAAGTCCTTAAAAGCCCACAGCCCTGACCTTAACCAAGATGGCACCTCTTTAGCCTCAACAGCCCTTGCTTTTCCTCTCTGCGCAGACGTACCAAAGGGAAAGCGGCAGGGCAGCTGGACTCCGTAGCGTGACACACCGACAGATGACGTTGATTGGGTCGCACCGGCGGACAGGGGGCAGGAAGGCTGTGATTGGTCTTTCCGGAGCGGCCTGTTTGAAAGGCTGAAGGGAAGCAGCGAGTGGTCTGCAGGTGGCCTGGGCCGAGGGGCGGCTGGATCGCTCTTGATTTGGCTTCTCCGGAACAGCAACCTAAGAGAGAGGCTCTGATGGGTTGAAGCTACTCCCTTACGGACTGCTACTCACATGAGACCTCTTACAGGCAGGTCCGGATGTCCGGGGCTTGGAGGTGAGTAAAAGCTTAGGGCAAAGACGGGCGGATTTTGGAGGTGAGGGAGTTGGGGGCGGCCTACCCTCTGGGTACTCAGGGCTAGCCCGGGCCGGCTGCGGGAACCGGTTCCTACCTGTATTTGATTTGGGCCATGCCCCGAGATCACAGATGCCTTTCCTTTTCTAGACATAGAATCTGAGGGACAGAAAGGCCAGGTGACTGCTCACGGGGGACAGAGCTGGGATTCAAAGTCATCTTCTGACTCCCAGGTTCAGCTAAGTGCTCAGTGTAGCGCACTGCACAAAGTAAGTACTTAATAGATATGAATTTGTAGTTGTTATTGTAATTACATTACGATCAGTACCCTGTCTCAAGCAGAAATCCTGTATTCAAACCGTGAACAGTAATGGGCACCCCTCTCTCTGGTCTGTCAGGCAAAACTAGCAAGCAGGCTGCATAGGCATAGAGTCAGTGCAAAATCTATGCCGTACTGTGAAGCGGCCTTGCAGGGCATCTTAAGCTTGTGTCAGAATGACTTTACAACCCTTTACCTCATGACTGAAGACGCCAGCTGGAAAACCTCTGCAACAGGAAGAGATAAAGAGTACCTGGCTCTCACATAACCTAGCTGCATTTTTGAGGTTTGGGAAATGATTAGCGACTCTGGTCCTTGCCTCTCTCCACACATAGATAACATCAACATTCCAGGATTTATAACCAAGAAGTTCTTATTTATTTTATCTTTAATGTATTACCTAGAGAAAAACGAGATGTACGCTGTCATGGAGGAACAGATACCCCTTTGACGTATATGATTGTTTGATGTGCAAGCCCCTTTCTGCACATACACTGCTTTGAAAAACTATATAAGCTGCGCTCAGATCTGTAGACCTTGAAACTTCCTTCAGAACACTCTTTTGGACTGTTTCCCAGGCTCAAGTTCCTCTTCTTGATTATTGAATAAACTCCTTCATCTAACTTTATCGAGATTCTTTATTTCAGTCAACAAAATTAAAGCTCGTAAATGGGTAACAAAAAAATCAGATCATCTCTTAAGATGAAAATTTTCAAACTTTTCTAAGTATTCATAAGAGTGGAGAAGGAAAGTTCTAGAGATGTAAAAAAAAAAAAAAACGGTGTCCATCTATTTCTAAAGTGTTGGACTCTCTTAGACTACTGGTGGAGTGTAAGGTGGTACAACCACTTTGGAAAACTGGCAGAATCTGCTAAAGCTGAATCTGTGCATACCCTGTAACCCAGCAATTCCACTCTTAGGTGTATACCCAACAGAAATGCATGCATATGTTTACTGAAAGATATGTACTCAAATGTTCACAGCCAGACTAGTTGCAATAGCCCAAAACTGGAAACTATCCACAGCAGTAGAATGAATAAATAACTGTGGGATGCTCATTCAGAAATGAGAATGAATACTCTACAACCACATGCGTCATATGGATAAATCTTGCAGACAAATGTTGAGCAAAAGAAGCCAGACAAAATAGTATATATGATTCCATTTATATGAAGTATAAAAACAGGCAAAACTAATCCCAGCTATTAAGAATCAGGATAGTGGGTTACCCTTTTTGCTTCTAGGGGCCTGATAATATTCTGATTCTTGATCTAGGTGTTGATTACTCAGATGTGTTCAGTTTGTGAACATTAATGGAGCTGTACACTTATGATATGTGAACTTAGTGTGTATTATGCTTCACCTTAACAAGTCTGCTCCCTCTAGTCCCCTTCGCTGCCCAGTTTCCTGTGTCCTTCCTGAAATATTTAGGTATAGAAAAGCATATTTCTTTTGTTTTTTTCTTTTCCCAAGTAACACACTAAACACACTTCACTTTGCTTTTTTTCCTCAATGTGTCTTCTAGATTGTTTGATTTCAGCACATATAAATCTTCTTTTTTTAATGGCAACATAATGTTCTATTATCTGGATGAAAATTTATTTAGCTTATTCTGTGTTGATGGGCAATTAGTTTGTTTCCAGTCTTACTATGATAAACTGCTGTAATCATATCCTTAGAAATCCTTCTTTGGAGACAGAAGATGAGCATCTCTGTTGAATAAAACCCTAGAACCAGAATTGCTGGTTCAAAGGGAAGGCTAGTGTTTTAAGCCATTTATCAATTTAAATTATTAAACTTTTCTCCAAAACCCACAAGAATTGATATATCCAGAAGATATACTACATTTATTTTGTATCTTCAAGCTACCCAGTTTTGAGAAGCATGGTATTAAGGTCTTTTATTTATTCAGATGACATGGTAGACAGAATAATGGACCCCAAATATGTCCATGTCCTAATCCCTGAAGCCTGTGAGTAGGTGACAGTGGCAAACAGGACTTTGCAGCTGTGATTAAGCTAAGGATTTTGAGATGGAAAGACTATCCTAGATTATCCCAGTGGGTCTAATGTAATCCCAATGGTCCTTATAAAAAGGAGGCAGGAAGAGCAAAGTCAGAGAACATGTGACAACAATAACAGGTGGGAGTGATGCCTTGCTGGAAAGGGGCCACAAACCAAGGAATGCAGGCAGCCTCTTTTTCCTGCTTGGAGGCCAGAAAAGGCAAGAAATGGATTTTCTCCTAGAGACTGGAGAATGCAACCTTGCCAACATCTTGATTTTAGTCCTGTAAGAACTATTTTCGGACTTCTGACCAGAGAACCATAAGATAACAAATTTGTGTTGTTTTAAACCGCCTAGTTTGCGGTAATTTCTTACAGTAGCAATAGGAAACTAATGCAGGTAACTTTGTTGAGTAACTATTTCTGAGCTTTGTCGAGTACTATACTGGGTGTGGGAACACTCTCCCAGCTCTGAATTCAAGAACTAAAGGTCTAAAAGAGAAGCAGTTCTCAAACACATTGTGCTGAATGAAAGAAGCCTTAGATAAAAGAATACACACTGATTCCAATTATATGAAGTTTTATATCAAGGAAAACAAATATATGGCGGGGACAAAATTAGAACAGTAGTTGTCTCTGGTGGGGTGGGGATGGGAGTAACTAGGAAAGGTCATGAGGGAACTTTCTAGGATGATGGTAATGTTCTATATCTTGATGGGGTTTGGGTTACACAGATGTATGCATTTGTCAACACTCAGCAAATATACACTTAAATGTGCTCATTTTCTTTGATGTAAGTTTAACTCAAAATAAAAACTATGTAAAACAAATATTGATCTCTACTTAATGATGTGCATGCTGAAATGTTTAGAGGTGAAGTGTACTGATATCAACGATTTCTTTGAAATGCATCAAAAAATAAAATGCACTGGTAGAGAGATGGATAGTTCTGTAATAAAGCAAGTATAGTAGAATGTTAATGGTAGAATTAGGTGGTAAGTATATGAGTGTTCACTGTAAAATTCTTTCAAACTGTATGTTTGAAAACTTTCAAAATAAAATATTCAGGGGAAAAGGGAAAGAGAAGCAAGGTGGATAATGCTTAGACAAAGCCTGATTAACCATTTTAAAGTGTACTATGAAGTGGCATTTAGAGCATTCACCATGTTGTGCAACTACCACCTCACTCTAGTTTCAGAACTTCATCACTGTTGGGATTTTGATTTGATGGCACTGAATCTGTAGATTTCTTTGGTTAGTACTGTCATCTTAACAATACTAAGTTTATGGGGCCGGCCTGGTGGCACAGCGGTTAAGTGCACACATTCTGCTTTGGTGGCCTGGGGTTCACCGGTTCGGATCCCGGGTGCGGACACGGCACTCCTTGTCAAGCCATGCTGTGGTAGGCGTCCCACATATAAAGTTGAGGAAGATGGGCATGGATGTTAGCTCAGGGCCAGTCTTCCTCAGCAAAAAGAGGAAGATTGGCAGCAGTTAGCTCAGGGCTAATCTTCCTCAAAAAAAAAAAAAAACCCACTAAGTTTTCCAATTCATGGACATAAGATGTCTTTCCATTTATTTAGGTAGTTTTAAATTTCTTTGAGCAGTATTCTGTAGTTTTCAGTGTATAAATCTTTCACCTCCTTAGTTAAATTCCCAAGTATTTTGTTTTTAATGCCATTGTATATGGAATTGTTTTCTTAATTACCTTTCTGAATTGTTCATTACCAGTATATAGAAATGCACCTGATTTTTGTGTATTGATTTTGTATCTTGCAACTTTGCTGAATTCATTTATTAGCTCTAACAATCTTTTTGTGGAATCTTTAGGGTTTTTAGATATAAAATTACATCATCTGTGAATAGAGATAATTTTACTTCTTCCTTTCCAATTTGGATGCCTTTTATTTCTTTTTCTTGCCTAATTGTTCTAGCTAGAACTTCAATAGAATATTGAAGCGGGGCCAGCCCCGTGGTTTAGTGGTGAAGTTCACACGCTCTGCTTCAGCAGCCCAGGTTCACAGGTTTGGATCCAGGGCATGGACCTATACCACTCATCAGCCACGCTGTAGCAGTGACCCACATATAAAATCGAGGAAGATTGGTGGGAGTGATGCGTTGCTCAGGGCTAATCTTCCTCAGGGGAAAGAAAAATAGAATAGAAGTGGCAAAAGTGGGCATCCTTGTCTTGTTCCTGATTCTGAAGGGTAAGCTTTCAGTCTTTCACTGAGGGTGATATTAGCTGTGGGTTTTTGATATATAGGCTTTATCATATTGAGTAAGTTTCTTTCTATTTCTAGTGTATTGAGTGTTTTTTATCATGAAAGAATGTTGAATTTTGTCATATTCTTTTTCTGCATCAGTTAAGATGATCATGTTTTTTTCCTTCATTGTATGAATGTGGCGTAATTACATTGAGTGATTTACATCTGTTGAAGCATCCTTGTATTCCAGGAATAAATTCCACTTGGTCATAGTATGTAACCCTTTTAAGATGTTGCTTTGATTTGCTAGTATTTTGTTGAGGATTTTTGTATCAATAGTCCTAAGGAATATTGGTCTGTAAGTTTCTTGTAGGGTCTTTGTCTGGCTTTGGTATCAGTGTAAGAGTTTTTAACTATATTCTGGATACAAATCCCTTTTTAGATATATGATTTATAAGTACTTTCTCCCATTCTGTAGATTGTTTTTCACTCTCTTCAAGATGTCCTTTGAAGCACAAAAATTTTAATTTATCTGTTTTTATCTTTTGTCACTGTGCTTTTGGTGTCATAGCTAAGAAACCATTGCCTAATCCAAGATCACAAAGATTGACATCTATATTTTCTTCTAAGAGTTTTATAGTTTTAGCTCTTAAATTTAGGTTTATGGTTCATTTTAAATGAACTTTTGTATATGTTTGAAGGTAGGGTCCAACTTTGTTCTTTTGTGTGTGGATATCCAGTTGTCCCAGCACCATTTGTTGAAAAGACTATTTCTCTTTTTGAATTGTCTTGGCACCTTTGTTAAATATCAATTGATCATAAATGTAAGGGTTTATTTTTGGAAGGACATTTTATTTTCTCTTATTTAATAAATTTCTCTTATTTAAGCAGTCTTACTCTTCAGTTGTAGGGAAATATCTCTGCTGCGATGTAAATCAGAGTATACTGACTTAAGTGAAAATGTTGTAAGGCTCTTATATTATTCTGGAGTATGGAGATTTTGGTCAACATTAGATTTTTTTCCCCAAAAAAGATAAAGACATTTTTAATCCTTTAGCAAGCCTCTAGCAAGTGAAAATACTATGCTTACAATAAAAGTGAAAAGGGAGTACTTAGTATCACTCCCAAGAGGCTTGATATACCACTCAGCATTGTTGCCCAATCTCCCGTTGGTTTAGCCACCAAATGACAAAATTTCCATTTTCTGATAGTTCAGTGATTCCTTTGCTCCACTGCTGCCAACTAAAGCCATCATTGCTTCCAAAGACCAAGAAAAGCGTCGTTCCAAACATGGCTGTGTTTCCTGTAAGCACAAATACATAAGCTCCCCACTCAAGCAGATGTGCTGTGGCAAATAGAGAGTCCAACGATGTCTGTTGTAAGAAATATGGCAAGTTCCTTAGAAGCACTACTTGTCGTGTCTGTATCACTGTATCATCTGCTAATCTTTTTGCTATGCATTATGGAATGAGTGAAAGGATGTATGTGTGTGGGGGTGGGGAGGGAGTGGTAAGGGAGCCAGTATCAGCTAGAAAAAAGAAAAAGAAGTTAATATAGATTTTGCTATTCATGTCGTTTTCCTACATAATATGCTTTTTTTTTTTTTAAGGACCAAAGGAATATTGCAAAGTACAAAACATGACAGAGTAAGCAAAGTGTAACCTGAACAGTGAAATGGAAAATTATATTTTGAGTCATAGTACCCCAAAATCAATTATAGCATAACTAACAGGATTTTTTTTTATAATATTAAAATTAAATACCTTATAAATTATAACAGTTGGGATCAAGGCACAAAATTCAAAGTATTTTTCATTTCAGATTAAAAATAGAGAGGCGTACAGATAATGGGAAAAACTAGGCAAGTCAAATATATGTGCTGAAAATTTAAGGGTAACTTCTAAAAGAATGTATAAATTTCAAATACAGGGATCTCTTAAAACATTTGAAAAACAATCACTCATAATAGAGGAACGCAAATTAAAATTACTTACCTGGCAGGGGAGATACCATGATCACAAAGGTGGTTTTCCCACGGTGAGGCTCGTCCACTTCACTCGGGACGTGCTGACCCCCCTGATTTCCCTACGTGGGGAAAATCAACTACAGAATTTCTGCTAGTGGGGGACTGCGTTCACACTCTCACCTGATAGCCCTTGGTTCTCTACAGACATCTCTTCCGTGGTACCTAACTGCACCCCGACCTGCAGAGATGCAGGCCCAGAGCTCCACTGCTTGGGAAATTGGGTCTGTACCCCCAATTTCTTCCTGGCTCTCCTGTTTCATACGCAAGTGTGTGCATGGGCCCTACTAAAAAAGCTTTTTAAATAAAATAAAATAAAATTACATGATAGTATTTTTCACCTATCAGATGAGCAAGGATCAACGTTTGGTGACACACCTGTCCAAAATAATGCCCCTCATCACTTTCATCCCCTCATCCTACACTGACCTCTTCCTGATATCATCTGCCTTTTCCTTTAGCCTCTAATCTCCAGGAGAGCAAGGACTTTGTATTGTTCAGGGCTGCATCTCCATTTTCTAGAAGATTACATGGCATGTGGTAGTTACCAAGATATTTGTTGAATGAAGGAATGAATGATACACTGTGTTATTAAAGTTGTAGATACAGGCACTCCCACATTGCTGTTGGGAGTGTAAATTCAATTTTTTTTTAAAGATTTTATTTTTCCTTTATTTCCCCAAAGCCCCCCGGTACATAGTTGTATATATTTTTAGTTGTGGGTCCTTCTAGTTGTGGCATGTGGGACGCCGCCTCAGCGTGGTCTGATGAGTGGTGTCACGTCTGCACCCAGCATCCGAACCGGCAAAACCCTGGGCCGCGGAACCACTTGGCCATGGGGCCAGCCCCCCTACCTTTTTTTTTTTTCCCCCGAGGAAGATTAGCCCTGAGCTAACATCTGCTGCCAATCCTCCTCTTTTTGCTGAGGAAGGCTAGCCCTGAGCTAACATCCGTGCCCATCTTCCTCTACTTTATATGTGGGACGCCTACCACAGCATGTCTTGCCAAGCAGTGCCATGTCCACACCCGGGATCTGAACCGGCGAACCCTGGCCACTGAAGCAGAGTGTGCAAACTTAACCACTGTGCCACTGGGCTAGCCCCCAAGGGAGTGTAAATCATACAACCTCCTTGGAAAGCAATTTGGTAATAACTATCAAAATTGTAAATACCATGTTAATGTATTTGTTTATTGTTTAATGGGTACAGAGTTTCTGTCTAGGATGATGAAAAAGTTCTGGAACTGGTGGTGATGGCTACATAGCATTGTGAATGTACTTAATGCCACTGAATTATATACTTAAAAATGGTTAAAATAGTAAATTTTATGTGTATTTTATACCAAAAAAAATCACAATTTGCAACCTCTAATTTTTAAAACCAACCTATTTGTCTTCCAAAGCTTATTTCTTGAACACCACTCATAGGATTTGTACAAAGTATCCTGTGAGTATAATAGTTTTTTTATTCGCAAAATAACTAATGGTTAGCAGCAGACAGGACCAGGAACACAGACCTATAAGATGGCAACAGCTACAAGCAAGACTAGTTGATTATGTTGTGACATCTTTTTTCTAGCTGCTCCTGTCCCTTTGCCAGATATATTGACATTAACTTTCAGTCTTTCATGTCAGCATTTCCTACTCTTGCTTTCAGTGATATCCTCCAAACCAGTAACTTCTCTGTTGATTGTTAAGCTTTAATTCACAGGAGATTATAATACTTTTTTGCATTTTCCCAGTTTCTTGACTGATGATTCTTGGGATTTGGGAAAAAATACACATTTCCCAAGAAATGCTAGGAAGGAATTCCCACATGTATACTCTAGAAGGAACTCCAAGTGGCACCAGGAAGTCTAGAAGAATACGGAGAATGAAAGCTAAGTTATAAGAGAGTTTAGGAAAACTAAGTTAAATATGATTAAAAACTAAAATATTGATTTGTTAACTATGTCATCAGTCATCTTAAAGGACAGTTTTAGTAGAGTAATACATGATATAGCAGCTGGCTTTGGAGTCAGACCTGGCTTGGAATCCTGGCCCTTAGATTATAACAGATGTGTGATCCTGGGCAGGTTATTTAATCTCACTGAGCCTCAGTTTCCTCCTCTATTAAAGGGAAATAATACCTACTGTCAGGTGTGCAATTTGAGGTTACCCTACTTACAAATTAACAAGTTAGTCAGTTACTGTTTCATGGACGCTGGCAGAAGACAAGAGACTCCTATATCGGAGACAACAGACCTTATTCATGGCACAAGAAGCAGCCTGAGCATCATGTGTGCATTGGTTCCTTTTGCCTCCTAAGACCCACAGAGGCAACATGGAGGGGCCCAGATGGATGCTAGGCACAGTGAGTTGCATTATAGGGGAGGAACAATTAGCTTGGGGAACCTACTGTTTTATAGAAAGTGGTAAGCAAGCTGCTCTTTGTCTGAGATAGAGAGATTACCTCTCCCTCAAGGTTGCTTGCTGCAAACACAACCCTGAGAGAGTGGCCAAGGCCTTGCTTTTTTTTTTTTTTTTTTTTTTTTGTTATACTCAAGGTTATGGTGTATTAAAACAAAAGGATACAGGTTGCAATCAGCAAAAGAAAAGGTGTGTGGGGCAAAGTCCAGGAGAAAGCAGGTGCAAACTTCCTGGTATTCTCTCAGTGGAGTTGCTCAGGGATGCATTTAATTCTCCCAGCAGTGCTTTGTAACAATATGTGCAGATTGTTCCCAACCAAAGAAGCTCACTTGAGCCTTGGTGTCCACGGTTTTTATTGGGGGTCGGTCATATAGACATGGAGTGCCCACATGACTGACCTCAGCTGCTCAGCCCTCAGGCCCTGAGAGCAGAAACAGGCACTCACTATAAATCATAAACTTATCTGGGAAGATTGATACAGTGTGGCTTAAGGCCTCCAGCATACAAAAATACTCTAATCAGACAAAATATTCTAAGAGTTCAGAATTTATTTCCCAGGAGTAAGCCAAGTGCTGGTCCTGAAGATGAGCCTTCTTTGGAATGTGTAGGGTTTGAGCAACCTAGGCCTGCTAAGTTAACCCTTTTCTGCACACACTGATCTCCATGAGTCGACTGGGCCTACAGTGATGCTTTTGATTTCCAAGAATTAGAATCAGTTTAGATCCAATGTCCAGTTCTCCAGTGCCCAGCAAATGGCTGTAAACACTTGGAAAAGGCTAGGAAGATCTACCTCATATGGTCTTGCCAATGTAACAAGGTCCTTCATCAAGGGAACCCAGCCTCCCCTCATTTCATGGGGCTCTAAGTCTGGAATTGGCTCAAATCTGAGGATTTGTCGAAGGCAGGGCCTTGCATCTTTGGCATACTCAGCAAGATATATAGCAATGTGAGAGACTAATGGAGAAGCATCTCCTAACACCTACTTTATGGAGTTCTTGCAAAACTTAGATTGGAATGTATATAAAGTGCTTAATACAGTATGTGGCACATCATAAATGCTCAACAAAGTGGCTGTAGTACTGTTGCAGTGGGCCAAAGAATAAACAATGGGTACAGTGAATGTAGGCTACTGCTTCAAGAAATTTAACTGAAAATAGGAGATGGGGACAGAGGCCAGAGAAAAAGTTCTTTACTGTTTTTAAAGACAGATCTTAGCATGTTTATAAACTGAAGTGTGTTGTGTTAGGGACAAGAGACTGAAGCCATAAAACTAAGAGCAGAGAGAAAGAATAATAGATGAAGCAAGGTCCCTGAGGGGGCAGAAGGAATGAAATCCAGGCGGTTATGTTGATGAGCATTGCAGTATGAGGGATTTCCCGAGGTGGGATGGAAGCAAGTAAATACGAGGTCACACAGGTAAATTTGGAGTCAGAGTGGGGAGTGGAATGTTGGAGTTCCTATTTGACACCTTTTGGGGGTTTTTTGTGTGTGTTTTCTCCCCAAATTCCCCCAGTACATAGTTGATTTTTTTTTTTCAGTTTTGGGTCCTTCTAGTTGTAGCATGTGGGATGCCGCCTCAACATGGCCTGATGAGCAGTGCCATGTCTGCGCCCAGGATTCCAACGGCAAAACCCTGGGCCACGGAAGCAGAGTGCGCAAACTTAACCACTCGGCCACAGGGCCAGCCCCACCTTGTGTTTTCTTAGTGCAGAAGAAAATAGTCACTGGTTTGGGATATATGGAAAATGTAAGTAATGCTGAAAGTTCAGCTGAGGTTGGAGATCAGGAAATGTACATGGCTGGCCCCTCTCAGCAGCATTGCCATTTTTTTCCCTCGTAGCTTGTATATAGGCATGATGGCAGATGGAGATTAACCCATATTGGGGCTGTGTATTAGTTCTTTTGGTTGCAGAAACTCAACTTAAACTACCTAAAGCAGAAGGGGGAATTTACTGGAAGGATACTGGGATCACCCAGTGAACATACAGCCAGGATCACAGCTAATCATCCAACAGACTTAAGTGCCTTAAGGGGAAGTTGTCTCTCTTCTCTGCCCTTCATAGACTACATACTGGAAGTTGGCCACCAACAGCTCCCAAGTTTTGAGTTACAATCCAGGCCCTAAGAAAGTTATAAAATTCCTAGGTAAGGAAATAGTTGGGTCAGCCTGGTGACAAAAGTAGGGAAAAGAGCCAGTTCTAAAATGGGGTTAGGCAGGCATCTAACAGGTCTCTGCTAGAGTAGGGCAGGTCTCCATCAGAACTATAAAAATTTCTACTCAGTTGAGGAACTAAATTTACATTTTATAAACAGTAATTTCACAAGGAACATAATCATTCAGCACACATTTTAATGAGACTCAATCTGGTATGACCTCTGCCTTGGGGTAGCGCGTCATCCAAGGAGAAACAGACAGTTACAATGCAACATTAAATACCAGAACAGAGGTCATTACAAACACTGTGTTCTCCAGTCACTCCTCAATGCTGGGGCTGAAATCAGGAGAGCTGAAGGAAGAAGCGACAGGGGTAGGAGGAGGATCCACTCCAGCTCTGGAACATATGAGAAGTCATGTTTGGAAATTTCAGTTTGGCACAGCTATCCAAGGTAAAGTGGCAGGCCTTGTTCATTTAATTTGGTAAAGCTTTACTCGTAACTACTCGGGTGGGTGCTGTAGCAGCATATCAAAGATTAAGACACATTGCTGCCACTGCCCTCTGGAGCTTATGTGAGGGAGGCAGGCTTGAACCCAACTTGATGACTGTACACTCTTCCTGCTTTGTGTTCAATTACCCAACTTCCTACCCTCATTGAATGGCCTCACCTCATTTTATGAAAAAATGTTGACTGAGGACTCTGGAAGTCCTTATGGAAGGCTCTGTGCTGACGTCTTCTTATTCTGATGAGAATCAGGGAGGAGACCCAGCTCAAGGATTTGCCAGGCACTGGCTGCCTGGAACGAATCCAAATCCACCAGGTGAAGCACGGCAAGCTGCTCCCATTTTTACTTCCTGCTGCTAGGCCATCGCTCCCCTGCTTTTCCTTAAGATCAGTCTTCTCCCAAAGCTCACTGTGCTTGTGTCCCGGACCCAACCTGAACCAATGTTCCAAAAACGGTGCAAAAGACAGCTTCACAGCATATGGTTTTTTAAAAAAAGCTTAGGTATTTAGGTGTCTGCAACCCGATAAACCCCTGGTACAGTGCTGCCACCCCCGAATCCAGTGCAATCTAGAGCTGTTAAAACAAGTACAGACCAAGAAGGTGTCTAGTAACACTGCGGTGCTGGCTTATTTTTGTGTGACCCTTACAAGGGACGTTGAAAAACCAGCACCTGTTTGGAGAGAGATCATGTGTGGGAATGGAAACCCTGTCTTTAAGGAACAATTGACCAAATTAATGCTGTTTAACCTGAAAATGTTGGGGTAAAGTAGCTGTGATTACATTACCTGATGGGCTGCCATGTAGATGAAGTATTAAACATATTCTGGGCAAGGCATACAGGGAAGGAGAATGTGGTACCTAATAGCCTTCCGAAGATCAGAGCTATCCCAGACTGAAATGACCTGCCTTGTGAGGTAGTGAGCTCCCTGTCAAGAGGTTTTAAAGCAAGAGGAGAAGACCACTTGGCAGGAGTGTTGTAAAAATGGGGCTAAACCAGGTTTGTTTAAACCTAGCATTGAGGAAGGCAGAGTAGAAGATCCTGCCTCCCTATAAATGGGATTTTCCTGACTTCATGCAAGGTGATGGGTAATCCCTGTATGCACAAACTAGAAAAGCAGCCCCTAAAATAGATGGGGAGAACTTTTAGCCTTGATATTCACACATACAAATTCTTTTAGGATAGGGCAGCTTGGAAAACTTTAACCAAATGTCACCTCTCCTAGTGGAACTGTCTGTTCTAGACACACAGTAGGTAAGGCAGCCAGTGTGGTGGAATATACTAAAGTTCAGGTCCATGTAGCACAAGACCTGGGTTATAGTTCTGACTCTGCCCTGTATGATCTGGGGCTTCTCCTTGCCTTCTCTGGACCTCTCCATGAAATGAAATGAACTTATACATTTCAGTCCCATTCTACAGGACACCACCCTTCTGGCTGGGCTCCCCTATAGCAGATCTAGGGCTACAGTTTTGGACCCTGGGGCTACACTTGTGGACAGCCAGAGACCACCTCTGGCGGAAGCAACGGCCACATTCAAGGCAGGGGAAAGGCTTCTCCCCAGTGTGCAGGAGCTGGTGCTGGGCCAGGTGGCTCCACTGGGCAAAGCGCTTGGAGCACAGGTCGCAGGCATAGGGCCGCTCGCCTGAATGAACACGCCGGTGACTGGCCAGTAGCGAGGGGTAGGCAAAGCGGCGGCCGCAGTCATCACAAGCGTGCAGCTTCTCCTCGGTGTGCGTGCTGCGATGTATGGCTAGGGAGCCGCTCCGCCGGAAGGCACGTCCACAGTCTGGGCAGGGGTAGGGCTTCTCTCCTGTGTGCAAGAGCTGGTGCTGGAGCAGTGTACTGCGCTGGGAGAAACGGGCCTCACAGTGCTCACAGGCATAGGGACGCTCCCCAGAGTGTACTCGCCGGTGACTCACCAGGCGAGAGGAGGAGGAGAAACGCCGCTCACAGTCTGGACATGGGTAGGGCTTCTCGCCAGTGTGGATGCGCTGGTGGATGACTAGGGCGGTGCGCTGGCGGAAGCGGCGGTTGCATTCTAGGCAGGTGTAGGGCTTCTCTCCTGTGTGTGTGCGCTGGTGGATGGCTAGCAGGGAGGGATAGGCAAAGCGACGCCCACAGCTAGGGCACTGGTGGGGTTTTTCGCCTGTATGTGTGGTCCGATGATTGGCCAAAGACCGACTCCTACGGAAGCAGCGGCCACAGTCAGGGCAGTGGTAGGGCTTCTCGCCTGTATGAATAACCTGGTGCTGGGAGAGGTTCTTGCGCTGGGAAAAACGTTTGCCACACTGGTCACAAACATAGGGACACTCACCAGAGTGGGCCCGACGGTGACTGACCAGCAGGGATGGGTAGGAAAAGCGGCGCCCACAATCTGGGCAAGGGTAAGGCTTTTTCAGATTCTGGGCACACTTGTGGCTCTCCAGGGCTGAGTGATCAGGGAAGGTACAACCACAGTCAGGGCAGATGGGGCCCCCAGATGTCTGCCTGGGGATCAGCCGGGGTTTGCTGGGCCGCCGCCCTCGCTTCCCCTTTCGGGGTGGCTCCTTAGGTAGAAATACTTCCTTCTCTCCATTCTTCTTTCTGGTTCTGGTTTCTAGAGGGACACAGGGAGAAATTAAACAAATACTGGGCTCCTACTTTACCTATTACAGTATTACAGGTTACAGACTCAGCCCCTGTTTTCAAGGAGTGTTAGTGCCACAGCCAGCCTAGTGTGACATACTGCTAGGGAAATAGGGAGGGTATTCCAGGAGCCCCTAACCCAGCTTAGAGAAGTCGGAGAAGGGGGAAGTCAGAGGAGATTACGCTGACTTTAAAAATTAAAAGTTTTTGAAGAGGTAAATGTAAGGCAGGAAGTAGAAACAAATGAGGTATGAGCTAGCAGTGACTAGATCATAAGGCCCTCTAAGCCAATGGTTCTCAAATTTTATTGTGATCAGAATCATTTGGAGGGCTTACTCAAATAGATTGCTGGGCCCTACTCCCCACTGTGGATTCAGCAGGTCTGGGGGGGGGCCAAGAACTTGCATTTCTTTTTTGTGAAGATGATTGCCCCTGAGCTAACATCTGTGTCAGTCTTCCTCTATTTTGTATGTGGGACACTGCCACAGCATGGCTTGATGAGCCATTCCCAATCTGTGAACCCTGGGCCACCAAAGCGGAACATGCAAACTTAACCAGGTCGGCCCCAGAATTTGCATTTCTAACACATTCCAAGTGATGCTGCTGTTGGTCTGAGGACCACATGCAGAACTACTGCTGTAAGGACTTTGAACTGTATTTTATCCAGTGGTTCTCAGACTTAAACAGACATCCAAATCACCTGGGGCTATTTGAAAAAAATACAAGTTCCTAGGCATCTGTAAGAGTAAATCAGTAATTCTGGGATGGGGTCCTGGAATCCGTATTTTTATCAAGTTCCCCAAGTGACTTAGATATAACTGACAGCCATCTGACGATCTGCCTTGGCAAAAATGGAAAGGTTTTAAGCAACGAAATATCATGGTCAGATCTGAATCTTAGATAGCCCTGGTATTAGAGAATCTGGCACAGAAACTCCAGCCCAGCCAGTTCCATCTGTCTCGCTGGTTGGATCTGAGCCCCTTCTCACCTGGATGGCATTACAGCCTTGCTTGATCCTAAGGAGGGTGTACAGATTCCTGCAATTATCAGGGTCATCCTGCCAGAAAGAGGCCCCTGCACCCTAGGCAGCTGTTCCCCCTTAGATCCCTTTAACAAAACACAGAAAACTCAGAGAGATATAGGATCTCTCAGTCAGAATGCAACTCGGAGCAGGCTAGGGGCAGAAATCCTGGAAAGGAGGCAAGAGGGTAGCTTCTTTCAAAAGCTCAGATTCATTCACACAACAGAGAACTGCAGGTGGTTAGTTTGCAAACTGACATGTGATTTGTTGTGTGTTGGCCCAACCAACTGACCCCATCAGAGACAAGACCCTTAAACTGGGAAAACGAACACAGTAAATGGAGCACTGCAGCGTGGGTCATGGGTACCCTTAGCCCCCAAAACTCTGGACTGAGTCATTAGAGGCTGCAGGCCCTCCATGGGCATTTTTCACTCACTTCTTTGGCCTGTTACCCCTCTTGGGTACTCCTGCGGATCCAGAGCAGCTGGTTCCCAAACATCAGTATTTCGTTCCAACCAGGAGATGAGAACTGGTTTGGGACCTGCGCACCCTGGGGAAAGAAAAACAGTCAGAGGCCCTGCTCATAGATAACGCTGGGTAATATCTACCCCATGGCATCTCTTGCCAAAACCCCGTCCTCCTCCCCTGACACAACCTGGTCACAGGCCTGGACTCTGGACACTCTAGGCTCTCTGTCCTCCCCCCAGCCACAAGCTTCTTCCCTTCGGGGCCCGCAGAAGCGGATTGGGCCGGACCTCACCGAGCGCGCCCAGGTGGCCGTAGGTCTCCCGCATCACGTCCCGGTACAGGGCCCTCTGCGCGGGCCGCAGACACTCCCACTCCTCCGGGGAGAAGTACACGGCCACGTCCGCGAACTTCACTGCCCTCGGCTTCTTTCCTCTTCTCCGGCCGGATCCAGCTTCTGGTTCCCGCGCGGAGAGCGAAGCCGAAGGCGGCGCCATTGGGCCCGAGAAGCCAGCGCCACGGCCTTCCCCGTCCCGGCCTCGGTCCCTGCGCGCTGGCGGACCCCGGGATTTGGAAGCCCCGCCGGACCGGGGCTGAGCGTGCCTGTGAAGGTCCGGAGGGAATCAGCGTTGGCCGCCTGCGGGGCTAACGGGAACCTCTCCCTGTTATTCAGGGAACTCCTGTCCGAACTTGGGTGAAAGGCACCGGAAGATGCCTTCAGGGAAAATGGCGGCGCTGCTACTGCACCGCCTTTGCCTGGAACACAGGCAGTTTCCAGCTATCGATTTTATTGACCGGAGCGCCATGCCGGCTTCCTAACCTCTTTGCCCTCAAGTGTGATGGCGCTGCGGTTGGGCTTCACGCCCCGTTTCCCCCATTACACGCGCTCATTGGGCAGCGGCCGAAGATCGAGCGTTCTGATTGGGTGCTGGCGAAAGCGGCCTGTTTGAACGAAGCCAACGGAAGCGTCAGGGCAGGAAGCTGGACCCGCGGTGTCGGGTGACCGCAGTGAGTTCTGAGGCGGGCAGCGGCGACCTGGCTTGGGATCAGTGACGGGCCCTTGTTCTCTGGCAGGCGCTGCCTGGCTGAGGGAGGGAAGGATTTGAGTGACGGAGCCACTCTGGCCAATCCGGGTCTGAGATTCCCCTCGTTCCCTTCCGTGGCTTTCTCAGAGCAGCCTTCGCTTTGGATAATGGATAACTCCCTTGTTGCCCTTTTGGGAAGGGAATTAACGTTAGCGTTCCCTGTGCACAGGCACCATGCCCACTATATAACACATTTCATCTTATTTATTCTTTGCTACCGTTGTGTGGGGGTGATGGTTACCGTCCCGGTTCTATCGATGAAGAAAATCTCAGAGGGATACTGCTGGTAAGGAGAAGAAACAAACATTTAAACCTGGAGCTGACAGGGCCTTTGTTCATACAACTGAACTCTGCACCCTTCCTTCGTACTATCCTGATTTGCTTGCTAACTCAAGAATTCACCTGACCTCCTGGTCTCTTCTCAGGTTCAATCTTCTGCATCTCTCTCCGTACTTTATTTTTACATGACATTTGTTCAGTATACAAAGCCTGGCGCCAGGCAGTTAGGAGAAGCAGGGTTACAGGAATAAGTCATGGGCCATGCTCTGGATGGAGTTTATAGTCTTGTGAGGCATAAGAACTAATAATAACAATGATACAAGCATGTATGTGAAAGGCACAGGAAAATTGCTGATGCAACCAGTCAGCACCGACTCCATCTGACCCCACTTATGTGGAAGTGTTGTTGGTGCAGCATTTCACCAGTTCAGCGTCATCTCCCAGGGGATCTGGGGGCAGGAGACTACCATTCGCTACATCTCTTAGTTCAGCTGGTGAAGTACACATCTATCTCTCCAACCCATTAATCAATATTTTAAAGCAGCTGCTATGGGCAAAACACTACCCCAAAGCCTGCAGGGGATAAAGAAAAACAATATGACAGGCAGCCACAAGATCACGTAGGCAATAAGACATTCCAAGGAAGATGGCTTTTGAACAGAGAAGGTAGAAAAAAACTGCAGTAAACATTCATTGAGTTCTGCTCCATCTTAAGGATAGCGACTGTGTTTGTTGAACAAACTCCTGGGGGAATGGGTAGAAACGTCAAGATTGCCAAAATGAATAAGACAGAGTCCCTCCTCCTAATGACCTTGTGGATTGATGCATCAGGTGGGAAATGAGTTTGGTCTGTGAAAGGGGTAAGATTTAGGCAGGGCAGTGGTGCTTAATATACATTTGTTGAATAAAGAGCTGAATTCTACGGCAGTAAAGCTTTCCGGCTCAAAGCGAAGAATTCCGGACATTCGGAGCGTGAAGGGAATAATGATATTTTCTGATGCAGTACAAGATGCACTTATGGTAAAACTGAAGGACTGAAATGGTAGGTTGGCACCAGATGTTGGAGGGCTTTACCCTGTACACTGGGGAGCTCTAAGTAAGTCTAGAGAAGTGAACGACCTTCCAATAATGTTTTAGGAAGATTACTCTAGTAGTTTGCAGGATGTGCTGAAAGCTTTGTGCCTACTCTTTCTTCCTACACATAGTTCAGTTTGGAGAAACAAGAATGTAAACTTAGGCTGCTAAGGGAATAATAAGGTAAAGGGATAGCAAAGCATTTCATTAGGAAGGAAGAAAGTGACTAAACAGAGGAGTCTGGAAAGGAATCAGACTTCCTCTGTGGACATTTTGCCTAAATAGTAGTGATGTACTGACAACTGATCAAGGAGAAGATGGTGACATTGAACAGGAAAGAAGATGATTGAATATTGAGGTGAGAAGGTGCTGGGCCCTCTTCCCACATCCAGGAAGTGGGAAGGCAGGCTGGACTGAGGTGCAGCCTCAGCCTAGCCCTTTTGGCCATAGCCTGTGGAGGCCCTGTTTGGCCAGGCTTGCCGTCATCTTGGTGGGAGCCACTAAGGCAGGACCTAGGAATCAGGCAGAGTCAGATGATCTTAACTGTAGAGAAACACTTTAGAGAAAGAAGCACCCAAGACAATGTGAAAGCAGAGCCCCTTGCTCCTTGCTGTATAAATTTCTGGATCCATATTGGGCACAGGGAGAAGTGGGACTCCTCCTGAAGGAAGACTGCCCACTGCAGAGAAGGATGGAGAAGATTCAGGGAGTCTAAACACCAAGAGGCCACATAAAGACCAAAAGCACCCTGTTCTGGGTCTAGGGAAATGATGTTGTGGGCCAACTAACTAAGTACCAGGTGCCACCTTGTGGGCACACTGATAGAGATAATCAGTTGAAACTCACCTTCTAGAGTCCTTATGAGGATGATTATCCTTATATCAGTTATCAGAAGGTTGAGCAGCTTGTCCAAAACCTTTTAGTAAAGGCAGGGAGGATATTTGAACCTGGAATGTCTTCTGCATTGCACTGGCACCTCTGAACTGTGTGAAAGGCCTTGAGATTAATTTCTCCTTGTTTCATGCTCAGTGCAAGGAAGTGCCTGAAAGTGCAGCCTTCAATTATAGCACACACAGACTTCACCTTATAGACTGGCTGGAACCTGACCTTTGCCTAATATGTCATTGCACCATAAACCCAGACTTGCAGTGTTGGTCCTGGGAGAGGGTCATGAGTAATGAAGGAGTCTTACCTTTTCTTTTTCTTCTTTTTTGAGGAAGATAAGCCCTGAGCCAACATCTGCCACCAATGCTCCTCTTTTTTTCTGAGCAAGAGTAGCACTGAGCTAACATCTGTGCCCACCTTCCTCTACTTTTTATGTGTGGGATGCCTGCCACAGCATGGTTCAACAAGCAGTGTGTAGCTCTGCACCCAGGATCTGAACCAGCGAACCCCAGGCCACCAAAGCGGAACATGCAAATTTAACCGCTGCACCACTGGGCTGGCCCCCTTACCTTTTCTTAACAGATTCACCTAGTCCACTTCCAACCTGTCCCTTTCTGAGTGAGGTAACTCACTAGTACATTTCTCTTTTTTTGTGTGTGAGGAAGATTGGCCCTGAGCTAAACATCTGGTGCCAATCTTCCTCTTTTTTTTAAAGGAAGATTAGCCCTGAGCTACCGTCTGCTGCCAATCCTCCTCTTTTTACTGAGGAAGATTGGCCCTGAGGTAACATCTGTGCCCATCTTCCTCTACTTTATATGTGGGACCCCTGCCATAGCATGGCTTGATAAGCAATGCATAGGTCCGCACCCAGGATCCAAATCGGCGAACCCCAGGCCACCAAAGCAGAATGTGTGAACTTAACTGCTGCTCCACTGGGCTGGTCCCCTTCCTCTTTTTTTTTTTTTCTCTTGAGGAAGACTGTTGCTGAGCTAACATCTGTGTCAATCTCCCTCTATTTTATGTGGGATACCACCACAGCATGGCTTGACCAGTGGTGCTAGGTCCGTGTCCGGGATCCGGGCCTGTGAACCCTGGGGTCCTGAAGTGGAGGGTGCGAACTTAACCACTATGCCACTGGGCCGGCCCCTCACTGGTACATTTCTGATTACCTCTATATCCTGCTCCCTGAAGGGGAACTACAAAGCACCTACAGACCTTGTCTCTTTGTACATCCCTCTTTCTTCCTGTCTTTCCTGCCTTTGGTGGCTCTGCATGGCCAACACTTGATGAGAAGCGATATCTTCCATCGTAAGCTCCTTCATAACATCTGACCCAGGTCACCAACACTCCTGGAACTTATCTGAGAAATAGTGGATGTGAACTGGGAGGTCCTGATCCCCAAGGACAGGACCCTGGAACAGGAACTGCCCAGGTCTCCCACACCTCTGCTTCTCCTTGTTTGCCTGATGGATCCAGTGGTGGGTTTTCAGGACATACTTTCTCTTGAAGCTTTTCCCACTCAGTGCAGGGAAATGACCTCTCATCAGAGTGGATGCACCAGTAGCTGAGCAGGAGAGAGGAGTAGGAGAAGCAGATGAAACACTCTGGGCAGGAGTAAGATTTCTTTTTTTTTTCCTTGAGGAAGATTAGCCCTGAGCTAACATCTGCTGCCAATCCTCCTCTTTTTGCTGAGGAAGACTGGCCCTGAGCTAACAGCCGTGCCCATCTTCCTCTACTTTATATGTGGGACATCTGCCACAGCATGGCTTGCCAAGCGGTGCCATGTCCGCACCCGGGATCCAAACCAGTGAACCCTGGGCCACTGAAGCAGAACATGCACACTTAACCGCTGTGCCACCTGGCCGGCCCCAAGATTTCTTGCATGTGTGTGTGCGCCTATGAATGGCCAAGGGAGCCTCTGGCGGAAGCACCGCCCACAGTCATAGCACCAGTAGGGATTCTTTCCTGAGTGGATGAGCTGATGCTGGAGGAAGTTTTCCCAGAGAGCCAAGTGAGTGCCACATTGTAGGCAATGGGAGCAGTGCTTATGCAAGTGTATGAGCCAGTGGTTGGCCAGGAGGGAGGGGTATGCTAAGTGGCACCCACAGTCTGTGCACATATGTCTGCATTTGTGAATATACAGGAAGTAGCAGCCACAGTCAGGACACAGGTGTGCCTTGTATGGAGCAGCTGCTGCTAGGCCAGGTGAGCCCTCTGGGAAAAGTGGACACCACATGTCCCACAAACATGGAAACAGTCACCAGAGTGGCTCTGCCTGTGTCTGACCAACAGTGAGGGGAAGGCAAAGAGCTGCAGACATGCAGAGGGCTTCTCCCTTACGTGGGTGGCCAGTGCCCTACTTCTTCAAAAGCAGCAGCCACACTGGGGGCAGGGGAAGGGTGTCTCGCCTGTGTGGATGAGCTGCTGCTGGCGCAGGTCCTTACACTGAGAGAACAGCACGCAGACTGTCACAGGGAAGGGCTGCTCAGCAGAGTTGACCTGCTGGTGGCTGGCCAGACATACGCTTTGGAGCCTGAAAGTACTGTTCTTCTGGGGCTGAGGAACCCTGAGGCAATATCTGGCCACACCCTCTATAGTTAGGGCCCTCAGTTACTTCAAGGGGGTCTTGCCACGCCTTATGTGGTGGCCTCTCTCTTACACAGGCTGCATTAAGTTCCCTGACCTCCATTTCTTCCTTCTGTTCTTTTCTTTACTCTTGCTTTCTGCAGAGACAAGAGAATTGGAACCAAAGATTGTAGGGTGCTTTGAATCACCGTAGTTATCTTTCTCTGGGAATCAGGCAGTTGTGTATGGAGACAGAGCAGCACCTCAGTCTGAGTGCCTGATCATCCAAGGTATAAAGGTCCAAGTGTGAATCCCTCATACGGAGATGCCCCACCTGCCTCAGGCACAAGTTTCCCAATTTGAGTAAAAGTACCATCCCTTCTTCCTTGCTCCAGGCCTCCGAAACTATATAGTGTTCTCATAAGGAAGGGCTGAATTCTTTCCAGGGGTAAGCTGACTCCTCTCCCTGGTAAGACCTTAAATGTGGGCATTTCGGTGGAAACACTTCTCAAAAAACCGAGATCTCAGTGCTTTTTTTTCTCAAAAAAAATTAAAAATAGCATTACTTTATGATCCAGCAATTCTATTTTGGGTATATAGCCAAAAGAATTCAAAGCAGGGTCTTGAAGAGATATTTGTACGCACTGGTTTATAGCAGCACTATTCACAATAGTCAAGAGGTGGAAGCAACTCAAGTGTCCATCAAGGGATGAATGGATAAACAAAATGTGGTATAGACATACAATGGAGTAATATCCAGCCTTAAAAAGGAAGGAAATTCTGACACCTGCTACAACTTGAATGAAACTTGAGGACATCATACTAAGTGAAATAAGCCAGCAAAAAGACAAATACTGTATGATTCTATTCATATGAGGTATGTAAAGAAGCCAAATTCATAGAAACAGAAAGTAGAATGGTGTTTGGGTGATTTCCATGGGCTGAGGAGAGAGTAAAATGGGGAGTTGTTTAATGAGTATAGAGTTTCAGTTTTGCAAGATACAAAAATTCTGGAGATTGGTTGCAAAACAAAATGAGTATACTTAAGCCTACTGAACTGTACATTAAAAAGTGGTTAAGATGGTGAATTTTATGTTGTGTGTATTTTACCACTTATAAAAATAAATACTTAGGGGCTGGCTCCGTGGCCGAGTGGTTAAGTTCCCGCGCTCCGCTGCGGTGGCCCAGGGTTCAGATCCTGGGCGCGGACATGGCACTGCTTGTTAGGCCACGTTGAGGCGGCGTCCCACATCCCACAACTAGAAGGACGTGCAACTGAGATATACAACTGTGTACAGGGCGGGTTTGGGGAGATAAAAGCAGAAAAAAAAAAAAAGATTGGCAACAGTTGTTAGCCCAGGTGCCAATCTTTAAATAAATAAATAAATAAATAAATACTTAACAAAATACACTAGCAGACCAAGTCCAGCAACCTATAAAAAGGATTTTGTACACCGTGATCAGACAGGATTTATCTCAGGAATGCAGGGTTAGTTTAACATCTGAAAATCAATTAATATAATACAGCATATATCAACAGAATAAAGACAAAACCCATATGATAATCTTAAACAGACATGGGAAAAGCACTTGACAAAGTCCAACACCCCTTCATGATAAAAATACTCAACAATTAGGAATAGAAGGGGACGTCCTCGGGGCCGGCCCCGTGGCCGAGTAGTTAAGTTTGTGTGCTCTGCTGCAGGCAGCCCAGTGTTTCGTCAGTTCGAATCCTGGGTGCGGACATGGCACCCAAGCAAAAAAGAAGAAGATTGTCATAAACTATTATGATCTCAATTAGGGAAAAAAGACAAAGAGGAAGATTGGCAACAGATGTCACCTCGGGGCAAATCTTCCTCAGCAAAGCAAAGAAATGGCTTATCAAGTCATGCAAAGACATATAGAAACCTTAAATGCATTTTACTAAGTGAAAGAAGCCAATCTGAAAGGGCTATATACTGTATGATTCCAACCATATGCCATTCTGGCAAAGGCAAAACCATAGAGACAGTAAAAAGATTTGTGGTTGTCAGGGGTTTGGAGGAGGGATAAATAGATAGAGTACAGGGGATTTTTAGGGTAGTGAAACTATTGTGTATGATACTATAATGGTGGATACATGTCATTATATATTTATGAAAACTCACAGAATGTACAACTCTGTAGGGGGATGTTGTTAATGGGGGAGGCTGTTATGTGTGGGGGCAGAGGGACACGCAAGCTCTCTGTACTTTCAGCACAAGTTTTCTATGAACCCTATACTACTTTAAAAAATAAGTTTAAATAATGATTTGTGCTATGACATGGTTGAACCTTAAAACATTATGCCAATTGAAAGGAGGTGGATAAAAAAGACCACATATCTTATGATTCCATTTATATGAAATGTCCAGAATAGGCAAATCTATGGAGACAGAAAGTAAATTAGTGGCTGCCAGGGGCTGGAGGAGGGGAGAATGGGGGAGTGATGGCTAAGGGATTTCTTTCTGGGGTGATGAAAATGTGCTAAATTGATTGTGGTGATGGTTTCATAACTCTGAATATACTAAAAACCATTGAATTGTACACTTTAAATGGGTGAATTATATAGTATGTAAATAATATATCAATAAAGCTATTTTTAAAAAACGATGTTGTAGTTATAGACATGGAAAGATAGTCAGGGTAATAACTTAAAAACCACCAAACAAACAAAAAACAAGCCTTCCAGGGGGCATTCTAAGACTGTCCCTCCTCAAGCCTCAGCCTGACACCTGCCACTTTACCCCCTCCATTCCCCATCCCCTCCAGGTATTTTGTGCTCTCTGGGTAGTGTCCACGTCTATAGCTCTCACCCAAGAACTGATTTAGGTACGTTGTGAACAAGAGAATAAACGAGTGGGCAAAAATGGGCAGAGCTGGGCCAGCCCCAGTGGCCTAATGATTAAATTTGGAGCTTTCCACTTCATCAGCCTGGCTTCAGTTCCTGGGTGCAGACCTACACCGCTCGTCTGTTACCTGCCACGCTGTGGCAGTGGCTCATATTAAAAAAAGGGTGGGGGGCTACCCCGAGGCGGAGTGGTTAAGTCTGAGCCCTCCGCTTTAGCAGCCCAGGGCTTTGCTGGTTCAGGTCCTGGGCGCAGACATGGCACTGCTCATCAGACCATGCTGAGGCGGTGTCCCACATAGAAGTACTAGAAGGGGGGCTGGCCCCGTGGCCAAGTGGTTAAGTTCACGTGCTCTGCTGCAGGCGGCCCAGTGTTTAGCTGGTTCGAATCCTGGGCGTGGACATGGCACTGCTCATCAGACCACACTGAGGCAGCGTCACACATACCACAACTAGAAAGACCCACAATGAAGAATATACAACTATGTACCGGGGGGCTTTGGGGAGAAAAAGGGAAAAAATTAATTAAAAAAAAAAAGTACTAGAAGGACCTACAACTAGAATATACAACTATGCACTGGGGGCTTTGAGGAGAAGAAAAAGAAAAAAGGTGGGGGCAGGGCCTGCCTGGTGGCATAGTGGTTAAGTTCGGGTGCTCCCCTTGGGCTGCCCAGGTTCCTGGTAGATCCTAGGGGCAGACCTACACACCACTCATCAAGCTATGCTGTGGCAGTGTCCAATACACAAAAAAAATAGATTGGCACAGATGTTAGCTCAGCGACAGTCTTCCTCAAGCAAACACAGGAGGATTGGCAACAGACAGATGTTAGCTCAGGGCGAATCTTCAAGGGAAAAAAAAAAAGGTGCAGGCAGACAGAGGAGACTCCGAGTGCCCCCAGGTGGCCGTAGGTCTCTGGCATCCCGACCGTACTGGGCCCTCTGCGCCTCAGGCTTCACCACACCCCCAGGAAGAAACACCCAGCCACAGCCCTGACGCTTCCCAACCCTCAGCCTCCGTAGTTCGGGTCCAGGCTCTGGGCTGGGGGCGGCACTGTGGACTCTTCCAGTGTCCGCACTGGTTGGATGCTCCAACCCAGGGCCGCTGTCTTTTCTGGCTGAGAAGAGCCTACCCCGATGTGGCTTCGTGTGGGGCCAAGCTGCGGCCGGAACAGAGGAATCACGGCGTCGTGGGTCACTCTGGTACTTAGAGTTGGGCAATGGTACAAGAAAATGCCCTAAGGGAATACGGCGGCGACTTGCCTTCGCAACTGTTATTCAGATGCAGTCGGAAGCTTGTCATTTGTTCCCTCCAGTTGCTCTTAACAAAGAAGAGTTAGCTCCGAATACTCAGCTCTAGCTCTTAGAGTTCCTAACCCCTCCTTGGTGCTTGCGGAGATTGGCTTGAGGATGTGGCTTCTGACAGCACCCAGTGATTGGACTGCTCCCATCACTGAAATAACTAGGTCCGCCTTGATTGGCCTCTTGGGCCAGACTCTAAGACGCTGTTGCTAGGTAACGCCTGAAGAAGGCCGGGATCGCGCGCACGCACAGATCGGGCATCCCGAGGAGGTTACAGTGTGGTGACTGGCATTGGTCAGCGACCTCTGCGCGATTCTATCTCGGCTCCTTCTGTTCCCCTCACCCATAAGGCGTCAGAGAGGGCATCCTGGCCACAACATGAACTGGGTTCCTGTCCTGAGAGTAGCCAATTCTAGGGAGCTGAGGACGTTTATGGAATTTCTACATTGCCCCAGGTGCACAACAGCCTTCTCTTGAATCATCTAACCCTAGATGAACGCTCCATGTGAGGGTAGGAAGTGTAGTCCCTATTTAAGAATAAGAACATTGAGGGGCCGGCCCTGTGGCCGAGTGGTTAAGTTCACACATTCTGCTTGTGGTCCAGGGTTTCCCTGGTTCGGATCCTGGGCGTACACATGGCGCTGCTCATTAGGCCACGTTGAGGCGGTGTCCCACATGCCACAACTAGAAGGACCCACAACTAAAATATACAACTATGTACTTGGGGGATTTGGGGGCAGAAAAAAAGAAAAAGGAAAAAAAAAGAAGATTGGCAAAGTTGTTAGCTCAGGTGTCAATCTTTAAAAAAAAAAAAAAAAGAATAAGAACATTGATACCAGGTGACTGGTACCCAGGCCTATCTGGCTGCAAGTCCAGTGCTCTTCCATTGACCTAATCACTAGGGCTTTCCCTTCTGAGCCAGCTCAGCCCTTGAACAGTTCACACACACTCCTGGAGCATAAGTCCCTGGCCACAAGCTGGACTTCAGTGACTTACAAAAGTACTCTTTCCTTTTCTCCAGCGTTTGGAAGGCTGAGTGGGCAAAGTCAGAATTTTATTCTTTGTTGCTCCTAAGCATCTAATAACTGTAGTGTAATAAAAACAACAACCCACACAATGTGGCAGGAACTGTGCAAAATATTCAAATACATTATCTCATTTAATCTTTGAAACAACCTCATCAGGCTGATCATCTCACTTTCTGAATGGGGGTGCTCAAGCTCAGTCCAGTAAGAAACTCTCCACTGTAACATTGCTAAATGAAGAAGCCAGCAATAGAATCCAATGTAGCCAACTTTGAAGCCCACGTACCCTAACTACCGTGCTACACAGCTACTCCTCAGCACAGTAATCGTTCAAAAATATCAAAGTTATGAAAAAACTGTTTCTTGCTTTTCCTCTTTCCCCTGTGCCCCACCCCCATCCAAGAAAGAGATGGTCTTTCTAATTTCAGAGGTTCGCATTGGACCCTCAGTCTATAATTCACTTTCCTTACAGATAGGAGACACAGGGCCTGTGAGAGGCGCATAATTCAGCTAAAAGAGCTCCAGCCTTGGAGTCAGGGGAACCTGTCTTGAGCCTTGGCTCCACCTCTTGGCAACTGTGTAATGTAAGCAAGTTCACCTTGCCAGTGTAGGTTTCTTCATCTCTAAAGTTGGGGTCATAATGTCTACCTGACAAACATGTCACTGAGGTTTAAATGCATTAACTGTGTATACTGTGGGGCATCTGGTAGGCAGTTAATGTAAGGGAGTTATTTTCTGAGGGAGATGGAATTTGGTCAACAAGAGAGATGTTCATTAGCACCTTCTACTGTCGTGAAGCTGTGAGAAATGCCATAAGTATATAATTTTTATTCTTGAAGAAGCCTTGAAGGTTGGGGTTATGGTCTTTGCCCCTTCTTCTTCAGGGTCCCATTCCTTGGCTATTCAGGTATCTCCCACTCCCATGTCCCTGGTGCCCCGCTCACTCTCCCAGGCTGACTACCCTAGACTTCTGAAAGATTTCTGGGTAATGCTTAACATTCTCAGTGCATCTGGATCTAAGAACTGAGACCCCAAATCTTTTGGCTACTTCTTAAGATGTATCTGGATTTTCTTCTACAACCAGAGCATGGTTCTGCTGATGCTTAATCAAAGCTAGTAGCCAGAAAAATACTTCAGGCCTTTGGGAAAAGTATGAGGCCACTTCTCACTCACTCATTCAGGTGATGTCCTTGTGAAAGCTGAAAAGGGCCCTGCACTTCCTGCACGAGTAGTGAGACATTTCTGGGTACTGCTTCTGTGGCTAATTAGCCCCTAGGCCCTACAGAAGAACAGCCACACTCAGGGAAGAGGCAAGGCCATGCACCTTGGGTGCAAGTCAAGGTAGAGAGTTTGCAGAAGGTCCAGCTACAGTCAAGACAAAATATCTGGGGGCGGGCCCCGTGGCCGAGTAGTTAAGTTCGTGTGCTCCGCTTGGACAGTCCAGGGTTTCGCTGGTTTGGATCCTGGGCGTGGACATGGGATTGCTCATCAGGCCACGCTGACGGAGCATCCCATATGCCACAACTAGAAGGACTCACAACTAAAATATACAACTATGAACTGGGGGGATTAGGGGAGAAAAAGCAGGCGGCAAAAAAGACAAAATATCTAATTCCAGGGTTTGCAATGGGGGATTAAAACAGACTTGGATGGACATCTCAGGTTCAAAGGCGTCAGGGCATTGTGAGTAGCAGGCCATGGTCCTGAGCCTCAGTGTGAGGCACCTGCTCTGGCACTGGTATCTCTATCTCCTGAGGTTTCCCGGCTTTCAGTCCCTTCCTTCTGCATCTCCTTCTTGTATTCTGCTGGAAAAGAGAGAGAATCTCAAAATTTGGCCTGTAACCAGTTTTGGTCCACGAGGCTTTCCACTGTTCTTGGAGGGGTGAGGATGAAGGTAGTGGGAAAATTCAAAGACTTGTGTCAGAGCTCCCCTGCATAGTTGGTTAAGAGAGGTGCCCAAGTCCCCATAACTGGCTCACAGTCCTATAGAATCCTGGGACCATTAACCCCTCACCAAGAGCCCATGTTGTCCATGGGCATTGACAGAATGCCTCAGTCAGGGTGTGGTCCTCTCCTGCGAAGGCAGACCTTCCCCCCATACTCCTTTCCAACAACAGGAACCCTCTAGGGACTCCCTAGGACCAGCTCAAGAAAAACCAGGATCCTGAGATCCTCAGCCTGTAGAGAAACGACTTCAACATCCTTTACATTTCAGATTTCTAAAGGCCCAAGGTTAGTAACACATGAGTATTCAGAAAAGTGTAGCTGGAAACCTAAAAAACCCACTAGATTCTAACCCCTTTCTACTAAGTGGCACACTAATCCTGACCTTAACCTTGAAGCGATCAGGAACCTCGACTCACCCCGCATAACTTCCCACTCCAACCAAGGGAAACGTACCCTGAGCTCCAACGCTTAAGTCATCTTCGGGCCCTTTTCCAAAGAGGTCATGCTTCCTGTGGATTCCCATTTACAAAGGACTCTGATCCTCTGCCCCTCAGTAGTGTGGAACTCACCTTCTCCGCCTTAACTTCCTTCCCTGTTAAGCAGGGGTAATCATTTTTTCCTCTTAGGAATGTTGTGAAGATTAGATGAGATAATGTAATTAAAGGTCTTCTTTAGAAACAATGAGGTTCAAGACCTGGGTTCAGTAGGTGCTGAACAAAATTTATTTCTCTTCCTTACTCCCACATTATGACCCTCTATCTCCATATTATTCACTGGAGAAAGGATATGTGAAGAAGGCGTAGTCAAGGGCTGTTATTAGAAACCTATTGTTATATTCCCCAAACCAAGAAGCAGCCTAGTGCCACTTGGAATCTGCGAAAATGGAACTGACCTAAAAAAGGTACTGAAATTGCATCAGATAGTTCTTTAAAGGGAGGTCTTTGTGAGTGATGGGCCCTTGGGCCCTTCCAAGAAGTCTGACTTCAGGCATACACTGGTCCCCTCATCTTGACCTGCCTTCTCTTTGGGATCCCCAGCTTCTGAAGACCACAGACCTCAACTTTTTGTCCCATCCAAGAAACAAAGGTACTCTCAGATCCTGGGGAAGAAGAAATGAGTGAGAGGTGGTGCAGGAGTTCCAGAGGAAGGAATGGGGTGGGGTGGTACAACTCCTGTGTGTCCTCTATCAGGTGTTAGTAAAATTGTTTAATGTTAAGGAAACTGAGGCTCAGAGAAATTAAGTGATTTGCCCACGTCCACACCACATGTAAGGGATGGAGTCAGGATCAGAATCCAAATCTGACATCAGACCCCAAGCACTTAACCACTGCTGGGTACTGAATATGCTGCCTCTGTGATCCACACACAAGTTTAGGGCCACAGAAGCATGGC